TTCCTATTCAAAAGTGCATTCCTAATTAAGTCTTCTTATTTAAATACCCAACCATAGGAGTTGTAATGTTAAATGCGTGTTGACAATTGAGATATAAAGCAAATAACAAATGATTCGCCTAAAATTCTCACGTCGTATTTATGAACACTTACGCAAGTTTCACTTAAATTACTGATTTTGTAGAGTCTGCGTATAAAATTCAAGCATAACGACACATTCTAACTTCTGCGCCGTAAACTATGTAACTAGTCTGAGCTCGACTGAATGTTAATTGAATTTAAATCGCATCTTTGCAGTCTTAGAACGCCTTCGTGATGAAAACGGCTAAAGTATTTCATTTCATAAACTATACATGGTGTCTATTGTAAACACTTACTTAGTATAGTGAACACATCATAACTGAATCGACCACAAAAAAATGACCTTCTCTAAGCAATTCTAACTGATGACCAATGAGTGTCGGTCGCTCACAAGACACAAACATCGCAGGAAATACACGAGTTCCTCCTATACGCGTACCGCAGCCGTGATTGATCCGCCGAGTGCTCAGTAGTCGCGCACACAACCCTCGCTCGCGCCATCAGCAGCTGCCGACAAACCCGCGTCAAAAACAACCGCCGGTCAGGAGACACCGAACGCAAAGTGTAAAATAAAATGATTTTGTCCAGCAAGGCCTCCTGCTGGTCTCAGGAAGAGAGCGGCGCTGCGTAAACAAGAGGAAATATGCGCTGGCGCGGCTCCCTCATTCGCTATGCACAATCATTTGGGGCATGGAGAATTATCACGACAATGAATCAAGACGCAAATGTACAGAAACTGAAACTCTTTGGCAAGGCCATGCTAAAGCAACGAGAGTTGGCGGCACCATCGTCGCCTCTGTTATCGCCTCATCACTAATTCTCAAATTATTATCGTATTTCACATTTAGTAAGCATACGCTTAGTAAATGTGAAATATAGGCCTTTGTAGCCGACTTTATATTAACTAGATCCGTTGGAAAATGAACAGTCCTTGAAGCAAGACTTGTTTACTGTCCTCCAAGCGGCTTAAAAGTGTCTCAGATGATTTATAAAGCAGAACAGAAACCATTCAATAACACCATAAATATAAATGAAAATTCATGGAGTTTTATGGAAGGACTTTTAAATATATGTTAAATCGTGATAAATTTGTAGAAAAATGCTTGATATGACGCCACTACAAATATTTCAACGATTAATAATAAAAATCACCAAGTAAGCAGAACTGAAATAGTAATAATCAACCGAAAATTCCCGATTGGTTTCACAGTCGGAGAAGTCAAATTGCCTCAATTCTGTGATCAGTTGAATTGAAGGTTGCATGGTATAAACGTTTTCACTCGTTTTCATGGCGTGTCCATAGTCTGATAATCAACGACCGAAAACTTAGTTATGAATCATATATGTGGTTATCCTTTCATTAATACCGACATACTAATAGATAAAAGACCCATGCTTTACTAAATAGAATGGTTAGAAACGCTTTTTTTGTATTCGTGTGCAGCGACAGCGTGAAATATTATAGCAACGATGTCAACAACGAACGAAAATGTTGCTCAGGTCTGCCAAGTTTCAAGAACCACACAAATTAATTGCTTTATCTTTTCTGTCTATACATCCAATTTGTTGTAAAGAAACGTTTCACCGTTAAAGCTCATGAAAACCAATCTTATTAATGATCAAAATATATAACATTTATCAATTTTATTATTCATGAATGGCTTTACCGATAGAAGTTTTCCATTGACAATTATCATTTTTATCAGAAATCACGTGCTTTTCAGTTTCATCATTCTTTTGCATCGTCAATAGAACTAAAAGGACGGAAAGTTTGAACCCTAATATGGACATATATTATATATTAGGAAGAATATTGTCTTTGCTTCAATCATTGCTTCAACATATGCTAACTCTTTCTCCTACTTATCTAACCAGAATATAATAGGTTAGACTTGGAAATAAAGTTGAGCTTGGTCACTATTTAATTGTGCAGATTTGAAATCGATTTTACAGCAGCTGCAAATCTTGCATGCAGAACTTTTTGCTGCTGCGAACGTGGACTTATTCAGCATAGGCTCGATCATATCATTAATTAGGCGTCAACCAATCGTAGATTCGATGAGTGGCCTGTGGAATGAATTAATTATCCCTCAATTATTTTGTGTAGAGATCTTTGTTAGCATTGTAACAAAATTTTTATTAATATGCGTGAACTGTACATCTAACATTTTTCAGCTATGCAGTACGTTCATCTCGTTAATTGGACCAATTACTGACATGCTGGTCGGGTGATGCTGCTACACCTGAATCGCCGCTTACATTTGCATTTGCATCTTTATTTATTTTAAGCAAGTTTTGTTAAAGATCAGAGAGTTAGTTTTATTTATTAGCTTCTTGTTAGTTTTTTCAATAAGTCGTACTAAATTCTTCGTAGGTGTTGGAAGATTGAAAATTAAATTACCGATAGATCGGTAATTTAACTAACTATTACTATTTAACTAACTATTTAAACTATTTATGTAAACTGTATGTATTTGCAATTAATCTTTATTTATATCTACATCCACGCTATCCTCTAGAGTCTATAGGGTTACTACGTCTGCATATATGCTTGCGTCTGTATCAACGTCAATACCGGGGGCTACGCCCCCTTCTACAATTATGACTAACTCTTCATATGCATACGCATCTGCCTTTGCAACTTTGACAATGTCTATACGTCCACAGCAGCGAATGTTCGCCTCGACAGTGGACGGCACTGACGAAGGCTGCGCACCAACGTTGCTGTGGACGGAGCCACACTCAGCTAAACCTGCATTAAGTCCCAATTAAAGTACTCGTACGTCCCCGCTTCGTTGTTATTACAATGCAAATGACAAATGGAGTGTCCATTTTTTCAGTCAAATTTTTAGATGAGAATAAGAGCATGATAAAAAATTATTTTGAATTCCTCAGGATGTGAATTTTTTTATGCAGTATTGAGATGCTTTTGTCTTTTAGATGAGTGAAAAATTTGCTTTAATTCATCTAATAGATAGCCTCATCATTCGGCAAGTGACCCTTATGATTCAGAGTGTTCAGTAACAAATCCATCTTTCGAAATAATGCTTGCATTTAGAAGCATTATTACGTCATCGAGTAACATAATTTCTGAATGCTTCAGTAATTATTGGTAACAATCACCCATTTTACTACACTTTCAGGTTTATTGTTTCTGCAAAGCGGGAACGAGTTGCGGTTCCTATCAAGGCTTCGTAAGATATGAGGAAGCTAGATCCTAACAAAACCATTTTGAAGAAATAAGCTATGGCATTTTGTTTGACTAAATTTTATACTGTCTATAGCCTTGAATAAATTAGAGGAAACATTTTCTGAAATCATTGGAAATCATTTTTTTCTTACTCAGGCATGTTTCTCAAAATGTCACACGACACAACAATGCGTTTGACAGGAATTATAATTCACAGTTTAATCGATTAAATTTCTTCTCGTTTCAAGTGACTAATTTCACAACTTAAATTGCGAACACAAAAACTATCCAGTTTTTCAAAACTAAAATCTTGCGTAGAATGGAATTTAAAAACGGTGTTTTAATGACAAGCAAGTGATTTTCATTTATTGAGGTAGCATGTCTGCTTGTATTAGCGACATTTCTCGCTGAAAAATCCCCTCAATCATAAAAGATTTTGGAACATAAAAAATCCAAAACAATTTTGGAAGACCACACCACCATACGATTATTCGGAGCGTAAACGGTCTCCATATATACGCCTCAGTTATAGGAGGAGCTAACTGCTGCGATCACCTGTGATATGGGGCCTGAAAACAAAGCTAATTTGTAAACAATGAGAGCTTGTGTAATGTATTGATGTAGAACAATGGGCAGCGTGATGAAGTGTGAAGAGAAGGACTTGCGGCCTGTGGAACTGCCGCGGTCGGTCTGCCCCGAGCGTTCGCCATAGCATTTGGTCGCATGGGTGGTCTACTGGGCACAGCGCTCCCTTGATTGCGTCTGCCCACAGCTTAAACTTTTATCGATGCGAACCTGCCCTGGGTATCTTGGGCAATCTGAAAGCTTTAGATGTGTATATATTAGGGTGGCCCTTATAATAGCGTACCCTTTTCAGAATTTAATTAATCTAAACTTTTTTATTTTTTACATCAAAATTTTTTTTAATTTATGTGATTTTACATGAATCCCTGATTTCATGAAATTTTTTATCCCTGTAGAAGTTAAATCAAATTACGATCGACAAGCATAAATTGATTATTTACTGTAAGCATCAAAATAATTTCAAAATTGCTTTTAAATAGCAAAAAATGATAATATGCCATAGAGATTCACGGAAGCAGTCCATTGTTAGTGGACTGCTAACACTGCACTTCAATCCACTAACACTGCGGAAGTAATGTTAGTGGATTGAATTTGTGTTTCTACTACTAAATTTTTCTCAAAATCAAATTTATAATCTATCTTTTTTCATCAATAAGAGTGTTTAAGATTGGCAGTAAACTGTATGAATTTGCAAATAGTTAGTACTAAAATCACGCTACGTAGTGCATGGTATAAATCAAGCCAGTTTATTATAAAATTTTTACACGGCATTAATTGCCAGCAAACATTTTTTTAATATATATGAGGGAAAATTAAAACATTCTTCCCAAAATGAAGATGAGATCCCGTATGCTTCATATAAAATTAATGTAGCGATGAAGATGCGAGGGATTCCATTATTTAGGTCTTTGCCTTATTAACAAATAAAACTCTTTTCACTAGGACAGGCATTTGGTTTAGACCTAATTTATTAAAGTTCACTTGAAACATTCAATTTTGGAATAATAATATTGATATGGCTTGTAGGAAACGTGACGACTTTCCTGCAGCAAATTTATAAGTCATTCATCATAACGAAATCAAAATTCTTTAAGAAACATGGACGCAAATTGTTGTGCCGAGAGTAGGATAAAATGATAACAAGATTCATTGATTCGTTCATTTACCGTAACTTTTCACAATTATTAAATATTCAAATATTTCCACGACTAGCTAGACTAAAGTAACGCATTGAATGAATTTAAACAAACTAATCTACTTTGTTGTTTTAATTAAACTTAGATAAGCATCAAAAAAAAAGTCTATTCACTTATCTACAGCAGTAAATTCAATATTATTGAAGCGCTTACATTTTGATTCGCCTCTTAATTCATCTATGAACTGCGCTCGGGCAATAACCATTTTCTTAGCTACTAACTGGAATCATTGATGCACTCAAAATTATTAACCTAGGTTGCGGAATCGCAAAAAAATGAACTATTTCTTCTCTCTCTATCAAAACTACTTTGTTGTCTAGAATAAAATAGCAGATAGAAAGACATGTGGCGAAATCAAGATAATTGTGAAGAACTAAATTGAAGAAACTAAGAATTAAATGATTTTACTGTACAGGTTTATGAAATAGAATGCGACGATCGGATCATTAATTGCTGTGCTCCGAAATATGCCGTTCGACGATTATATCTCCAACGCTTATATTAAAAAAGACAAATGCAAAGACTCTGTTACAACGATTATAGAACGCGCCATACCCAATGTATTCTTATTGCATCGGAACAGCAATCGCCATATACATACTAGCGTATCGTAAACGGGGATGCTGAAATATGAGGATATTTGCAGGTCACTTGCTTCTTGTTCTGAAGTCATACCGATGTACTTCAGTATAATGTAAACACAATGCAATAATCTTTATTTCAAGTGTCTAAATTCTTATCTTGATGTATCATCTAAGTATCTAATTTAATCTGCACATCATCGAGATCCCGATAATTAAAATGTTGTTTTAAATATTTATAAAGATCTGTTTTTGAAACTGATGTTAGTATGGCTACGACAAGCCTCGTGATTAACTCGGATGAACTTATAAAAAATACAATACTAAGGCTTGATACTAAAAGTAACATTGTTTTTCAATACAAAAGTTATAATAACCATCGTATCTTATAATAAAAACATGCATTTTTGATGTTTATACAGGGCGTTATCAGGCAGAGGCCCGCAATTAGAAACTGTACATTATTTACACGCTTGCATCCCAACATTGGTTCCGAGCCAAGAGCAGCGGCCGTCAGAGGCTGCTATGTTAATGCACACGACCACACATTAAAGAGGACGGGTCCGCGAATTGGCTGAAATATGACGGATAGGAAGCTGCGGCAGCGGCGTGAGCAGCATGCACTGCGGCGGAGGGAGAAGAGTGATGAGGGGCTGAGGTGTGCACGCTGGAGACGGAAGAAGATGTGGAATGTGCTAGAGGTTTGTCAGGGGAAGAGGTGGGCACGGGAGGCGATGTCACCGAGGCATTGAAGGATGCGTGCGCAGCTGACATATTGTAGGACTGCGACGGAAGCAGTGATCCCAACTGTCCGCTGAGTTGGCCCCCGAGCTGTTCAAAGCTAGCAGGTGCAGTCATGCCTGTGGTGCACCAGCTTCCCATGGCACTTTTAGCGCCCCAGGTGCCGTCGGGACCGCCACTCATGGCGGCGTAGGGCATTGAGGCCATCGTGTGGGACATGAGGCTCGAGTGGTCGACGCCCGTGAGGCTCGACGCTGAGTAGTCGTAGCAGGTGGCGGCCCCAGCCTGCCATGAAGCAGCGCCTGTACCAGGAAGAAAAAACTCTACTTCAAAGCAACGATATTTGTAGTCTAAGCATGAATGTGCAACGTTTCAGATTACATTGTCTGTAATAGAGACAATCATAAGAAACATTTCTTTATCATCAATTAGTTATATATTACTCTGAATTATTATTATGGCATGAATGCAATCGTGTCCTTTATGCATTTTTTATACCCGGATTCCAGTAGTATCAATATTTTCGCTAGATAAAAATTAGTAGCAGCGAATTTTAATGGAATTTTATCTTAAATGGATTCGCCATCAATAAACACAATTTGACTACTCACCGTGATACGCAGCCGACGCAGACATAGACGACGGGTCGCACATCTGTGCAGGATACTGATGGTGCGCCATGTACGGGGCAGCAGCAGCAGACGCAGCAGCGGCAGCAGCAGCTGCAGAAGGCGCCATCGGTGAAGTGAGGGACGCAAGTTGCTGGCTGTTGAGATGCTTCCTGAGTCGCGCCCTTCGGTTGCTGAACCACACTTGCACCCGCGCCTCAGTCAGGCGCGCCCTGCCCAAACAAAAGACGCTCGTCGTCAGCTGACGATTTATCAGAGTCTCCAATTATTACGTTCAAAAACCCGCTTCGATATTACTATTTTTCTTTTGTTAGTCATAGTTCCTAAATTCGGTATGTATGATTATTTTTATTTCTAACATGAATACCTTTACTCCCAAAAAAATTCCAGATACTATTATCACTACAACAGTACCAAAATGTTTTGAATTTTACGTTATATTCACTAAGAATTCAAAGTTGGCAAACGCTGACCCTTGATTATTGCTTGTATCAGTTAAATGGTGCAGTCTCTGATCCTATCAATCACAAGAAAGTGTAGTCTCGCTTTCCATCGGTTTCAATAAACTCACTTCAACAAACTACTACTGATATCTAAACTATTCATACGGGTCCTACTGATGAACTGAATTTGTAAGCTACGACTAATCAATCAGCTCTATCGGCGCTCTATAATAAGTTAAGGCATTAACTTCTGCGCGAGTTCCTTCTTCGCGGGTATAGACGTCAAGATATTGCGCGCTTCTCGAAAGAGCGTTCAAAGAGCTCGACGCTCTTTATTCATATAAGGTACTCACTTCTGCGCGAGTCCTCGCGGGTATAGACGTCAGGATATTGCGTCTTCTCGAAAGAGCGCTCGAGGAACTCGACGCTCTATATTCATATAAGGTACTCACTTCTGCGCGAGTTCCTCGCGGGTATAGACGTCAGGATATTGCGTCTTCTCGAAAGAGCGTTCGAGGAGCTCTAGCTGCTCGGCGGTGAAGGTGGTACGGGAACGCCTCTGCTTTCTCTTGAGGGTGAGGCCAGGTTCGCTCTCTGTGTCGCTGTCCTCGCTGGCGTCTTCTGCTGCGGGAGGCCGGCACGGCGGGGTTATAGCACAGCAATGAAAAACATTTATTCATTTAAATAATTCCGTTTAGAGGTAAATTTTCTGCTGGAGAGACACAAGATCAGAGCGCAGGGAAGCCCAGTTATGAAATGCATTGATAAATTACAAATAATTCCGTCATGATTCAAATAAAATTTTTCTACTATGTAGACCCAGGTTCAAAGCTGTGAAGCTGCTTTAGGGGAGGAAAAGCACAACAAAATTATGATTTGATTATCAACAACTTTCACACAATTTTGGGACCATAAAGGGTATTCAAATTAAAAGTTGGAAAAATTAACCAAAGATTGACGTATAATTTGATAAAGATCGTATATGAGAGTTTTCCGGTCATTTAAGCCTATTGTGAGCAGCCTATCGCCATCGATGGACATTCAAGTGACGTGAAATTAAGCGCATTTGATGAAGAGTAGCGATTCGGTTTGTTATGCAATCCGTGGCAAGCGGTATAAAAATTCTCCGGCGAAAACAAAAGGACCTCAACGGCTAACAATCACAAAATTCATTTGGCCGTGAGCGGTCGTGACGTTTCTTCTAAAGACTGACGTGCTCTCCATTCGATCACGGCAAGCGATTAGCTTTATTGTCTCTTCAGACACCAATTGCACGCAGTGATGAGCATCATGAGTTGAATAGCGGACTCAATCCGATGCCTCGGCACGATCACATCCCTATCGGCTCATCCACATTTTTACTCACTATATTGCCAGGTAATTAAAACCGCTTACGTGTGGTCGACGTTACTACAAAGCCGTTTTTATGTTACTAAGCTGTTTTTATTGTCTCACATTTAAATACAAGTTAAATTATAATACTTATTTAACGTGAAACTTTCAGTGCAAATAGACATGATAGAGCGTCAACGAGGCCGCTTGTCCGTCGCTTTACAACGGCGGTGACATCTGCAACGCCTAGGCGAGCGTTCTACATATTTTCTTAGATTTTTCCGGAGCTCCATTGTTCTACGTGGCAAAGGAAATCAGGCAAGGAATTAGTTCCTTTCTTTTGAGACTTTAGAATAGGAAAGTGAGTGGCAAGGCGTGACGAATCATTGCAACAGGTTTCTGACACTTCTCGTTCTTGTAGAGACAGCTCCTCTATTCTCGCTCGGTAAAACTGTCAGGCGTTTTGACTTTTCAGTAAATCAGGGAAAAAATACAATTTACAGAAACATAATTAAGAAAGTTGTGCTTTTTTGCAATTGATTCATTATTAGATTTACTTTACTTGCTCAATTAATATGCTTTTGATCGCGTATAAACTACACGTCCGTTAAACATGGTAAAGCCACATAAATAATTTTCATGCTGAACAGAATTTTTCTGCAGAATGTGGACGTATGTTTCGGATGCGGATGTATGTATGTTTGTATGAGTGCTTCCGTGCGAAAAGGAAATCGATATTATATAGAGAAAAGAGCTAATTTATTTTTTTAAACATGATAGTTAATATGCGCGCGAGAGGGTGGCCATGCCACATTTTCACACGGTCGTGACTGCAGCGTCGATATGAAAGCTTGTAGTCATCTTCGTAGCGCATGGCGCTGGCGCTATTAAATTGCAGACGCAAGATGGAGCAGTTCGAGTAGACCTCCCAAGAGGTGTGAGAGACGTGCCTTGCTGTTGTCAGGAGCCAGGATTACAGCACTCATGCCAGCATTACTCAACTAGAGGCGATTATTGTGACTAAAAACGGCACCGCACCTACACGCAAAACTTTCTGTCAAATCATCCTCAGAAATGAGTTACTTCACTGACCGCTCGTGCGGCCATATGCAAAGCAGCAACACCTCCTCTCTCGTCTCACTCGCTTAATCATCATAAGTAAATATTTTTCCCGTGAGAAAAAAGTGCATATCATCGTTGTAGCAAAATTTTAGTTCAGATGTAGTTCCATCCAAAGAGGTTGATGGCAGCCCTTATAAGCAATGGTTAATAAGCTTTAATATAATTATTTTATGTGAATCAAAGGTTTAAAATACCAGTGTCGATGATATTATATGAACAAATTTATTCAATTTCGATGGTATCAGGAATCAGCGAGGGGCACTTGTAATTTTAAAAAAATCTTTCCAGGAGAAAGAGCAACAAAATGAAAATATTTCTTCGGTAGAAAGCTCCTACATATAATGCATGTCAGATCTCAAATGAAACCCGAAAAGAAAATAATGGTGAAAGGTTTTCTGAGCCATGTGCTTTCTCTGATGTTTTTTTTTTTTTTTGCTATAAAAACTGAGCGGTGTAATAACCATAGTCTCTAAGCGAACGTCACAACACAAATACTGCATAAAAAATATAACTCAGTACTCACTGCAGTGAGTGACAGAGAGCGCATTTTCTCGTCGACGAAAACGTGAAGTCATGGACGGACAGACAGACGGACGGACAGACGGACATGGCGAGCACAATAGTGCATTTTTTCCATAAATGAGAAAATGCGCTAAAAATAAGCAGAAATTACAAAACATGTGAAAAATTAAACGATGAGCCGAGTCGAAAAATACATATATAAAGAAACATGCAAGAAGTTATCTATTCAAGTTTACGTGTGCTGTTTTCATTTTGAAAGACAAAAAGGTTCAATTAATGGACGTCGGTGAACGTGCCGAGCCTGATTGACTCGTCGAGCTCCTAGTGCGACGTCCGAGGCTGACACGTCACGTGACTTGATGCACGACTTCATAACCTACGGCGCACCACTCAAATGACGTTAATGCGATGTTTAATTAACGTTGATTCAACGAAACAACGTTGAATTCAACTTCGATTCAATGCCAGATACAAATGTCAACTTCGAGGTGGGGGTGAATTCATCGGGAGAAGGACAAGACTATAGCATTTGTTGGCACAGCTTGGACATTGGACGAGTGCAAGATCAAAAACTACAATTGAATGCAAAATTTTTATTTCTAGCATGCCTAAGGTTATTGAGATAGAAAAGAGTCGAATTCTTAAAGAACGAGTGTAAATATTCAGGCATGAAAATTTCATGCAATCAAATACTCATTATTCACTGATAAGTGATTGTATGATAGTTCAGTAGATATTTTAAGACGGAACATCCCTTGCATCATAATTGATGACAGCTCATTGAATCCCTTAGTTTGTTACGGAAATTAGCCTAAAATAATATCTGTTGCCCTTAACGAGCTAGAAAAAATTATTTAGAATAACACGGGCTTTCCCTTGAGTATTCAATTTATTTTTGTCTTAGAAGACTGAACACATGTTTGGTGGCTGTTTTTCCTGATTCTGGCAAGTTTTCAACTGAATTTATACAGAATGTAATATTTTGCGCTGCCCAAATAGGCTACCTCACAAATTAATCGTCATCATTATATATACTTGAAAAATCTTTTTTAACATACAAAATTAAGTTTCCACCTTTGCCTACCACACACTTTGCCCCTCTGCCCAGGATACCAGGATTTGTCCCTCTGCCCAGGATACCGTCAGGATACCAGGTTTTGCCCCTCTGCCCAGGATACCGTCAGGATACCAGGTTTTGCCCCTCTGTCCAGGAAACCGTCAGGATACCAGGATTTGCCCGTCTGCCCAGGATACCATCAGGATACCAGGATTTGCTCCTCTGCCCAGGATACCGTCAGGATACCAGTATTTGCCCTTCTGCCCTGGATACCGTCAGGATACCAGGATTTGCTCCTCTGCCCAGGATACCGTCAGCATACCAGTATTTGCCCTTCTGCCCAGGATACCGTCAGGATACCAGGATTTGCCGCTCTGCCCTGGATACCATCAGGATACCAGGATTCGCCCCTCTGCCCAGGATACCACAGGATACCAGGATTTGCCCGTCTGCCCAGGATAACGTCAGGATACCAGGATTTGCCCGTCTGCCCAGGATACCGTCAGGATATCAGGATTTGACCCTCTGCCCAGGATACCGTCAGGATACCAGGATTTGCCCCTCTGCCCAGGATACCTTCAGGATACCAGGATTTGCCCGTCTGCCCAGGATACCAGCGCCACCACTCACCCAGGATACCGTCGATGCTGTGGTCCTTGCGGAGGTCGTCTTCTCTGCGGCCACCGCGAATGATGCGACTGATTGAGCTGATGGAAGGTGCCTCCGTCTTGTCCACCACGCCATCCTATAGGCCACAGAAACAATGGAACTCGTTAATAAATGAGAAACTCGGAGCTTTCAGTTCCAAAAGAAAATTGTTATGCGTGATATTTTATCCTAGAAATGAGTAAGAATGCTGATCTTACCATTTGAAATACTGCCAAAATTTTCAGGCATATAATTTTTACGAATTTTACTATTAAATTAAATTAAAAAGCCTGTAATTTACCAGCAAATTTATCTATAATAACAAAAAATATCATCCTCCTGGAAACACCAAAATTCTAAATGTGTCATCACACTTCAGCAGTATCCGTGAAGCTGATCTCGCCATTGTCGGACTTCTCACCAAAGCCCTGATCAGCGCTGGCCATAAAATTCATGAGCGCAATTGCGAAGCTGAGCAAGGAAGCTATGCTGCGCGCCGGTGCCTGGGCTGCGTAGACCACACGCAGCCTCTCCTGACCTCATCCTACGATTGGTCACACTCAGGCGGTTGGTGCTCGCTGGCTCAGGCTCTCCCGACGCGCTGCCTCATGGCTCTCTACGTATACCGCGGCTCAACTCTAATAGTAAAATTCGTAAATTCGGCTCAACTCTAATGATTCAGATTCCGTGGATTCGTTTTATCAAGATTTTTTCACACAGTAAATAATATTTATTTTGAGACTGATTTTGTTTAATTAATTTCATTAATTTTTGTCTATAGTCCCATAAAGTTCACATGCTATCTGCACTAAAGCATATTCCAATACGTACATCCAATTAACCATCAAGAAGCCTGAATTACATTTCATTGATGTTTTATACAAATCAATTTAAATCAAGTATTCACGCCTCCAGAACACTAGTGTTGATCGGATACTTTTTTTCTCGAGAGCTCAAGTTATTCATGACGTCGGAAAAGCTGACGTAATAGCGACATCAAGCTCAGCGCTATATATGCCGGCCGCAGCTAAAATACATTTGCAGAACGCACAATTCCCGGAAGCGCAGCCTTCTACATCCCGTCAAGACTGGATAATTAAAGAGCAAGCTGACATAAATATTTATCTAAATATTTATCTTATTTATCTTATTATTTATAAATATTTATCTAAAACAATTCGATACACGGCCAAAATCTTTCAAAATCCGCAAAAATTTATGACAAATACGGAATTGCATCGATTGAGGCAGGTGAATAATCCAGGGATACCAGATAAAAACAAATTGTTGGTTAACTGGCAGAATCAACTCTTAAGGTGTAAATTTAAATGATCAATCTACTTTTTAAATCTGAAACTTATTTATCTAGAAACTATATTCGAAGAAATGTGGGAGAGTCTGAATCGGACGAATCGTATTTCCGTCTCAGTCTGAATGAGAAATATATGCGCACAGACGGTAAATATTAAGAGACATTCCTGAAAGTCGCTGACACTCTTTGATTATTTATTTAAAGATTGTTTACCGTGTTGCTTGGGCAGTCATTCCCGAAAGTCGCTGACACTCTTCAATTATTTATTTAAAGATTGTTTACCGTGTTGCTTGTGCAGTAATTTATGCTTGTAGCTTTCTATGCATGAGAGAAAAGAAGCATGAGAGACCGCTCCCGTACTGGGAAGGATCCCTGTTGGATCAGGCATCTGATAACATTGAACAGCAATGGCAGCCGGTAGGGTGAGCGGCAAAAAAAAGCAACAGCACCCCTTTACAGTTCGCCTTTCTTTAAATGACTTGAGCTTTGTGTAATATACGCGGCCATTGAATGGAAGCGTCACCCCGCTAGTACGGTTCAAAGCAACCGCCTCGCCATCTCTCTATAAACTGTGAGAGCGCAGAGCTGTGCCGTCACTAAACCTTCCTAGCTGCCATAGCGCCTCTTTGTTGACGCTAGAATATGCGAACATGTCAGAACTTCGGGTACCCTTTCTGAACTTGAATTTCTGGAATTTGTGGACGGTCTAAATAATTTGCGCTTCGACCAGAAAATGAGGCTGAGATTGAGAAAATGAGGCTGAGATTGATATCAAAACAGAGTACAGTTCTAAGCTTGAATTTTTTTTTTGTTTATTATAATTAACCAAAAATAAAATTTATTCTGTATTAAATTATAGATCTCATTCCTTCTCTCAAGGGATTCTTTAGACTGCCATAGTTGTTTTTTTCACCGTTTCTAGCAAGATGTTGCTAACAATGAGAAAAACCAAACAAACGTACTAGAAAAGAAGTAAATAATTGAATAATATTATTTTTTCACGACACTTTTCCGCTTTTGTTGCCGTGCAATTTTAAGCCTGAAATATTTCTACACATATCAAGGAAGTTAACCCTTATACCTTGCCTTTTTAGGCGTGATTCCTTATCAAATCCACTGACGGGTGAAAAATAAACTTGTCGTATACTACCTCCTATCACTGTTAGGAAAAAGAGATCCAACCGATGTAGTAGGAAATGGCTGCTGTTTAAACACGCCAGCCTCCGAGGCTGCGACTCATCTCGTGCAGGGGCTTTGAAATCGATCGCGTCATCGCAGTCCCTTGCTGCTGAGTGTCATCAAAACTGCTAGTGTCACGTGGCGCGCCTGCCTATATGTTCCTCCGCCTCCTGCACTGATAGGCTCCCCTCTCTCTCAGGCCCTCGCTCCAGTCAATATCCTCACAAAGAAAAGCGTCAGGCACCCAATACGAATACCCTCCTACTCCCTCTCATTCTCCACAATGGCTTCTAACTTCGTTCCCTCCATCTCGATAACGATAGCTTCCGAACAAGGGTAAATATCGTGTTTGTAAGCGTACCGTAAAAGTATGTAATGTCCAACGTTTAGAACCTTTCTGTTTACTTAACTACTCCGTTTGGACATTTCACTCGATTTCTCTGCCACGCATGACGGTAAGTATCCCGCTAATAACTTTAATCTGTCTTTACCTACTGAAATCTAATTAGCAAACAAAATTCGTTGCTTACGATATTGACAGATCGTCAACTAAAACTTCACGGAGCAGTAGGTTCGGAGAGTCAACATAGAATATTTAATATTGTTTCTTTCTTCTTAAAGGTGCCTTGTCCATATTATAGAAAGTATCTATGTTTCTGCTCATGGCGAGTGAGAATCAACAATGAAGGTATCGATCTGTGACAGCAACACAGGCTCCGAGGCAGCAGTGATGTGATGCTACTCCGAAATATATCAGAACCGATATACTTCTGAGATAGTTTGTACATGCATGCTTCAACCTCGATAAAATTTTCACGACTTTATGTTGACGGTTCAGATCATATTTTTCTGGAACTTTTACGTGCAAAGCATGTTAAAGAGGAACTCCTTTGTTCCTTGCAATGTTCCATTTGGCATTAGACCAAGTATGGACAAAATAGTAAATTTAGTCATACATTCAAAGTTTGATCAAAGTATAATTTCATATATAAATGCAACTTGAAATGTATACTAAATAACTTTGATGCCAAAGCTCTAATATGTGTCGAAAAAACTTTTTCTCAGTAAATACATTGAACAAAAAATAAGTCGCGAGGGAAAAGGCTGCGATGGAAAAACTCGCGTTTTTAGCTGTGAACCTCATTAAGTTTCGCTGCATCAAGACGCTGTCAAAACAGAGTCTCCGGCCGCCCCGCTCGAGAGTTTGTGTACAAAGCAGTGGATCCTTTAAACACTGGCATGCCGTCATCAGGAAACTAATCTATCAAGAGACGTGCATTTTACAGCCCACACATCGAAGCTGTTGTGGGTTTATTTTCGAGGAACTCAAAGACATTCCAGACCGAAGTACATGCTCCAGAATGGACTGCGCCTAACGCCTTGTCTTGCCAAAAAACGCTTGGTGCACTGCATTCCCCGAGACGCTGTAATTAGGTGGCTAAGTAACTCGTTCAGTAAAGACTTCTAAATTCATGTGGCTTATTTTTTATTAAGAAAAATTAGGTTGGCCTAATTAGGAGATGAGCTTTCCAGATTCTAGGAGCATCGAAATATGACAGTGCATGGATTCAGGAGCGAAATTCATGTGTTTATTTTTATAACACCAATGATCACATGCACAACGTCAAAGTTCAATAAACTTGGAGAATTTACAATGTCATAGGAAACTTACCTTGACGAGCTTGTCGCGAATCTCCCATGAAAAGGCTCCCGGATTTTCTTTTTTGTAGTCGTCGATTTTTTTCTCGATATCCGGTGCTGATATTTTGGGTTTTGATCCTCCGATGACGCCAGGCCTGATGGAGCCCGTTTCTTGGTACCTGTTGAGTATCTTAGATACGCATCCGTGCGAGACCCGAAGCTGCCGAGATATAACGCAAGGGCGCACGCCGGCCGCGGCCATCTCCACGATTTTGAGGCGAATGTGGTTCGGCAACGGACGACCGTTGATGAACACCCCGCCGAGTTGATTTACGCGCCCTTGCCCTAAGAAATTCAAGAAACATAGACTAATAAATTTTTTAGGGAAAAATTTTTAAAAAGATTGAGACCTGTAATTCACGAATTTGTTAGACTTGAATGGAATGCCCTAAGAAATTTAAGAAACATAGACTGATGAATTTTTTATGGAAAAGTGCCCTAAGAAATTTAATAATTGACCTTGCCCTAAGAAATTTAAGGAACATAGACTGATAAATTTTTTATGGAAAATTGCCCTAAGAAATTTAAGAAACATAGACTGATTAATTTTTTATGGAAAATTGCCCTAAGAAATTTAATAATTGCCCTTGCCCTAAGAAATTTAAGGAACATAGACTGATAAATTTTGTATGGAAAAACTTTTAAGAAAGATTGAGACCTGTAATTCACGAATTTGTTAGACTTGAATGGAAGTCATTAAAAGTAGTGTAGGACGACATTATATGACACCTAATGGTAATATTTGATCAAGACGATATTTACATCATTCTAGTACGGCAAGGAATCACGTTAGGTTATAGAATTTTCGAGTCAGGTTAGTAAAACATAAATAATTAAATTAGGTATGGCCAATGAAACAGATCCTCTCATGCAATAGAAAAACTTGTATTTTCAAAATTAAATACCTTTAATAAAAATTAATTAAATCTGTAATTTAGAATTGTTTACGATATTGACATTTCATTCATTCGTTACATTGCAACGTATTTATTCTTCTTTACGTTACAATTCATAATTTTCCGCGTGCATTCCTCGTTTCGCTATAAATGAGTTCTAGGAGCGGTCGTTTCATCGATCGAGTACAAATAAAGTCGGGATTCTTTGTTGAAAAATGTAAAATTTTCATAAATAAATTAAAAGTACGGCCTAGTATAAGTGTGCTACATTGAAATGATGACTCCCCTTCAACGTACACTAACTCTGAAGTTCTTTTTGACGAGTATAGAAATCGACTTGTTTTAATTTCTACTGCACCATGATTTTTGAAACACGTCAATTCAATCAGAGGCACTCTTAAAATAGAAGCATGTCACTTCGTAAGAAAATGATTATTTGATATTGTAATTGATTAGCGGCAAATATATGAAAGTAAAAGTACAATTAAACGAAAACATATCAGTGTGTAATTGCATTTAAATTATTGCGAACACAACGGAAACTTAATTTGCTCTTATATTGGGAAAAAAACTTGATTTTTGAGATTTCTTTCAGGTGGCCGCAAAATTCAGAATATTGAGGGCCAAAATTTGAATGAGGTCAAAAGTTCTTCTACTTCAAAAAATCTTCAATGCGAACAATGTTAACTTTTTTGTAGGATTTTTTCCAAATGTAAAATTTGACATTTTGTGCAGTTATATGTGAATCCAAATATTTTAAGACCTAAATGCAGCAATTTTAAATCGTTACAAATCCATTCTAATTCTTTCTTATATCCAATTCTCAACCGTCGCTGCAGAGATCGAGTACGAATTATCCAATCCTGAATTCAAATAATATTGCAGAATAAATGGGCTCTAATGCCAATTACACTGAAAGAAACTAAAAAATATTTCAAGATCCCAACTTAAATTTTTACCGACGATTACATCGTTAAAAGCATCATATCTTTTTGCTAACTTATCGAACCACACAAAAATTATTTTAATTATTTATCAAATTACCGAGCCGCACTCGATATTTTTCTCTCATATTTCACTGTTCGGATCTCCCCGACCAAATTAGTGTACATAAACCGCAGAGCCGGCAACAAGTGCAGCGCTTTTAAAATGTATAATCGTGACTTGCAACAAGTTCATTCATCGCTAAATTCGATTATTTTTAACCCCGTGTTTTGTAAGCAACACGACGAATTAAAACAATTTTTTTAATTTTTTTTTTTATAAAAAGGCCTCCCACACACACCATTCCAACAAAAAAAGGAATTGATTTTATTAATTAAAAACAGGGAATGGTTTCATGTCAATGATCAGGGCCCCGACCCTGTATTTTTTTTAATTGCGTGGCAATTTCCAGTTCCTCCAAAGCCGGGATAGAGCCCCAGCCTATATACACACTGTTTGAAAAAAAATTGTATTCTTAATTTTAGGACGAAGTTGTACTTTACAATTTTGCCGAATTCAATCCATGGTGATACACATATAACTTTGAGAGGTTAATCATTAAATAGTTCGAGGAATGACTTCATAATCGAAGTAAAACAATCGATTTCCGAGTAGCAATCTCTGACGAGAAGCGCAAGATCGAAAGTCCTTCGTCACAGAAAAGCACCCGACGCCAGGGTCTAAGTCAATTTAAATTTAATATCATACGGGTTTCTTTCAAATTCCTAGAATTAAATATGACTAGAAATCTTCCTAGATGAATAATACGTAAAATGAATAGTATACGTGTATATTTTCAAAGATTTTTGCCAACGAAGTAACACCTTTCCGTCATTAGAGCTCCGATTGAAGCACCGTTTAGGCATCATCACAAGACGTTTAACAAGCTTTATGGTATCGTTATCATGAGCTATATTGATTAGTCAATTTATTGTTTAAATTCACTGAAGACGTAATGTTTGTCATAAATAATTTTTTTCTGTATTTTAAATCACGCTACATAATTACAATTAGTATTTTTGTCGAACCATTTTGTTTCAATTTCCCAAAGATCACAATCGCCATTGCTTTCTGTCACATTTAATGACAACTTGCGCACTCTGTAACTTTTTATTATAGACATTGCATGGGATTGACAACTTCTAAGAGTTTCCGAATATAGATAGATTTCTATATAGATGATACGTGAAAAGGGCTTCAATTTTTAACATGATTTGAAATGAAATCCCTAAATCTGAAAACAATTTCTACGTGGTCCACCTTAAATGATGTTCTGGATTCCGGAAGATGGTTGACTACTCTATGAATTTGTGATATATCTATTACGTACCTTGAAAGGGATAGCCTGTGAAGATTGGCCGTATAGTCATTGTATAAGGTCTGGGATCAATTTCTGCGAAATTGGCTTCAAAAATCACGAATCACTTCACTGAAAGGAAAGAACCTATCACATCCAAGTTCTGCGCACTTGACTGCTAATAACGAACAGTACTAAACAAAAGCAGGTTACTTTTCATGGAGAACCTCACAGAGGTATGATTATCAGAACTGAGGATCGCAAACGAATTCGTGAGTCACGACGTGCGAACGTTCATGTATTTCGGCTCACACCACAACACTGGATGATCGGCAACAAGATATCACTGCAAACGCTATAACCCGCACAGCCGCAGGTGTTCAACTACGCCTTCCTCAGCCCCGGCGGTCTCTATTTGATCACAATTCTCCGCCTCTCGTCGGGTGATGTCGGTGCCGCGATTGGTTCAAGTTTGCCAGGTGCCCCGAAAGTGGCCGATGAGGCGGGACGTGGTCGGGTGACCCCTGTCGCTACGGTCCCTTGTTCTCCCCTCTCCGAAGGGATGCTGGTCTCGTAGGTGGGACGTTGCGAGGCTTCGACAGCCATAGGAAAAGGACTCTACAATTGATGGCTGGACCTTGAAATTTTCTGTTGTTGAAATTATTTTCTACAAGTTTTGTTAGTGTGGCACGTTCTTAATATTTGTTCGATTTAAATTACTGACGTTATTATGACGAGCTTCATGGATAATTTGAACGCCTCTCCAATTAGTAAATATGTTGTTGTGTTCGATTGGTTACAGATATTTACATATCTTGTCCGTATTGACAAATACCCTGCCCAGAGAATTCATTTAAGCAACGGTGTCCTGGTCTAAATAAAGATTTTACCGGAAATGCAACACTGAATGCAATTGACAAGTATAGAATAATTTATAGTACTTTTGCATCCACCAAAATAATGCTGCTCACATTTACGATTTTCAATTAACATTTATTAATAATTTTGCAATGTTTTTGATCTAGGTTTAAGCTATATAGGTGCCCTGATTATGTGAAATTTGTTAAAACAATCAGGAGCTCAAATTCACGATCTGAGATTTCGTGATAAACATATTGACGCGACGGGATCGTGGTTTAGCAGACCAATCATCATCCCCGGTCTGGTCTACTATCCCCGGTCTGGTCTACTACTAAATCGCAATAGTTTTCATTATTTCCTACAAAATTGGTAGTAGTATCTCAAGTATTTCAACCAACGTGAAGCAACAATGGAAATTATTGAGGAAGCATCTCAACTGAGAACTCTACAATATTTTCAACGAAACCAAATTTCAATGATCGTGTGATGAATAGAATGCTTTGTGTCGCTTCAAATCATTTTCCAAAATCATCAATAATTATGGACACCTGAAACTTCAACGCACTGGTTGTAATGATCCCTCAAAACACAAACAGAAGTTTCCTCAATCCTGATGTGAGGTCCAATGAAACACGGACATATTTTTTATTACTGATGGAAGTCGTTGCAGCATTAATGGCCGCCGATAATTCATGAACAATCGTCCGCTTAAACTCTTATAATATCGAGCACACATAATCCAGCCTGGCCACACATCGACACAGGCTCATGAAACTCTACGGGCTTTGCTCAACATATATTAGTATCCGACGTTAAAAGGTTTGATCTATAGATGGGGAGAGTCGTGCTGAGACGCACTCATCGAGAAATTAACTAAGGAAAAATTCCCTCCAAAATATTATTACTAATTAGAAATATTTCAACACTTCATAACGTCTATTTTTTTTGTTAATAGAATAATTTTTGCGACAGCGAATAAGTGCACGGGCAGAAAATATTATCTAGTAACGCTCTTAAACGTCCTAGACTGAGTGATAAAGGCTCTGCAAAGTAAAATTTCTCGTGATATTATATCTGGACTAAACCTTTGCCTCAAAATTCAAGCATAGACGGTTATAGAGCAGCAGAAGATTATAGAGCAGCAGACGGTTATAGAGCATCAGACGGTTATGGAGCAGCAGACGGTTATAGAGCAACAGACAGTTATAGAGCAACAGACGGTTATAGAGCAGCAGACGGTTATAGAGCAGCAGACGGTTATAGAGCATAATCTTAATTCGAGTAATAACACATTGCGAGAATATATACGGCCACAAACATCACCTGCATCGCTAGCGACCTGCTCCCCTTCAACTCTGCTCTCCATGCCAGCTCCCGGGGTGGCCGTACCCATGCGCTGGCTCGTGGGTGGCCTGCTGACGATGTCATAACCGAACCCCAGAGACGCGCTCTAGAAAGTCCGTCGTCGCAAGCGTTGACGTGCGTGACTTTTCTGATTGAGGGGCCCTCACAAAACCTAATGGAATTGTAGGGCAGCCGAAGTAAAAACTCAGCTACTCGCGCATTGTTCTCGCAGATTTCTCAATGCCTCCGATCTCCCGCATTAGAAATTCTTTGAAATTGTTTGCGATATTTTCCAGCACGACTGTTTGCTCAGGAACTCCAGACTACATCGTGGGACAAAAAATTAATGTTCCAAAACAGAAAAATGTGCAATATTTGTTCTCTGTGGTGGTAATGTTGCAGAGCAACTAACGTGAAATCAGTTGTACTAATTTAAAGCAGATATTGTTCTTAACAGTACATTGCACCGACCAATAATCTTGCTATCACTAAATGGACATTCTTATTATTATCATTGTATAGATGCTGCTCTTAAACGTATAATGAATATGAGGCTCACTTATTAGATTATTTAGAAGCATGAGTTTTGGATATGTAACTTATTAAAGATAAACAGTGAAGTCACGGAACGTCGTTAGCTCAAATTCCCTCTTGAATCCATTTGAGCATTAAAATCCAAATTAATCAATTAACGCCTGATAATTAAATTAGCAGAAAATGATTAATCAATTAACGCCTGATAATTAAATTGACAGAAAATGATTAATTAATTAACGCCTGATAATTAAATTGACAGAAAATGATTAATTAATTAACGCCTGATAATTAAATTGACAAAAAATGATAAATTAATTAACGCCTGATAATTAAATTGACAAAAAATGATAAATTAATTAACGCCTGATAATTAAATTGACAAAAACTAATTAATTATTTAACGTCTGATAATTATATAGGCAGAAAATAACACGAGCAAATCTCTGAACTCTTTTCGTACGCGGAGATTGACATGTGCGGTCCCTAGAGACCATCCAACGACTGCTCCTGACGCCATGATGGACATTTAATGAAATGACCTGAAAGGCTTGTAATTAAGATAAGATGAGGCGCTGTCTCTGCTCACAATAACACGCACCTCTGAATTATCCAAAACAAAGCTCGTGTCAACATTGAACAGCCACAGTCCATGGGCCATACTTTCAAAACTCGCTAAGTGAACGTAAGTACTTACGCTCTATTTTCTTGTCAATGATTGGTGGATTTTGTTTGAAAGGCCGTCAATGATTGGCTGATGAACTTACGATCTCTTAAATTTTTTTGAAAGTATAGGCCCATAACAGCAGCCCAAGTATACGCGCTCGAGGACGTACTTCATTAGGAACTTCATTAGGACACCGTAACTACGAAAGACAAACACAGGCATTTTTTGCTTCAAAAGTTCAAAGGATTGAATGGAACAAGCACCCAAGAAAGGAATTCATGAAAAAATCTAGGATGAAAATGCCGATCCTAAATTGATTTTTAGATTTGATGAGACAGTAGATTATTAACGTAATTTAGTTTAATGGATTGATTTGTACATTTCTAGTTAGATAATTAGTAGCATGCAACTCACGGCGTATAAAAACATAATGATTTGTAAAATTAAAACCTATTTTCAGATAGGCTTTAATTTACTTGTGCTAGTAATAAGTCATCATCTATTCTCGGAATAAATTAATTTTAAACGAATAAAGATGAGATGCCGACCTCATCGTGTCAGTATGAAAAATATATTTTCACATTTTAATTTTTTTTTTTTAATTTAGCATAGTGCAACAATGAAATTATGAAATTCAAGTGATTCAAGTAAAGGGTTCAGGTATTTCAACCCAGACACTGGTATAACCCTTTGTCTAGTAATGGTAACTGTAATTACCACCTCTCTATTACCGTTAAGTCTATTACCACGTTTAACGAANCTGCTCAAATTGGATTTCAATGACGAGAAGAAATTTGACATTGAACAAAGCGTTAACCGTCAAAATGACAGAGCTTGGAGTCGGGATGGATCTGTGGCACCAGAACAGTAACGCGCCGTCAAAATCCCATGTCCGTGATGGTTTGGGCAGCGGTAACAGCCACTAGCTGGGATGTCTCCTCGTTTACGTCCCGTCAGTAGTGAAATTGAACAGTCAGCTATACATTTCGGACATTTTGGAAGCTGAGTTGTTACCTCGCGGCCGTAAACACTTCAACGGCTCACGATGGAGTTTTCAACAAGACTCTGCTCCATTATATGGCTGAAACAATACCCACAACTTGATTCAGGGCCACATCCCAGCGTTCATTACCAAAAATAAATGGCCCTCAAGAAGCTATGGTTTGAATCCTCTCGACTTTTCTGTTTGAGCTATTTTAGAGAGTATGGTCTGTAATAATGATTCTTTGGATAGTATGAAGTCTAAATTGAAACGAAAATGGGACTTGATCCCTCAAGAAATGCTGGAGTCTCCTGTGAAACTTTCCAGCGTAGGTTGGAGGCCGTCATCGAAAATAAACATGGTCATATCGCACAAATACGTTTGAGAATTGTTTAGGTACTTCTTGGCTATTTGCTCATCCAATAAAAAATTTTTCACCTGTTTGTTTCATTGAGAAATAAGAAAAGCATGCGTTGACAAAATATAGACGACCCAGTGGAAATAGGCTCAGCTTTGCACATTCAGTTTTCAGCCAAAATTAGAAATAGGAAACGACGTGAAATAGTCAAGCCGATCTCCCTATCTTTTACATCTTCTTTTCCAGGGGAGACCAAGATTAAATCTAGAACTTTCCGGATTTAATAATTCTAAAAAAATAACAATATGGTGGATAAAAGGAACACTACATTTTTTAGAACTAATGACGCATCACTTTGAGAATATTTGTAAGTCCTCTAATGCATTTTGAGAGATTTTCACACAATATCTAACACGATTGAGAATGTCATCACCATTCACCATTGTTGTGGCAAGTTAACGACATTAGTTGCCAGTGAGCGACTCGTCAGCATATGAAGAGTAAATCCCGCACGTTTGTGTGGTAATCACGACTGTCATTCATATCTCTCAGTAATTTGCAAGCAAAATAATGAGCTCAGTCATGCAATTAAAGGTTGACTCTGTCAGTCGGTATTCTCCCTCAAGTCGGTATTCTCCCTCAGCACCAATCACACTAACTTCCGTTCTCACCGACACCCCCCTCAGGGGGGACTTCTGACGGGTGTCTGTACCCGTCAGAAGTCCTATGGGATTTCGCGCTCCTAGGGGGATTGTTCCTGAGCGCCCCACCGCAAAAATAACAATATGGTGGATAAAAGGAACACTACTTTTTTTCTCACAGGTTTGTGTGGTAATCACGACTGTCATTCATATCTCTCAGTAATTTGCAAGCCAAATAATGAGCTCAGCCTTACAATTAAAGGTTGACGCTCTGTCAGTCGGTATTTTCCCTCAGCACCAATCACAAAAACTTCCGTTCTCACTGACACCAGATAACAAACACATCCATACTCATATAACTAACTAACTCATAAACAATTCAATACTTCTAACAGAAATTAAAGTCCTCGCCGTTGAACGTAAGAATCCTACCATCAATGCCACGGAAGTCGTCACTGCTCTTGTCGCCGACCTTTAATAGAAACGACCTACTTCATTAACGAAATCAGCCACAACTTCCTACCGCACTCAAAAAAGCTTCCTAGTTATTATGTGGCAACCAAATCCTACGAATCATAATTCTAACCAGTATAATGTGTTCTGTTCGAAGAGCGGGGAGGACAATTGCCACGTGACGACCTCAGTGGCATTGACGACAGCTTATATGTCGTCCATGTTGCTATAACCTTTCACTTTAGCAGTGGAGGTTTACTGCCTTCTAAGTGGCCGAGCCACAGGGTCACGGCTACTGTGAAGCTATTGTAGAACAGTGTAGCCTTATTTTTATCCTCAACAGATTCTGTCAAGCCTGCTTTGGCATGTAAAGGTACGCACACAGTGATAGCAGGTTTGCCCGCGCGGGCAACCTGCTCCAACCTGCCACAAGAATGAACATAGGATAATAATGTAAGTGTTCACAGTGAAAACCTGTACGAATAGGCTTCTATGTTCTATGGTTTCAGGCGCCAGCCTGAGCAGGTAACCAGCACGCTGGCAACCTGCTTTCACTGTGTGCGTACCCTAATGACCTATTTTAGTTACCAACTTACCAATAGTTTTAAGTTAGTTGAGCTGAAAATATTGCGTTGGAAGCTCAATTGAGTTGAGAACAGTTGTACCTCACCGAGACTTCATGGCAAGGGAGAACTGTAGTGAACAACAGCCGGCAGGAACAGCTTGGAACAACGGAGTTCCCTGTATTCGGTGAGCGTCTGAAGCTAATCTTGTGATGAAATAATCAAGGAAACGAGGATAGCGTGCAACTTTGTAATGATCCAGTCAATAATAGTCTAACATTGTTTTACAGGAAGCAAATGTACATAATTTACAGAGGTAATAGAAAGGCTACAGAACTTTCTTTTTACGAGCTTATTGCCACTGAGTCTGATTGATTACTCTTCTGCAGCAAAATAAGAAGTCGTGCAATCGAGAATATTAATCAGATAGCGCTATTTTCTAACAGTGATTTGCATTTATGTATCTCGAAGTTTTATTTGAAGACGCTTGCTTGAAATTCAAAGAAGATCAAACTGCAGATCAAACTCAGTTTTCGCCACGTTTTCAGATCCGTTATTAGACAATAATGTAACTGTGAGATATGTTCATACAGGGTGAACCATAATTAACTGACCCTTTTAATTTGTTATTAAATAAAAACTAAGAACGTTATGAAGTTGAAACTTGTTTTATTTAAAAGAAGAAAATTTTTATGGTAATATTGTATCCTATTACAATATTTTATTATTGTATTAGTTAAAATATTTATTATGTATTAATAATATGTATTAGTTAAAATATTGTATGTAATATTGTATCCTAGTTAGTTATTGTATCCTAAAAACTAGGATACAATATTACCATAAAAATGTTCTTTTAAATAAAACAAGTTTCAACTTCATAACGTTCTTAGTTTTTTATTCATTAACAAATTAAAAGGTTCAGTTAATTCTGGTTCACCCTGTAGTTAATAAAATATGCGAGCATTATTTAAAACTATACATAAAACCGATTCTACCTAATATAGCAAAACAAACAATGAAAAAATTTATCACCCGGTCTACAGATGACAATATTTCATCCTAATTCGTTAGCTAGCGCATGCAAATAAAAGCCTTCCAGCCACAATGGCCGAACGTGGGAACCCTAAAAGTGTTGAGTTTTCCACAACAGCACGCGAGGGTTGATTTTTTAGACCTCCGTGTCTCAGGAGGGTTAAAATACAATAACAATAAAAGCTATCAAGTAAAACGCTGCAGCGTACCGACAGTGCGCATAATCTCTGTGTGGCGATATCTGAAGAAGTGTGCGGAGATCTAAAATTGTCCAGTTATACAAGTGATCTAAAAGTTTTTAAAATGTCACGTAGGAAACTCACTACCGAAGCCAAATAGAACAAGTTTGTTATTCTTACTGTCAAAATAACGGAATGCTTGAAACCAAAAAAAAAGGTTCCGATGCTTCATTGTAGTATAAATATTTACAAAAAATGGCTAGTCAATAAAAACAATTGTTATATCGTTTTTGCAAATACATTGATTGACAAAAAGCAAACCCATTTTCAATACCCAATACTTTCGCTGAATTTTACCATCAATCGATTAAGGAGGCACAACTTGAGATTTTCAATTCTTTACGCTCTTTGAACAAATTTTAGACTATCTTCTTTTGGTAACACTTCATTTAGAAAGGTCGTATGTTGTTTTTATTTTGAATAAGACTGTGTCTTCTTGCCAGAAGAAGATGTTACCTTCTTTGCAATACAATTAGCGAGCTTTTTGGAAGTATTTTCTTTTCAGAAGTTTGCATTTCTTTTTTAAGCATAAGTATTTTAGTCGGAAGTTTAGGCACGGCACTTTCTGGACTCGGTGCATTTGTTTCAGACGGAAGGATCTTCTTCGCAATCGCAGGTACCTGCTTCTTTAGTGTAAGCGACTTCTTTCCAAGTGATAGCATTGACTCTACTGGTGTGGACGTCGTCTTTCCAGGAGTCAATGTTTTCTTTTCAGATACCAACGTCGTCTTACCAAGAGTAAACATTTTTGTTTCAGGTGCCAACGTCATCTTATCAAGCGTAAAAGTTTTCTTTTCAGGTGTCAACGCCGTCTTAACAAGTGTCAGAGTTCTGTTTTCAGATGTCAACGTCGTCTTTCTTGGTGTCGAAGTTTTCTTTTCAGGCGAGAGCGAATGATTTCTAGGCGATCGTGACTTATTTTCAGGTTTCGAGGTTTTTATTTCAGGTGTCGGCATCTCTTTCTTGGGTGTCTGCGTTTTCTGTTTAGGCGTCAGTGTTTCCTCTTTGGGTTTTTGAACACTCTTTTCAGGTGTCAGTGTCTTCTTGTGTAAAAATCCCGACTCTTTTGGGGAGAGTGGGGCTTCCTCGTCAGGAGATATCCAAGCCGTAACCACGTTAGGTGCTCCATAATCGTTGTCAGCAGATGCAATCTTTTTTCGACTGTTCAATTGCACTCTTGTATCAGATGAAATCTTAATCGTACTCTCTGAGGGCTCCATCAAAATGCTTTCAGATATCTGATCCATTTCAGTATCATTGGACGTTTTGGTCTTCTTGTTGAACAAGCCTTTTTGAATTTTTGGTCCTGCCTTATTGCTGTGTGAAGTTCTGTTAGACGGAAAATTGCGCAAGGACTTCTTCCCAGAAACTTTATTAGACAGAGGGGAAGGACTCAATTTAGTGGGAGGCCTCTTCTTTCGGCGAGACCGAATATGATAAGAAGCTTTTGTTGCTTCACCCGTTGTCACTTGCCCAGACTGTTGGATGTGCAGGCTCGTCCTCACTTTACAAAGGTCAACCTGCACTTCGGATGGCGAAATACTTCTTTTTCGACACGGTCCTGGTTCGTTCGACATCACTAGCGGTGTACTTGATTCATCACGGTCTTCATCTGTATTTCCGCCCAATTTCTTGATAATTGACTCCAAAGATTTATCTTTGCCAGCGATAATAGGAGATGGACCTTCACTAGGACGCACATCAAGCTGCACTCTCTTCAATTTAAGCTTCAAAAACTGTTTTTCCGTAGATTGATCATGCATTAATTTTGGCGGTCCAGGTTGAGATTCTTTTGTGCAAGTTCTTTTTGGAGAAACTTCTTCATTATCAGAGAAATTAGGAATAGCTCGTTTTTTTCTTTTCAAAGAGTTTTCCGAGGACGACAAGTCCGAAGAAGGTAAGATCAGCTCCTTTCTAAAATCGCCGTTTATGAAGTGCGACTCAGTATAGTATGAGATAGTTTCCTTAGCTTGTACTTGATGTACCTCACACACGTGCTTCACCATACGACATTCTTGATAGTCCCTGAAGCCACACAGCAAACAAAGGAACCGCGTCCATCTCAAGTGGATAGCAGCGTGCTTTCGAACGCTAGAACCGTTGCAGAAATTTTTCCGACACAAAGTACAACGAAACTTCTCTAGGGAACAAAATGACATTACTTTACCCATAATAAAGGTATCGGACAGTGGGCCTTGACTGTTCGGATATTTATAACCAACTTCAAACTTTATCCCTGAACCATCATTGTTGTTGATACGAGACAAGCTAGAAGATTCATCATTGTCAGAGGTAGATCTAAGATCAAAAGTTGGTGGTAATTCTTTATCTTCGGTTTTGTATACCTTGCGTATCTGAATCCCGATCTTCTTCGTAGGTGATTCTGAAACGGGAGTACGAGTAAGTGGTCTTTCCTGGATAGCTTCAATGGAAGCACGGCGCGACGGAGCAGGTTGAGCAGCATCCAATTGGCAATAAAACTCCTTATGCGCCTCCAGACTTCGGTGACTAACAAAGAACATGGAGCAATCTGGACAACGCAGCAGAGAAGACTGCCGTGACGCCCTCACTTCCTCCTGCAAATAAAAACCCATCTTAGTATTTAACTTAAAGGCATGCGAGTAAAAAAATGGTTAGCAGAAAATTTTGTGGAAATTGTACAGCGAGAAAGAATCCGCGCATGAGAACATACCTCAGCCTTAACTCCGTCATCTGAAAGATGGACCAGCTACGGGGGACTGCTCCCGATGAGACAATGGTGGTGTGTGATCTTCCTCCAATCGATCGCTGTGCAAGCAACATTCTTCGAAGCCTGTGTCAAAGAGGCCAAGACTCGAAGCCTCCAGCATTAAAGAGTCATCCTTGAGTGACATGCCGGTAGATTCCGATCCATATTTTTCTTGATATCTATCATCTAGTTCTTGTTCAGCCACACTACCGCAGTCGAAGAGATTCACAGACTCGTGGCAGGAAACGTTTTTTGGTTGGGGACGATTTCCTGACGGACTGGGAATGATATCCTGAACCTCAACAGAGCTTTCAGACTTTCTCTTGGAGGGGCTTGAGTCATTATGAAACGATGGTTCTTCAACAGAATATATGTCACATTCCTTTGCATCGAATACTGATCTGTCAGAAGAATGAATCGATTGAAGCTTCGAAGTAGTTCCAACGCTGCCAGCAGAAGCCTCGGAAGTTTTAGCAGTTGACACAAGACAAGCATTAGTGGCATTGGTGCATTCCGCAATAGATGAATAAATCACTGGAGTCTTCGAGCGTATTTCTCGAGGCTCAAATAAATCTGTGGCAGCTCTGGGGACATGATCACCATTCGGAGGAGCGTTCAGTGGTGGTAATGGTTCAGCATCGTCGTCATCAGCCCAGTCTTCTTCGTATAATTCCCATACTTTTGAGGCTTTTTTAGCCGGAGATTCAGTAGGAGGCTGACCGAGCACAGTGAGATTTGCGAAAGCAGAAGTGGTTGGCTTATTACTTAAAGTTGGACGTAGGCTATCTGGTACCGACTTCTGGACTTGGTTATCTTCACTTTTATTTAAATCACAAGAACGATGTTCATCACAGGAAGATCCTGATGATTTCTCCGAAGTGTCACACGAAACCGCTTTGCAATCAATAACTTCAGACTGAGCTATTCTTTTGTAAAAAGAAGACTTGTTATCGGTGATTCGAGCAGAGACAGGTAAGCCTGCAATGCCATGTTTTCTTTTCCTAGACTGAACTAAATTAGGGTGATACGGTTGCTCGTGATTATCATTGCTCGGAGATTCCTTTTCTCGAGGGTTCAGTTTGCTAGGATGGCGTATCAGATTCTTGACTGTTAGTCGGGTTTGCAGCATAACCTCATGCGCCTTGGGTTCTGTTCCCGCCAGTGAATTATGCCTTTCATAAAGCCTTTGTATACTCTTTTCAAGGGCATCTCTTTGATCCAAACTTTGACTAGGAATGCCTTCCTCGCGAGCACGTATGTTATTATTCCTTAATATGCTGAATGATGCGTCGTTAAACTTCCAGCGACTTTTCGGAGAATTTGAAGCCTGAGTGTCATTCGATAAAGTACTATTTGACTCGTTCAGATGCATATTGGGTGTTAATCTTGGGCTACTTCCAACCATCAAGTTTGAACTTTCATCTTGGTTGCCATTTTTCAAACCCGTGCGAGAAGACCACACCGAGGAAGAAACTTCAGACAGGACTCGGCTAAAAGCTTTACGGCTGATCAAGACCTTCACGAGCTGAGGTTTGGGCAGGAATGAAGAGTCAGTGTGCGTCGCGGCGTGCGCGAGGCAGGCTGTGTGTGTCACGTAGAGTTTGCTGCAAACGTTGCACATCCATCGCTCGGCAACACCACCGCCGCCACACTCAACACTCTATGGGGAGAGAGAAAATGTGTGCCTTTATAACAAGTTTCAGTACAAACTAGCAACCGAGTGAATCTACCAGTTAAGTTTAAATTATCAAACAAAGAAGCTCGTTTGTAAAAAAGATCAAATTTACAAGAACTTCTGGTACGATAACTTCAACAAAAACGAGTAAATTTCAGATATTAAGTGACCAAGTCTCACATTAGAAGGCATCATTTTCTCTCTCCCTGCCGTGAACTCAATCCAAGTACAATGACGAGCTCACTACCAAAGCATGCATAAATAAATCAGATCAGATACGAAAATCATGATGTAATTTGATGGAATGCAACATGAATCAACAATGAAATAATTGGTGCGAGTAACCTAATAATATGAAAATGAAGTCGTTTATTTTAGTAACGGTAATTTACAGCAACAATTAGAAGCAGCTATACTTGGAACATAGATGGCCAAGCTACATTACAAACCGCAAACAAAAATTCAAACCAGGTAGTTGGTTCATCTAATAATCCCATTACTTGCAACACGCTAATCAAAGTCTGAAGCTAATGATCCACCCACTTATGATGCCGGAATTTTTCATGTACCCATTAATGGCATGTCAAGCTGTTCTCATAATGACTCCGACCCCTAACCTCTAACTATCCACTGCAAAATGAACAAGATGGCGTAAAAATGAACAAAATAAGATAACTGCATAACTAAACATGAGCATGAAATGAACAAAATAAACAAGATGTGCAGGACATGAACAAGAGCATGAAATGAACAAAATGAACAAGATTTGCCTAACATGAACACGAGCATGAAATGAACAAAATAACATGTGCAGGACATGAACATGAGCATGGAATGAACAAAATAACATGTGCAGGACATGAACATGAGCATGGAATGAACAAAATAAACAAGATTTGCCTAACATGAACACGAGCATGAAATGAACAAAATGAACATACCACGAACATGATGGATACAAAATAAAGAAAATGGGCATAACATGAATAAGATTAGCATAAAATATATACATTTTCGAATATCTTGACCTATCCAATTGATTCCAAGTTTCTTATAGAATAATATATTAAAGAGACTGAACGATTAGACAGGAAACGACGTCCATTCGATAGTTGATTAACAGGCTGGGGAAGCCATATAGAAAATTAGTAGTCACAATGGAAGCTTTTTCTACATGGGTCATTTGGAAAGTGAAATGCATTTCATAGTTCATAGCAAGAATGATACTGTCAGACATAGGATAGGATGAACGCAAGCCCCTAGACTCACCTTATCACGCTGGGGCGATGACAGCATCGGTGGATCTAGAGGCTCCTGAAGAGAAAATGCCGTTAATTATGGCAGACGCTAAGGTAGTTTAATAGAACAAAGATCACCCACTTCAAACCATCAAGTCATAAATTGCCGGGCAGTGCATTATTCATTTCAACATTAAACTCCTTACATGCCAAAGTCTAGCTGACAATGATGGTGAGCAATGGTACAGTGACAGCTACAGATGCATCAGAGAAAATAGATAAGCAATTCATGATCATTAGATTTTGAGCTGAATCACTGGCACGACACAGCCACTCCACATGAAAGATGACATCGCGCATTAAACAACCGTCTTCTCTTCCACGCCTCCACTGGTACAACTTAACCACCTCACGTGAAGAGAAACATTGTTGTATCAACAACCTACCGTCTTCACTTCCACTCCTCCACTGGTACAACTTAACCACCTCACGTGAAGAGATACATTGTTGTATCAACAACCTACCGTCTTCACTTCCACGCCTCCACTGGTACAACATAACCACCTCACGTGAAGAGATACATTGTTGTATCAACAACCTACCGTCTTCACTTCCACTCCTCCACTGTTACAACATAACCACCTCACGTGAAGAGATACATTGTTGTATCAACAACCTACCGTCTTCACTTCCACGCCTCCGTCTAAAGCATCAGCAGCAGACGCGCCACTGTCGAGTGGCCCTGAAGCGCTGCTGGGAGTTTGCTTGTCTTTGTTAGAGTTGTTCTTGATGGTTTGTCGGAGATGTTCAGTTTGAGCCTTCGTCTTATGGTGAACTAAAAGAAAATACATTTTGTAGTAAAAAAAAAAGAAGAAGAACTCATTGAATAAAAACTTTAGCGATCACAAAATATACATATATATAAACATTACGGTATACATAAATGAAGACTGTGGCCCCAGTGAAAGATAGATGAAACTTATGCATGACCATCACGGAGCAAGAAACTACTTTAGATAGCTCTATATTGTATATAATTTTGCGAGCTTACTCGTCTGAAGATGTTTGCTGACGGCCCACAAGGAGGGGAACGAGCCCCCACAAATGGGGCACGAGAAGCCCGTGGGGTCAGCACTGCTGTGAGAGGAACGCACGTGGGCATCTAGGCAACTGGCGTCGTCAAAGCACTCACTGCCTGCAAAACATCAACACTTATTATTATTCTGAGGCTGCAAATATCCTACACATATTGTAAAATTGTCTACTTTTACAATATGTGTACAAATACAATAAAAAAATTACTTATGAAAAGTTTACACATACATTGTTTACAAATACAATAAAAGTACAGTAAAATAAACTATTTTATGATTTTTTGCGGCTGATTGACACATGCACCATAAGCAGCTTTCCGGCTACTTCAGCATACAAAAATACCAGTGCATTAGAAATACCTGATTAGATTTCTGTTCACGAAATTGGAGTAGTTTCAGATTTCAACTAAAAAATTGCACATATGTCCCTGAAATTTCATAAATACATGATAAACATTCACATAACTTTTCCCTGACCATATACAGACAATTGGGTGCTTATATACACCTAACAGGTGACTAAGAGTAACATTTTAGAAAAAAATTTAGTCCAAATTAAGTTTACAAAGTAAAATTACCAAAAATTAATTAGCAATCATTTTACCTACAGGCCAGGCATGTATCCCAAATTGTGAAATTCTAAAAATGATTATTTCAGAGCCTCAGTATAAGCAAAATATACAAATTCACCTCATAAATAGACTATAATCAACAAATGAACACTGACTACTACATACCAGCAATCAAATGCCATTGTCAACCATCAGCAGAGTTCAAGCACTCAAAAAACTTTGTGCTTTCAGGAGCTGTCTTTTCTAACAATTGATCGCGCGCTGAATTGCATACAAGGTGTAAAGTTTTGCACTAAAATATGGTTATTGACTTATTGAACCACTGCCAGAACCAGTAGAAAACCAATTGATAAAGTAGAACCTGTAGAGAACCAATTCAACAAGTAGAAAACCAATTCATATATTAATTTGGTAAGATTTATTCCAAGGTTGCTGTATAGCCTCTTTGATCACCATTGCAAGAATTTGGCTAACTCTGGTCACTATTCCAATATCTATGAATAGCATTGACAACAGTCAACATTAACGGGTTGAAACTTCAAACTATTTCTTACAATCGAGGCACTGTAGCCGCGAGGTTGATTGCTCCTCTTGTGCAGTATCCTGAGGCTCTTGTTTTATGGGCAAGGCAGTCGTAGACGCCGCCATGTTGGTTTGTTTTATGGGCAAGGCAGTCGTAGACGCCGCCATGTTGGTGCCGTCGCTGAGGTTGACGGTGGCAACGACTCGCCCGTCCTCTCCCAGTATGGCCATCACGCCACATTCGTGCTCACGGACCTAACACCACAAGTTTGTAAGAAGAGTTTGTAAAAAGTGGTGTTCATTACATCAGTCACAAATGCATACACAGCGAATCAACACTAAATTCGTAAAAATATTACACATTCTCGTTGCTCATAACATGACTGAAGTGATTGGTCCTCTGTACATCATAAATGCAAGCCAGCAGGGAAAGAAAATTTAGAATTAGTTCATTAGGACATGACAAATCATGTAGACGACTTCAGGAGTCAACATCGGCACAAGGCTCAGGTAAAACTTCATTGAATTCATGCAGTATACAAAAGCTCCAACTTAGGTTTTGGGCCCCAGGAACATGAATGACACTCGCCACTTGTCGTGCCTCTTTGAGATCAGGCTGGGAGTGCTCGGTGCCAGGATGACGGACAGACTGGAAGACCGCGTTACTTGCACCATCGGCCACGCATTCCAGCTCAATGTGGCAGTCCTGGCTATCTGCAGCTCGCTGCTGCTCCACGCTAGCAAGCCTGCACACGTCACGGCCTTCAGTTTGACGATCGCTAAAAAGTCAACTTTTAACGTACGGTATATACATAACAAATAAGAAAGACCTCAAATTGTGTGATTAATTTTGAAGGAGGAAGATATAAGGTGATGATAATAAATACTGAGCATTTTTATCAAAAGTTATTGCAGTTTTATTTAAAGAGTTCTATTCCCATTTTTTTCAATGCGATTTTCACATTTTTTCCATTTTTTGTAAATAAAACAAAAAGTTTTGGTAGCAACAAAGATTGTAAGACCTGTCATAAAAAGCTGAGGAGCCAGTGTTTGTGGCAGAAGAAGTTTGAGGCTCCTTGCATGTCTTGGCGCCGCCCCCGCTGCTGTAATCTGAACTGATGACCGAGCTGGAGTGCGGCGTAAAACATGAGCTCTCACCCTGTCAAGTAGATCAATCAAGCTTAGAATGAAGCGTGTCTCATATTCTATATTCAGCACATGTTTCTTTTTAATAATGTTAAATGCAATAACATTTTATAATATAAAACAAACATTGGCATCAGCATCACTGTTTTACTATTGATTGTGACTGGAACTTCAGATACCTAAAATTAATCCAACTAATGATGTTCCCACGTTTGCTAAAATAATATTCATATCTCAATTAAATTTAAGAGCATGAGAAAAGCCACTCATCTAGCAACATACTTTGGGGTAAAGATTCTTGTTGGCATTGTAGTTCTGAGTACAAAATATCCTCTTGTGAGCCAGGAAATTGACCACAGAGCGGAAGAGGCTGCGGCACACCTTGCACTCGTACAAAACTTCACATTCATAGATGAGAGCATGACGCACCTGGAGAATTTAGCTTAAATCAGCTACTGACAGATTCCATAAGCAAGGTTAGTTCTCAGTGAACAAACTTTACAAAAAAGAGGCACTTTTGTAAGTGCAAAACTAAAATGTGAGCTCAAGTAAGTTCGGTACACAACAAGTGCTGCTTTACAGCATTCAATAAAGACATGAAGCAGCCACTGTTACTCGGATGGTCATTAATCTCTACAGTAGCATTTTTACCTAAAAAAGTAGACGAATATTTTCAGTGTTGTCTGAATAATGTGCAATATTTTCCAAGTGAGATGAGAAACACAATACATTCAGAAATGAATGGAGTAAAACTTACTTCTTCAGTGGCAGTGGAGAGCAATAAAGCAGGACCAGCCACGCCTGATGCTGAGGTTCCACCCGCGATTGGCAGTTTGAGTATTGAGTAATCGGGATCTTCAGGTAAATCAAAAACTTCCTCTTGTTCATTCTGAAATAAAATTTTGAATAATACCATCACTATAAATTTTTTTAAAATAACATGGAGAAAAAAAGATAAGAAAATACCATTATATCATTGAAAAATCTGCAAAATCATCATGCAGACAGGGCACAAATTTGAAGTAGACGTAGAAACAAAAATTTGAAATTTGAACAAACACAAATATATTCTTCCATCTCCTATGTCAAGATTATATATTAAATGACAACTATCTTTACCATCAAGAGAGGAGTTCTGTTACAAAACTCAGCAGCTTTTGAACTTGCATCAGTAGCTTGAGAAGATGCAGATGTTGCTGTAGATGAAACATTTGTACTGGCAGAAGAAGAAACTGATTGGACTGCTCCAAGGGAAACATTCTTATTGGTGCTACTTTTCACAGATATGGCATGAGGTTGAGCTGTTACTCTGTTACTTATTGACAGAGATTTAGTAGCTGGCAGTGATTTTGCAGTGGCAGCCACCTTCACAGGGATTTTCTTGGATACATTCACAACTTTGCTTGTAGAAGCAGCTTTAATAACACTATGAAGGGACTTCTTGGACTTGATTGCCTTGGCTTTGAAAAGGGCTTCTTTGCTCTCAACAATTCTGCAAATAAAATATGAATTTACTTACAAATTCAATAATTTTTAATGTGTATTGGGCCCACAGGTCTATGAAAATTTCAAGATCCATAAAAGGTTTGAACATCAACAAAACATGGCATTAATATGCTGTATATAAATGAGCTTGATTAGTGTGTTCTAAAAAGAAACCAACCACATATTAAGTAATTTTGAAGACATTGTACCTTTCCTTGGCTACACAAGATTGGAATAATGAATAGTTTTGAGAATGAGCAGGTTTTCAATTTATTTTATTTTTTCAATGAGTTGTACTTAGCTCTGAAAATTTCATCTGGTGGCATATGTTTTAACAATAACACTGACAGTTGCTCAATTCTGCCTCACCTATGGTTATTCAAGTCAAATCTTAATTAAACTCACCTCACAACAGTTTTCTTGCCAATGTTGAAATGATCAGCAGTCCTTGACTTCAGTCCAAAAACAGCATCACCTCCATTCTTGAGGTAATATTCTAATACTTTGATTTTGAAGTCAGTTGAATATGAATTGCGCTTGCCTTGAGAACCCAGCAGAGCTGGGATTTGATCATCATTCATTTTTTTATATTTAACCAATCATTCCATGATTTATTGGGGTTTATATGCGTATTGTGAGCTCTCACAAATAATAAGAGCATAACTGATTAGGCTGGGCTGCAAAAATTTTAATATTAGACACATTTCATAAAGGGACTAAAGTACCACCCTAAACATAATTTTTACATAATTAAGTCTCCAATAGCACAGTGACAACCATTCTGAACATAGGGTGTTTTATATACATGGTAATGACTGTATTCACAATGCTAACCTTGAGACATAGAAGGCAGCACTGCAAAATTTAAAACAAGGTCAACAAGAAACAATTGTCATTGGACTGGCCATTGGCCATTTCAACTGTAAATTCTGGTATACATGTGATAATCAAAAACTACTTAAACTAGTAACTACCATCATTATCATAGCTTGGGATCTTTGATTAAATTAATATGTCATTTGAGCCTACAGTCAAATGGGGTAATAAGGGATGATTTTGAATCTTGGTTGAGACGATCACCCATGATCACCCATTTGCAACTGGTGCCATTTAACCCATTAACACAGCACTGGCAAGTTTATTAGCAACAAATGAAAAGTTAAATTGCTCAAAAACTACAAATGCAGTGGTTTGAAATTGGGTCTCATGGTAACAACTAACAAGACAAGTACTGAACAAGTCTCAGCAGCATGTTGTGCTTCAAGTCTGCTCAGTTGGCCTTGGAATGCTGCCGTGAGCAATGGCGCTCCTACATCAGAAAAAACCTAAGTTTTGTACTAGTTTTATAGGTAACAAACTAATACATTGAATAGTGTTCCTTAACAAATGTTCTAATGACAACCACAAATTTTAGATACTAGTTGAGGAGACTGAGCCAGTGATGAGCCTAAACGAGATTCCAATCACCTAAATATTTCAGAGCCAGCAGCTTTTTTGAGCTGCAAGACACAAAAAAACACCAGTTTCGGCAGAGACTTCCAGTAAGGCAGGGCCCTGATCAGAAACTGCTGTGCAGGCAGGAAGCCATTCCCCTTGCAGAACATCACTGACGTCCTGCCAGCTGTGCCAGAAAAGATTGTACAGCAGAGGCTGTTTTGTGAGCCTTATTTATTATTAAGTTTTATTTTCACTGTTCTCTTTGCCACATTTTACTGATCACCAAGTTATTTTATAGTTGTGGCTTGTGGGGTTCTTGTAATATTTTTATTTATTTTCCATCCATATTCATTCCTGTGTACCTATGTCCCATCCATTAACCTCACTAACCCATCATCATCATATATGTACACCATCTCAATGTACATACCAGCTGTCATTTGGGTTAAAGTTCATTTGGCTGGGTTGGCATTGTATTTCATTTATCCTGCTGTTGGATGTTTGGCTAGTTTCCTGAGAGGCTGAGATTCCTGAGTGACAAAAGCCAATTCAATACTGGCCTTACTGGGACTCTAGTACTCATAGGTTAGGAGTGCCCCAAACAAAACTATGTTTATAAGTTATATTGGTTAATCACAGACACTAAGCACTTTGAAGTAGCTCTACAATGTTTAGTGTCGCTTAGTGTCGCACTACTGATTCGTATGCAGAAAGACTAGGAAGTACTACTTCGCTGTTAGAGTACTTTATAGTGCCGCAACACGCTATGAGTCTTTTGAAGAATGGTAGTTAAGTGCTCAAATAATTAATCATTCCCTAAGTAATTCTCATTCTTTGCAGAAGATTGATGTAAAATGTCTAATTGTGATGCAATATAATGGTACTAGTGAAAATTATGATGGTGAGCTGAAATTCGCAATGCGTCTGCGCACCTTTCTCATATATTCAAAGGCCACGCTTCCCAAAGACATCGAACAAAAGAGAGAAGCATGGAAAGTTCTTGCAGAAGAATTCAAAATGACTCCAGAAAAAAAAATCAAAACATGGTATCAAAAATGAGAAAAGTATTTTCTACTTCTACGCTGTTCATCTGTTTCGCCAAGGAAAATGTCAGCCATAAGAATAACATGTTATTCGCTGAAGCAGTACACTTTTTTATATTCATGGCATGTAGTTCCTGAGGTTTTTATGCAATGATGCATTTGCTGTAAGCCAAACAGATCCATAGCTGACGAAGTAAACAAGGTGAAATATACCATAGTGTCGTCGTGAAGTGCGGTATGTAGGACACTTCAGATTTTTGTAGTGCGCGTTATGCTTTTGGCCCTATTTAGCATACCAACCGTAGTGTTCCATGCCACACTATGGCTTGTAGTGCATGTGCTACTTTATAGTGCTAGTGCCCTATTTAGCATGACAACCGTAGTGTTCCATGTTGCACTATAGTAGGCACTACGGCTTGTAGTGCGTAGTGCTACTTCATAGTGCTAGTGCCCTATTTAGCATGCCAACCGTAGTGTTCCATGCCGCACTATGGCTTGTAGTGCGTAGTGCTACTTCATAGTGCTAGTGCCCTATTTAGCATACGGGCCATTACCATATCCATGAACATGCCATTGAGCATTTACAACGACCTTGTCCTCTGTAAGCTTCATATCAGCAGCCACGTAGCATTTCTTCAGTATCTGTAAGCTTACAGGACGGCTTGTAATTTCACACCATTCAATTGGGTTAAGTGAATTCACTATAAAAGAAAAATCATAAAAAACATACCTGAAACAGGAAAGAATGTTTTAGTGACAACCATCATATGTTATGGAGAAATAAATCATAGTTTAGGTCAATTACTTTTCATTCTATGACGCCCGGTGCACAATTCTATATACAGCATTCTATGTACAATTTTGTGACGACCAATGATGCACTAATTTTTCAATAAGTGAATTTTTTTTCACTGAGCTAGGTGAATGTAATCAAAATTCTTTGTTGTTAATCAATTTTTTTTGTAAACTGGAGCCTTTGCTAACTGAGGTTCTACTGTAAATGCATTTTTAAGTGTCCCTAATTACTTTGAGGGAGGGTGTCCCTTTTTACCCCGTCGTGCGGAAATGGCTGCCATTTTTTTTATGCGATGGGCAAATTCCGTCAATTACGTTTTCAAGCCTACACCTGGGTGCAACTTTTATGTAAGTTAAATTTTTTAATATAGCAAATATTTTTTTTTTGCTCCAGACCTTAGCAGAGGTATACAGTCAAATGGGGTAAGACAGGATCGCAGCCTTCATGGGGTAATAAAGGACCAGCCCATGGCATGCATTCTGATTGCACTGAATTTAATTTGATGGAAGAATATGTTAGAGCAATCATTGCATGTCATTTCAGTGTTTGTTTCAACCCTCTTCTGCAAATAATGAATTTTTGATTAATATTCAAAGAAAACCTATGTAAAGAAGGGTCACAAAATAGTTAACCCTATTTGGGAAATGAGCTGTGTCTGATTACAAAAAATTTTTTGGCCAGGTTTGTGGATGTAGGCAGGTAACCTCAAGTAACGTGGAACTTTTGAGACATACTAGGCATTCCTCCCTGCTATCATCACTGCCTGACAACTATTCTAAAATGGGGTCAAAAATGACCGGACACGGGGTGAGACGGGACCACTAAATGATCCTGTTTTACCCCACAAATGGTACTATCTTACCCCACAAATGGTCCTCTTTTACCCATAGTTTATCAAAAATAGCTTTTAAATTAATATATTCTTGTGCATAAGTATACATGGAGTATTTTGGTCAAAATTTTCATCTATTGCTTAAAATAACCATTCTAACTTGTTCGCTTTTTCAATTAGATAAATTTAGCATACTATTGTGAATTGCATCATGGGGATAGAGAAAATAGGGATGTCTCTTCCCATTAGTGAGCTGCAGAACAATGTGCAAGAAGGTTGGGGGAAAAATCATTGTGTGAAACATAAAAAATAATTATATTCATAATTTTGTGAGCGGGCATGGGATATGTTTGAAGAAGTGCACCACAAATGCAGTTAATAAGAAAACACATGACATCTGACTCTTAAGTTATTATCCATTGGTTTTATTACCAATTTGATAAATTTTCAGACAATGACACTAATGGAATATAGCATTTGGCAGTGCTCTACAATGAATCAAAGCCAACCTACTATTTCTATGCTTAATGAAGTTTTCTCGTGGCAAAAACTCCAATGTGACTGATATTAGGGTTGATTTCCTGCAACACAAAACAGTAACAAATGGTTGTTTAATCAAATAATGTGTTTCTAGATGGATAATATTGAATATCACTATATCAGATTTATATTTTTACTAAAAACCTTGTAACATAAGAATTACCTGTTGGTCCTTTCTTACCCCAGCCTGGTGAGCTGATCCCATCTTACCCCAGTGGGGTAAGATGGGATCAGCGCACTTTTTTTAATCTGTACAGAAAACTGTGTTGTATGCAAAAAGTCTGAGTTGTAGCCTTGAAGCCCATTGCATAACCACACCGATAAGTTGCATAGGGATAAGTTTAGGATTTTTTAATTATTCATGGTATAGATGCTACATGCCTGTTAGTGATTTCGGTCCTGACTCCTGTCTTACCCCATCTGACTATATATACTTTTCCAAAATCACACTTTTCACACTTTTTTTCAGCGATTTTTTAGAGATAGTAAATGTCTTATTTCTTGACTAGCTTTATACATAATAGATAGTAAAAATGTTGAAGTTAATGCCACTATTTTTAGTTTTGCAATATTTTGATTAGTTTAACTGCTACAACATTTCTACGAAATGTGGGACGCGCATCCCGATTTACTGCCCCTTCCTTTTTATGCCCATTCAACTGTACTTTTTAATAATGCAATTCATAGAGTTCACCATTATTTCTTCTGAATTGTTCTCTTAGGAAATCCATTGATGAACTTTTGCTTTGGTCAAGCTGTAGATCCTTTGGAGAGCTTTGGAGTGCTCATGCTCAGTATCTTCTATACGTATCACACAGTTTTCAATTCTAATATAATATAATGCCATTTCATCGGACAGACTTTTTCAAGACTCTGTCTGACGGTAGACCAATTAGGCTAGTGCTGGGCATCTAGTATGGAACATATCTACTTGGCGAGCCGCGACTGAATTTTTTGAGCCGTGGTATTATGAAAAAAAACTCCTTAGTGCAGGAAAATTTACCCAAAAGTCAAAACATACATCACCCTCAGACCCTGGTTCCTGCTGGAGCAGCTGGACCCTGAGGGGCTGAGCATGGACTGCATGGTCCTGCATGGGCTGCATGGTAAGTACCTAGGCTCCTAGCAGCTAGGCTAGGTAGCTACCTAAATTCTAGGTCAATCAAAATAGTATTGTTATCAACTTGTAGAAGATATGGAAACCTACATAACTTAGTTCTGATCATTGATCACTGATTAGTATTAGGTATAAGGTTTTTAGCAAATAGCATTATAGCAATGAGAGGCAATTTATATGCAGTCTCTGACTCTCTGCAGTGCTGGGTGGCAACTTGTACTTGTATACCTAGCCTGCATAGTGGCAAAGCAGATAGTTTTTTAGAATCTGTCTCAAGTTCATTTTTGAGTCCTATAAGTAGACCAGTAAAGTATCATGGATACCAGCATAAGCTTACTTAAGAAATTTGTCAAAATCTTGAGTAAATGAGGAAATTAAAAATGAACTGATTCTAAAAAATCTTTGGTTTGTCACTATCATGACTATGTACCTAGGTAGGTAGCCTTAGGTAGGGTTAGGTGTAGCAGCAGTCTTTGACAAATTGACAGTACTACCTAGGTGCATTTACAGGTCAAGGTCAACTGAACTCATTTTTATCATGCCAGTCCCAACTTCCCAAGCTGCCCAGCAACTAGTATCAAATTCGAGTAACAGTAATTTTTTTTCTTAACTTGGGTCTTCACCCTGGGAAGTATAAAATGTGACTACATTTACGTATTACAAAATAGGAGTTTTTTCCTTCCACTGTGCTCTACATAGATTTGAATGACTTCCTGATACTCATAGGCCTACACTTCGTTTTTCTAAAGTTCATCTTTCCTCAGTTTGTGAGGATTGAGGAATACAGTAGCCAGCAAGGCCCATTTTTATTATTGGGAATAAAATTAAATGCGATACACTCTTTGTGCTTCGATTCTTATTACCGTGAAATAATAAAGCAAATATCACTAATTCAATAAACGGCGCAACAGTAATCAAGTTGATTCCTTAAAAACACTCAGTCTGTCAGCAAACAACAAAGGACTCGCTTCTCTAATCGGACGAGGGTTGTCAAAACTGATCACAATTCGCAATGGGACAATTATAGAAGGGTTACCTATCTCGATTGAAGAAGAGAAAACAAGCGTTTGTGTTCAAGGTTGCACTCGCTAGAGGGCGCAATTCGGCGGGACCTCGTAGAAGTTATTGTTTTGATTTACTAACAGTTCATGATTGATTGATTTACTAACTAACTACATACAGTTCATTTACGTTACGCAATCAAAATTTCGCAGCGGTGAGATACTCCTTTAAGATTATGAAGCTTCAAAGCCTCTATTATCGACGTCTGTGTATTGACCTCATTGAAGTATATAAGTATACCTACGGTTTATGCAAGGCCCTGGGGGAGTCCTAGAATTTGAAATAAGAATCAACAACAGGGGCCACTGCTATAAACTAAAAAAACTGCGCTGTAACACATCCATGCGACAACTTTTTTTTTAGATTCGAGCCACCGCTCCGAGTATGAACTTATTCAAGAACAGACTACGTAGACAAAGCTATGCAGGAGCATTTGTTCAGTCTTGAAATGTCCAGCTATCTTAAACAATCGTCAGCTAATGGAAAGATTGGGTTCAAACGGCAGGATCCCTTGTGAGGTCATGAAAAGTACAAAAAACGGCAACAGGCCATGGGCCTATTTCTTCAGTGCCGAGTGCCGACACTTCTATTCTATTAGCGCAGTTCTAATACTAATCTTGTCTAATATTAGTTCTAAGTTATGTTTCTAATACAGCGTACGTATTTCTCGACTGATGGTGCCACCATTGAGAGGCATTGCAGGCCCTAGAAGAGTGAAAGAATAAAAATCTTGTATTAGGTCATTCAATATACTGACACATAAGCTCAGGTTAGTAGAGAAAATGTCGTCTGCAACCGATTGAGCATAACCGCGGCATAAAATTCTTTTACTAACTAAAACAGAACGAAATAAAAAGTTCACGGCACACTCGGCAGCTAAAAATGTTCAATCAACAAGTATTCATTATACTCCTAATAGACTAATACATTCAATTATACACGTCAACATGCTAAAAATCCAGTAACAATGTACCAAAACATTCGGAATGGTCAACTTTACCTTCCGACTTTACCCTCCCTCCACTCTCTACTTATCAAGACCCCACTCTCAAAATCCTCCTCCTCACTCTCTCCGAACACTCAATTCACACTCTCAAACATTGGCACAGTTGCCCCTTCAGACGGGCCCACAATCATTGCCATGCACTCTTGAATTTTTCTCTCATACTCGGATGATACTCCACTTCGTCAATCTTTCCTTCCTCATTCCGAATCACCTCCATCATAGACTATCGCTCTCTCTCATATGCCCACATTCCATCACCATCAGCAAGTGCTCCACAGTTTCCTTCTCATCCCCATCACAGATAAAACATTTGTCCTCCCTCCTCTCATTCCCTGTATATGTACGAACTAGCCCCTGACCTTACGCAAAACAGAATGTCAGAACGTCCAAAAAATTTTGGGAACTCCTGTCATTTGGCAACAATGTAAATTGGAAGAATCTCAGTAGATCATAATGCTGCAACATGCAAGCACCATGAACTCCTAATTTTTCGACCATCGATATAAAACGCAACAATTTTGCTCCAAAAATAAGCTTCCTATTTGTTGCGTTAATAACCCAACATAGAAATATTACGAGGCAATACATGCGAAGGCAGAAGTCAAAGAATCAAGTTCATTAATTAATAGGTATATAACAAAAAAATAATAATTCCAGACAAAATATTCGAGTCATGAAGTTGCAGGTAAATTCGAGCACGTAGTGTAATCCTTAATCAACACGCCGGAGCATAAGGAAGGGATCACTAGCAAGAGCAAGACTGAAAGAACAATCGCAATAGTTAGAATCATCAATTGATCATAATGTTCCCTCGTCAATAATCATTTCGACTCTGAAGTATAATTTAACATGATGAGCGAAACGCGGTTGTATTACAGCGACACTTTGTGCAAAATTAGGCAGTGTGTAGGAATGTTAATTGTTTACATATACTTGCTTAGTATAGAAACTTACTTGAACAGTAAGGAAAAAGGCACTTGTTTATCTGGAAAACAAAGGATGCGGCTCAACAGCGCGACCAGTATATACTTAGATTAGGCACTTGGCAGCTGAAAATTAATAACAGAAAATAGCTGCTTTCAGTGAACAACTAATTGCACACAAAACATAATGGCACACAATGCAATAAAATGTAAATACGTACTAAATATTAGTAAATCACGAGTCATGAAACCGTGCACAATAATGCCAAAATACCTTAAAGTAAAAATAAAAAAAAAAAAAATTATGTGATAAAACTTCTTTTCGAACAATAGACCTTCAAATAACGCGCATAACTTGGAGCAACTATAGAGCTAATGTCTGAAAATAAAAACAAATACGAATCACTTATAGAATCATAAAACCCGACAAACAAGAACTAAAGCTAACAAATTAAACATCAAGAGGAAATTTAGACATGAGGAATGATACGTTATACAGGAAAGAAGCTGTCCATTGCAGTAACTCTCAGGAGGTGGAGTCTCGTCGCAGACGCATAAAAAAATAGCAAATGCCATAAATTTATTCTACATTCAATATATTTCTTGAGTCTACGCCAAGTCGGCGGTTTGATAAGGCACTTTTTACGACTCGCATACGAGTAGATGGCTAAGCCACTACTTAGTAAACTTAAGGGATTCGGGGCAGATGGAATAGACAAATATAGATTAACTAGATAATGTCATGATTCACATAACTTGCACAAAGTTTTGAAGCAATTTCATTTAGAATTTATTTTTTATGATAAAGCAACAAATTTTATACTTTCAACCGACTGAATAATTCAAAAGGCAGGATACACTACACAAATATTTTTCTTCAAGAACAAGATCGACACAGATATATTAGCAAATCAAGAGTTAAAAAACCTACACAATAATGCCAAAATACTTAAGAGTAAAAATAAAGCAGATATAAGGTAACCTCTCTAATGACCCAGATGGCTAAAACGATCAAAGAAATCAAAAGAAATGTCGAATTGTAACCTTCAACAATGTCACACCAGTTGAAAACTGAATCCCGGCCATTGCAATTCAGAGAACTATGAATGAATTAAAAAAAAATAAATGACCATTCAATTCCAAAAACAAACAATACATGCTGTTAGAAAGATCAATAACCGGGGATCCATTTTATTAGGTCTGTGCCATAATATCAAAGCTTATCCCAGGTGTCCCAGGGGGTGTAAATGATCGCAAAAAAATAATAAAAGTCACAATACGGGTAATTTTGCTGGAACTTATCCTTAAATATGCCTCAATATACCTAATTGACCATGATCACACCACTTAACGTGATTGATCAAATCTTTTCGATTGCACAGTGTAGCACGCGAGAATTAATCCATAGCGGGGAAGTTTAGTTAGCGTAGATATCGCCCATGCTGAGCCAGATGTTCTTGACCTGCGTGGAGTGATAGAGAAACTCTTCACCAGCGCCCTGCTGAGCGTCTTGCCAGTCCCGCCCCTGGCCGTAGTCCACCCAAGTGCGCTTCACGTTGTCAGCTGACGCATGCTCCACGAAGCACGAGCCCGCCAACGAGCCGAAATACCTATTACCCAATAAAATATTAATTCATTTTACTTCTTGTGAGAAAAATTTCGTGTGTATTTCAGTGAACTCAATGACAAAGAACCGACGTACTTACTTTCTATCTTAAGAAAATCTTTCATTGCAAACGATAATAGGCTCGACAGCCAAATTACGAGCGAAAGCTAACGCATTACCAAAGTAGTAAGAGAACTTACAAAAATTGGAGCGATCGGCAAGTCCACACGTGAAGCAGTTAAAAATTTAATATTCATCAAATGTGCATGAGAGCAGGAAACAAAATTCTGAGAAGTAAAAACATCAAACGAATGAGTTGAGAAAATAACAGCCGTTGTATCTACTTACAAGAGGCAGGAGCAAAAACTTAATATGATATTTAAAATTATGCAAACACCCGAACAGTTCAGCTGCCACAATCGTGGACGCACTCTTAACATCGACTTTTGTTGTCAGGATTTGTTATGTCGAGTTGTACATTATCTATTTCTACTGCATTCTTTTCTTATACTTTGAAATAAAGATTGGAAAGAAACAATAATTCTTGTGATATTGTCAGGATTTGTTATGTCGAGTTGTATATTATCTATTTCTACTGCATTCTTTTCTTATAGTTTGAAATAAAGATTGGAAAGAAACAATAATACTTGTGACACGACAAAAAAATGTGACCGTGTAAGGAAGAGTCCTGAGATATGTTCTGTGACGACACTACCACACACCAAACACTCTGGACGTCGTGATGCTCAGCGAGGTACTTGCAGAGATGATCTCTGTCGCCGGTCAGGATGTTGACGACGCCACCAGGCACATCAGAGGTCTCCAGAATCTATTACACCACACACGTTATTAAATTATAATTTAACGCTTATTTATGCTTCCTACGCATAATCGTAAATCAAACAAACAATCTGTAATAAAGATCTCATCGATTGATACGTTTAAGGATATTTTTCACATTTTCGAATCAAACATTTAATTGCTTTTCCTGGTTAAAAATATCTAATCACAGTTTTATATAGCCACTTTTTGCATAGGAAGAACAGAACATCGAACACACCGGACATTAAGTTAGCGTTGTCATGACGCACCTGATGGAAAGCCATGGCAGGGCTTGGGAACTTCTCGCTGGGGACGACGACAACAGCGTTGCCGCGCGCCACGGCCGCGCCCACCAACGATATGAAGGCCAGCAGTGGGGCGGTGTCAGGGCACGCGATGGCTATGACTCCTACTGGTTCATTGAGGCGCACCACCGTCCCATACAGCGTCGTTTCCTGCACTGTGCCGCCATGTTTGTCGCAGTACGAAGCCCAAATGAACAGCCGCTCAATGCTTGCTGTTACTTCGGCCTCTGCTGAACTCTCTGATTCACCTGTCAGGAAAGACCTCAGTCTGGGACACTAATGCATGGAGCACGCATGTAGGGTTTCCTTTCCGTTTGAATTGAATTTAATATAAAAACATATTTTCAGACACGACTCTGCGGCCGTCCAAAATAACTTTAGTATCTTTGTTCAAGATACATTCATCGTCGTCAATGCTATGCTTATTTGTAGACCTCAAAAAGTCAATGCGTAGTTCTCGCGAGCTAACGAAGTGATAAAGCCAATATTTATTTTTCCATCAACAATTTGTCTTGACATACAATGCGAATATTAAGTAAGGAAATCATCAAATAGATTAACAACAGTTGTTGGAGTATACAGTCTCATGACATCGGTCTCATGAAGCAAACCTGTAAGCGCGCTGAGGTGATCCACAAACTCATTACGGCGCTGCTCGAGGTTCTCAGCGAGATAGAAGAGGATTTGTGATCTGTTGAAACCTGAGCGCTTGCCCCAGCCAGGCTGCGCTTTAGCGGCCGCTTCAACGGCATTACGTACGTCCTTCCTGCACAAGATATGATGTGCCATGTAGCTATTTGATTGATTACAAAAACACAGTTTGCAATGCATTAATTTTGGTTTCAAATTAAAAAAAGTGTTCAATCTAAACAATATTTGTACACGATGGAAGAAACTTCAACAATACTTAATATTGAAAATTGCAGCAGCACTGTTACGTATATCACTTAATTTCAATTTTGAATTTTATTTTTTAGGTTATCGGATTCGTCGGAAGAAACATCAGACTAATATTTAGTGAGGCTGAACAAGACTTTTTAATGCGAATATAATACCTATTTTACCCGAAATATTTCAAGAAAAGAGAGCTAGCAGATTGAAAATAAAGCATGAAAAGCCTAATAAACTTAGATACACGAATTGATATAAAATCCTCAAGTAAATCCGCATCAAATCCACTGAAGTGGAGCAAGAGAAAGATAGCCTACCATACCTGTTAGCTTCAGCAACAAGAGCAAAGGCCAGTCCACTGGGATCACGAAGAACTCTGCTATAGTTGGCATCAGGCCGCTTCTGGCCACCGCCATAGTAGAGTTTGTAAGTTCGGTCAACACGAGGCAGGGAAGACGAGTCGCTCGCCAAGACTGTCGCCAAGCCTGCATCAGCGCGAGGCTTCAAAGATGGCCGGTCCGCGCTATATTGACTTCCGAACGTCTTCAGATCCAAGTCAGGCTTAGAGAACCTTGAGGAAATAAAGTAAAAATAAGTTACTCAAAGTCTATAAATCAAGGTAGTGTAACAAAAGAATTATTTCATAACAGAAACGAAATCTAGGAACAAATGAAAATTATTATGAAGCATCACAGTTGAAATATATTCTTCAAGTACTACCTTTTCGAATTCATCAGGGAAATTTCATGAGAGTAACTTCACACATGCAAACACGTGTTACAGTTGAAAAGATAATTTAAAAAACATTCAGGACAAACAACACATCCAAGTTGTAGTATTGAATATTTTAGTACTTATATTATCAGTCTGCTGATATCGATATGGTAAATTTGCTTGGCGTTTTCTTTGCTTTTAAATTCCCATTGAATATTTCAGTTTAAAAATAAACTAAAGATATCTGAGCGCACCTGAGTTGAGGTTGCCACTTAGGCTTTATGTATTCATATAAGCCTTCTTTTCCACCGTCACGTCCAAAGCCACTCTGACGGTAGCCACCAAAGCCAGCAGCAGCGTCAAAGATGTTGTGGCCGTTGATCCACACTGCGCCAGCTTGCAGATGTTTGGCAGTCTCGAGAGCTAGGGTGAGACGCTCACTGAACACGGACGCCGCAAGTCCGTAGATAGAATTGTTCGCTAGGCCGATGGCCTCCTTTGCCGTTCTGTTGGTTAAATATATAACATCTTTGTTAATATGTTATTTTTGTTCGCATGTGCAGCAACTAAACCATTAGAATAGATGCACTCGCCAATATATTTCAAATGATTTTCTTATTTATAACTATCGGAAAAAAATTCATTTTTGTAATCAACACTTGGCATAATTTCTACGGAATAAAGAGTGATGACTTACCTGAAAGACATGGCCACAAGCACTGGTCCAAAAATCTCGTTAACAACACATGCGCTTGCCGGAGATACGTCAGTAATAAGTGTGGGAGGGTAGAAGCATCCTGTCGGGGCATCAACTTGGAAGACCTGTCAACAAGCATCGGCCACCTTGAATGTTACACGACTTTGTTCATGCTAACAATTCCTATAATAAGAACACGGCTAATTGTAGCAAACCACGTTCAAAAAGATTTCGAGAAGAGGAAATTTGAAACAGACAAATATAGAACTTTTCAGTCATCACTGACAGTAGGAAATTTTTATTCACAAATTCAGTAGAAACGCAAGCCAGGAAAAAAGTACAAAATCTCCACTAATAAACAGAAATGTACTTACAGAATTTATGACTTATTATTAAATTACAAATCAGACAGACGGTGAAACTCTTTGACTCGCAATGTAGGAGCCACCCTCACCTGAGCGCCTTCCTCCCTGGCGCCATTGACGCAGTCTTCAATAGATTGCCGTTGTTGCTCGGACACCACGGCCGCCATGTCAACGGTCTTGTCCAGTGAGTTGCCGACACGCAGCTGCTGCATACGCTTCTTGAGCTTCTTCAGTACCTCCTCGTACACAGACTCCTGCACCAGCAGCCGCGATCCCGCTGAACATACCTGCGCATCGTCAGTTCATTTCACATACCTGTACCAGTGAATTTAATTAGCAAATATCTAGAGTATATCACAATCTATAAATAAGATAAGTTAGAAGTCAAGTACTATCTAAAATCTGCACACAGATCTCTGAAAAATAAAATTTGTGATCATTAGTAAGATTAAAGTACAGAATCTGCTAACTCAAATTCAACCATCTTTGCATCAATGTAAATAGTTAAAGTCATTAGGGATAACAAGAAAGAATTTGAGCACAAGAAGGGGAAGAAACCCTTTAAAGAGCCAGTATCTAAGCATTCCTTCCATAAGATGAAAAAAAAATTGTGTTGAAGATTGCTTTTTTCACAAAGATTATTGCGAAATGGGAGCTACCTCGCCTGCACTTCCTCAAACTATTTGTGGCACCGCAACCTCATTGAACTTGCCTGTCCCTGGTTGAACCAAATTCAAAGGGAAGCAGCAGATCTACAGCACTTCACTTGCCTGTCCCTGGTTGAACCAGATCGCGTCCACAACGCCTTCAACTGCTGAGTCAATGTCAGCAGAATCAAAGATAATGACAGGACTCTTGCCACCAAGCTCTGCAAAAATAAAATATATGACAATTATTTCAAATTCATAGGAAGTTCTTTCAATATTGTTAATCATAATATAAATACGCAACAAAAATTTGTAAAAATTCAAGAGCTGTAACTTACCAATATTTGAATTAAATATTCACAGAAGATGATAAGAATTTGAGCAGCTTTCAGAAATGAACCTCTCTTTGGTAATATCTTTAAGAATAAGACGCTCACCCAAAGACAGCTTCTTGCCAGTGCCAGCAGTAAGACGCCTGAGCAGCTGCCCCACTTCAGTAGAGCCTGTGAAGGCAACCTTGTCTACAAGGGCGTGCGAGGCGAGCTGCGACCCCAGCTGTCCTCCTCCCGTCACTACATTGAAGACTCCGGCAGGCAAACTGTCACAATAAGAATAATAGTTAATCACAGTCAGACACGCTGGGTAACCGGCTACCATGGTTGAACTATACATATAAGGTTGACCCACGAGGATTTACGTCTTTCAGTTCAGCATTCTTGTTACTTCACTGAGATCGAGAAACGTAAACCCGTCATTCCCACGACGGACTGGTTGACTTGTTTGATCGCCTTTCGGTGATTGGTTAATGCCCGTGACGGCACTGAGATCAGTGACGTCACAGGCGAAATACAATCTACGTCCGCAAAAATGTGTTTCTCGTGGGTTAAACTTATACTAGTTCAGCCATGACCGGCTACAACGTGATGGATAGAGCCAACTTTCACAACAAGAAGGTTAGTCAAGCATAGCAGCTTTGTTTACCATGGCATGTGCTGCAAGCTGCAAATACAAAAATCTTCCTCCCAGCCAAGATAAAGCAGAGCTATACCGTATCACAAAATAATATTTGCTTTTGTCTTAAAATGAACTGCAATGACAATCCATCTTTTACAAGATTGAACCATTCAGCGTGAGCATTGTAAAAAAAACTTACTTTGAGCTGAAAAGACTTGCCATTGGTAAATTTAACATTTGTCATTAAATATAGAGGTATTTATAACTATTCATTCACAGGATTGCTATCATTGCAATTTGCACCCAACAGATTTCTCACCCTGCCTCAGCGGCAATTTGAGCAAGAAGCAGAGCGCTCAACCTCGTGTTGGTGGCAGGCTTCAACACAACTGTGTTGCCAGCAGCCAACGCAGGACACAGTTTCCATGAGAGTAACATCAGGGGGAAGTTCCAGGGAACAATTGCTCCCACAACACCTGCATAACAAATATCAAGTTCATTGAACAAGTTGCTTAATCATGGATAGTGACATAATATCATAAAACAAACAGCATGATAGCAATAATAAGTAACAGCCTAGTTGCTGCTCAGCAGCTCGATTAAATTCTCGAGTGATTTATTGATTTCAAGGACTTCAACTTTCTTGACTTGCTGGTAAGTAAAAACCATAATTATTTTTTGCACATAAGCTAATGTAGAAGCTTACATAAATATCATTTATAGCAAATATCTGTACAATCAAATGAATATTTAAACAATAAATTTGATCAAGATTTCCAACGAACAAGAAACATGAAAGAATACTCTCACCAATACTCTTCCAGTTATGCAGCTCTGTGTCCAGCAGTTGGGCCCAGCCTGCATGGTAGTAGAGGTGACGCACCACCAGAGGAACATCACAATCACGTGCTTCCCTGATACTCTTGCCGTTGTCACACGACTCCAACACAGCTAACAACCGGCTGTGCTTCTGCACATGACGGGCAAAGCTGCACAGAAAATATCTGACTTAGTCAAGCAAGTTATGTTACACTCATTTTGCAAGCAAACATCCTAAAAGGCATTGCAGAAAAGTGTTATTTTTGTCCTTTAAAAATTCTGAATAAAAGAAACCACTACTAGAAACAAACAAAACTCTCTACATTAAACTATTCAACTTTTTGCTCGCAGGTTCATTTTTGTCCAAGTTTACAGAGATTATTGACTTTGTCTCAAATCAAATTAAACTTTGTTTTCATGACAAGTCCGATTTTCTAANCAGGGTATCACCTGAACTGAAAACTTTGTTCTTAGTGGGAGTATTGTAAAGCATTCCAAACTTGGGATGATAGGGTTACTCATATATAAAAAAATTTAAATCAAACTAAAATTACATTACATTAAATTTTAATTAAATATATAAATCAGGTTTAGAAAACAAAAAACTCCCATTTTGGAATGTGAGACAAATAGGAGTTCAATGTTCTACATGAAATGTCAAATGTTAGAAGAGGTCATTCCTTACTTTCTCATTTAGATTTTCTGAAATTCTGCATTTGAAGGAGTTAATTGCAGTTGAAGAATTTACTAATTATGGTCACTATGCTAGCACAAATTGCTGTAATTGAAATTTAAAAATGCAAATGTCAAAAGTCCAGCCTCAATTTACTACTAATTCATCAAGTTAATTTAATTAAGTGAATTAATATTGCATTTTAACAAGTGCTATAAGTGCGTCAATTTTGTATTCTGGGTCAAAACTCTCACTTAAATGTTCATATTCTAACTCTTTGGCATGGTAGGGATGTATGCTATGTATAGATTGATGGTCAGTTAATTGGTTATTGACGGAGGCATGATTACATACTGTAGCAGCAAACATAAGAGGGAGATGGTTGTGGGTTGTTTTAGGGAGGATATTTCAATTGACCAAATACGGTAACATGCCCACTAAAAGATTAATTGTCATACACTACCATCATTCCTAGTACAGTGATTTAATGCTCATTGAATTCTTGCACATTTTCAAATAAAACAATCTAAAAATGGTGTTAGTTCTCATTTACTCAAAATCGTCGATCAATAAGTTTTTGCACTAATTTGCCCATTCAAGTATTGATGCTTTCTGTGTAAATTTTGTTGATTTACATACTACACTTATACTCTGTAAGTATTTGAACTGTTGTCAGAGCTTGTCTGCCAAATGTTTTCAATGAAAAAATTGTGAGTACAGGTAAGCAATCTAAGCAACCTCATGATATTAACAAATAAAATTTATGATAGGATTAATCAATGAAATATATTCAGGTATTAAACTTTTTCAACTCTTACCTTCCAATCAAGCTTTGACTCTGGCTTTACTTCCAATGCAAATAAAGTGGGCTAAAGAAATATCTCAAGGTCACCTGTAAAGATGTCTTGCTCTTGCATGACCAGAAAGCTTTGACCAGGACTCATAGGCTGCAGCAGCAGCTTTAACAGCTGCATCAACATCTTCTTCAGTTCCTTGGCAAGTCTGAGCCAAAACAAGGCCAGTGGCAGGGTCAATCGAGTCAACAAATTTGCCATTGTCATCTATGACAAATTCATTGTTGATGAAATGACCAAATTTGCCATTGTGATCAGCTAGCCATGCCTGGAAAGAGAAAAACAAAACAGATTATTGTAAAATAGGTATACAAAAGTCCGCCACTGGGAGTAAATCTTATAAAAAGCAACAACAATAAACATCTCATTTGAATTATCCTTCTTTGCAGTAAAACTTTGCTAAATCCGTGCTATATGCCAAATGTTTCAAGAAATAAATGCACTTTGTGTTGTGCACAATAAATAGTTCAAACACCAATGCTTGGCAGCAGAATTGCTTGCAAATGCGTCATGTGACATGTGGCTGTGCACATACACACATCAGTGACCAAACCTACTTCCAATACTGGCCCAATTTCAGAGGTTAATTTACCTATTTTTATGGTCTAATTTATATCAGAAAAATAAGAATATTGACACTATTTATGGATGCAATTTTTAAAAATTGCACTTAAAACTATCATTTTTATCCACGACTTTGTAAAATTCTGCCAATATTCCTAATTGGGCACTGCCAGCAGCAAATTTATATTCTCCCAATGTGTGACTTGAACATATGCAAAATAAATTAGTATTAGATGGTAGAATTTCCTTGTTTATGCATGTCCAGTCAATGCCCAGAGTATGAATTGATTTAAATTTACAGGGAGTTTGATTTGATACAGGTAATCCCCCTGATACAGGTTTGATTGAAGACCAGAGCATACTTTGTAATAACAATTTTCTCATTGTTTTTTTATGGTCTTCAATCAAACCTGTATAAATGAAGAACTTCTGCCTAACTACACTAATATATACCTATATGAGTTGCTTTGGGTATATATTGAGTTGCTTTGGGTATGGATGGGTATAGCTGTTTTTGATACGATTGTGTTGAGTTGGGTATGATATGGATGGGTATGATTGTGTAGTTTTGGGTATGGTTGAGTGGTGCTGGGTTGGGTTGGGTATGGTTGTGCTGGCTGTTGGGTTAGGTATGGTTGAGTTGCTCTGGGTTGGGTTGGTTGTTGGGTTGGGTATGATTTGGTTTGTTATGGTTGTGCTGAATTGGGTTGGTTAGGGTACAGTTGGGGAGATTTGGGTATGGTTATGTTGGACCTGATTGTGTTGACTATGTTTGGGTTGGGTATCATCTGGCTGAGTCAAGTTGGTTTAAGTATGGTTGGGTTGGGTTGGATATGGTTGTGCAGAGTTTTGTTGGGAATATTTGGGTTTGGTATGGGTTATCTAATTGGGGTGGGTTGGGTATGGTTAGCATTGTGAAAAGATATTGCGTCATCACATAGCTGCAGCTGTAGGCAGTTACAGGGATTGAACAATATTCAGTTATTAATACACTATGAGCACTAACACATGAAGGCTTTGTGAAAAGATATTCATCTCATTGTATAGCTGCCACTGTTGGCAGCAGAAGGGGTTAAAATATATAAAGTTATTAATACTCAACAAGCATTGACACCTAGCAGTGAGAAGATATAGTGAAATTGCATTGCTGCAGCTGCTGGCTGTAGCCCACTGTGCAGAAAGAGGGTGAATATAGCAAGATCTTTGGCCACGCATCAGCAGCAAAATTTACACCTTCAGAAGTTCTTGCCGACATTTGGATTGAAATTATTGCATTCTAGATATTTGCCAGTCTTCAGCCAACTATTTAAAAAATAGTTGAAAATCTTAAAGACCGCAAGGGGCAGATGCAATGAATAACGAGAACAATAATAATTCTAAAACTAAGCAACTGTTGCTAGGACGTAGGATTCACAATAGCTTTGTTGCTATGAGCACAGCGAGGTTGAACTATTGGCTGTCCGGGCAGCAGAATCGTGTTGAGCCTTGCTCTACTTTGCCACTCTCTCAATAGATGGCACCACACATCTGGCTGCCAGATAGCTGCCGAGTTACGTATATGAGATGCAGTGCATGGAGAGTAAGGGATATACTAACATTGTGTAGCTGCAGTTATCGGCAGCAGCCGAGGTTGAACTAGGCATGGTTATTAATACGCTATGAGCATTGACAACTAGCATCAACTGCGCAGTTGAGATTGAGAAGATATAACATCATTCAATGATGATCAAGCGTGGAAAACATCTTTAGGGCTGCGACTAGAGCTTTCCCACCATTTACAGAACTGCAAGATTTCTGCCAGATGAATTACCTACTATATAGTTGTTAACAAAAGTGCACAATCAGGCTGCAAGATTCCAATTGCATTAAAAATTCGTCACATTGGAGCCGCAAGATTTAAGAAACAAGTAGGAGAATTTTAATCCTGTCCTGTTTTTCCATAACTGACGATTGGTTGAGATAGCTGCTGGACTTATTGCAAGGCCCGTAAGGTGCTAGGCATTTCAAGACTGAACATATGTTCCTGCAATATGATAATCATTGAAATATAGCGGTATCAGCATTTACTAGGCCGTATGCCTGTCGCCGATTCTAAACAAGAAAAAACATTCACAGCTTGTTGCAGCCTTGAGTACGCAACTAACTGCTCTAATTTTGCTTGGCTGCTCCTACTCGCCGATTCTGCCCAGAAACTGGCACACAGAACTGGGATTGAACCCGCACCTCTCTGCTCCTCCAATTATGTTACTATGAACTGTAACAACTGGGCCACCCTTCCTGAAGTAGACTGAAGATTATTCATGTTATAGGTACAACTAAAAGAAGTGACTACAAAATTAATTTCTTAAGAAATTCATAGTAACAACCTGATGACCGGTGCTTTCAACTTATTCCTTGTAGAGCCTTCCTACTAATGTACCATGGTCAGGAAGATGTGCCAGGTGCGCAGGAATTTATTTTGTCATTTTAACGACCTGCGCGGTGCGCCGTACTATGCTGGTAAAAAAAATGTGCCGTGCGCCGTACTTTAGAAAGCTAAAATAGTTTTACTATTTTAGTTGACAATATACGCGAGTATATTGACTACGTACGCGAGTCGAACTGACAATAATAAAATGTAAGACATGTCCGGGTTACTTCTGACTCTTCTGCTTGTCTGCCTTGTCGGATACGGAACGTACGGTAATCGTAAACTGCGGCTATTATACTGTATACATACTAAATGTAAACAGACGGTGTTCAGTGTTGCCATATGACTTTGGAGAAAATTTCTTCTAAAATAAAGTTCTAGATTTCTCATTCACCAAATTTCCGTATCAAGAAAAATCATATATTATTGAAAGATTATTAAAGGCATACTGTACTGAGTAATGTGAGTATTACGTCTGTTCCTCCACAACTGCTCATGCGCGGCAGCGCAACGTAGAATTGATGGCCGGGATTGCGCAAACACGTGCGCGAAGAGAATCAGTTTTCATTACATTGTGCTAACTGTGCACAGCAATAGCTTAAAAAAAGTAAAAATGCGTGGGAAAATTCACCAAAAACATACATCATCCTGAGTGTGGCTAATGTATACTCATTGTATAGCATATACATTTGCAGATATGCTTGCTGCCGATTCTATTCTAAACGCCAAAAACATAACGTATTAGCTAATGCTACATAGCAAACTTTTTTTTTAGCCATTGAGGGACCTCCATTTCCGTGCTGGGTTCAAGCTGCAAAATAAGCATCTTAAATATTGTTAAAATCATAAAATGCATTAGTGTTGAGGTAAAGAAGTGTTCAGCGATAAATTATAACAATCGATTTACTGTTGGTTCTAAATTCATGTCTATAATAGTATGATTATGTTTTCAGTGAACTTTTATCATCGGCACAAGATGTTGCAACCGTGCAAGACTGGAGCGGAGGCAGCAGCTTTTCACATGCGATTTCAGGAAATTGCCCGTGAACAGATTACAGACAGAACAGTCAATTTTCACCAAATCAGATGTGCAAATAAGCTGTGATACCGATACAGTATCAGATGCGCGGGCAGTGTGGCAAGCACCAATGCCGCCAAAGATACTGGCAAACCAGAGATTTTTTAGAATCAATTAATTTTTAAATTCCTTATCTACTCAAGATTTACTGGTGATATTTTACTATTCTACTTATAGGAATCAAAAATTAACTTGAGGCTTTTGAGGGAGCATCTAAAGAGTCTCTGCTTTGCTATTATGCCTGACAGTGGCTGCCGGCTGGCTCATCTTCCTGACTATGGCAGTTGAAACTCGACTCTTGAGGAGTTGCATCCAATCCAAAGAAATTAAATAACTAGGTAGGTAAATACGCCCTTACATCAAGTATTTTCTTCTCTTCGAGAGCTGGTCCATACTCCATGTTGTCGAAAATTTCTTGTAGTCTGTTGGATTTAGATTTGTTGGCCATTCTACCCTCGCTTGACACAGCTATAAATTGTCCACAATATCATTAGAATTTATAAGGATTGCGATTTCTTGATAATCAACCTAAAAATCTGAAACGACCAACTAACAAAACGGCACAGCTGATATTCTACTTCTTACATACATTATACATACCCTAAACAATTTTATGCATACTACCAAACATCATATGCCTTAACCAAAAGTAGATTCAAATAATAGGCCTCGTATTTGCTCCATTATTATAATTAATCATGACAAGTTGCTGAAAATTTGTTGTTCTGACTGCAAGAATTTAATTTTCTTTATTCGATTGATAATGTAAGGGTTATTTTCAAAATTCAGGGTAATTTTGATGAATTCGAACTTGTTGCTTCTCCCTTATTTTCATTATTTCATATCGTACAGCCCGGCGGGAAGGGAATTCTACGTGCGTGTACACGGTCTTCTCGAGAGCCAGAGCCTACAAGTCTACGACGAATTTGCAAGGCTCCATTGATTTCAAATGAAGAAAAAAAATCTTGCACGCCAGCAGACTTTGATAATGATGAACTGAAAGAACTAACCGTAGGCGTAGCTGCCTGGCATCGATCGAAAATGCAGAGATATACATAAAGAAAAACGTAATATTATTATTAAATATAACAATGCTGAAAAAGTACCAATTATTAATCAAGAAAGAAGATTATTCCAATTTGGAAAATCTTCTGATTCAAGATTCAGATCAACATGTGATAAAGGTACACTAAGAACAATTAGTTACCTGCAAATTATGTAACTGTGCCAGTTCAGTATTCTAAATTTACCATGAAACCATCTTGAATCATTGAATGATCATTTAGCTACCATCTTTAAAGCAATTTCTCACTGCAGCTATTAGTCCTCCTATTAGCCACTACTGGCCCACTAGGTATAATGAACAAATTCTTTAACATTTTATAAAAACAAAAATTACATAATAGAAACCAAAGCATTTGTTTTAGAAACAGCTTCATTGTTAATTCCATGAATTATTTAACATTTTATCCAATTCCAATAGGCATAGTGACAAAGCAGAGAGTTTTTTAGACTCTCCCTCAAGTTCATTTTTGAGACCTATAATAAGTAGACCAGTAAAGTATCATGGATACCAGCATTATCATACTTAAGAAATTTGTTTAAATCTTGAGTTATTGAGGAAATTAAAAATGAACTGATTCCAAAAAAGCTCTGGTTTGCCAGTTGCCACTATGTGGCAATAGGTATTGTAAGCATAGTGACAAACCACAGATTTTTTAGAATCAGTTCATTTTTAATTTCCTCATTTACTCAAGAATTGAGCCAATTTCTTATGTATGATAATGGCATAACCATAATGCTAGTATCCAGGATACTTTACTGGCTACTTATAGTTATAGGACTCAAAAATGAACTTGAGGGAGAGTCTAAAAAACTCTCTGCTTTGCCACTATGATTGTAAGATAATAGGGGATTTAGGGGTACCTAGCAGGCTAGCTATCTATGATAATCCATCAAACCCAATTTGACATAGGCCTATCAGCTATGGCCATGGGGCAGAATTTCTTGAAATTATAGATGAAAAAAGTCATTTGATGGTGATGGGCAATGGGCATTGCCATTGGGCTGTGGGCACAAATGCTGGGTTGCTATAAACCTAATTTTTTTTTCAAATTGACTAACTTTTGTATTTTTTATTAAAATTAAATTGGATTTTTAATTTTTTTTACTAATTTGAGTTATATAGTCAAATGGGATAAGACAGGATCACAGCCTTCATGGGGTAAGAAAGGACCGGCCCATGGCATGCATTCTAATTGCACTGAATTTAATTTGACAAAAGAATATGTTAGAGCAATCATTGCCTGTCATTTCAGTGCTTGTTTCAACCCTCATCTGCAATTAGTCCTCCTATTAGCCACTACTGGCCCACTAGGTATAATGAACAAATTCTTTAACATTTTATTAAAACAAAAATTACATAATAGAAACCAAAACATTTGTTTTAGAAACAGCTTCATTGTTTATTCCATGAATTATTTAACATTTTATCCAATTCCAATATTGTAAGATAATAGGGGTACCTGCCACCTGGGCAGGGCTGGAAAAGTCCCATTTCTGTCTGAAATATTGCGGCTCTAATATCATATAATTTCAGTAGCCAGTAGGTATGAAATCTCGCCGCTCGAATGTCATAAATTTTTGTTTGATTGAAAAATCGCAGTTTGCACTTTACAAACATATCACTTCATAAAATTTTCAACTTTCGCAATCCGCATTGCTTTACCATTCCCGGCAAAATATCCTGCAGAAAAAACATAAACATCGTAATGTAAACAAATCAGCTAAACATTTTGTTGAAGAATGAAGATCATGCGTAGTTGCGGTCATGTCAAAGCAGTCAGACTGCATTAACACGTGCTCAACTTACAGTAAGACAAATTTTATTGTTGCCATTTGACTGTTTTAGGGTAAAATTAGAGATTTTGGGTAACACGTGCATGGACTTTGTAAATAAATTTGCGCCTCGTAAATGGCTTTTCATGGCCAAGATATGGAATTCACGGCTCGGTGAAATGGAATAACAGCTTGAAGAAATAGAATCATGGCTGGCAAATCCATAAAACCACGGCTTGAAAAATTCAGTCGCGGCTTGCCAAGAAGATATATTCCATGCCTGCACCCGGGTACCTAGGTAACCTAGCTATCTATGATAATCCATCAAACCCAATTTGACATAGGCCTATGGGGCAGAATTTCTTAAAATTATGGATGAAAAAAAAACATTTGATAGTGATGGGCATTGCCAATGCCATTGGATGATTGGGCTGTGGCTTGTGAGTTGTGGGCACAAATTCTGGGTTGCTATAAACCTAATTTTTTTCAAATTGACTAACTTTTGTATTTTTTATTATAATAAAATTGGATTTATACTTTTTTTACTAATTTGAGTTACACCTAGGTCCTAGCAGGCTAGCTTTACAGTCCTTTTCATTTGGGTTAATTATTAAAAATTTTATGGTTTCTGGCCTGGCCTCAGTGGTGAGTGGCCTGTCTGCCAGAGAATTAAAGAAAAATGAAGCCAGATGAAGAACGGTAAAGAACACTAAAGGATAACAAAGTGGCCACTGGCCAGTGCTGTAACTTTAATACTTTATATCATTAATTCCTAATACTATCATCCTAAATTAGCTATATCCTTCCAAATTCAGTAATTTATTTTCAACTGAACTATATTAATTAAACTATTTCCAACTCTCATTGAGTATGGTAGTTCTGGTTTAAAATATAAGATTTTTTTATGATATATATAGAAAACAATTTTAATAATATAACAAGGTAAATGGAATGTACCTTCTATGGTTCTATGTAGAAGTGCCTATTATTTGTTAAGTTTTGCTCACAAAGGGAAAAATTCAATCATTAGTTTCAAATAAGTTATTACTTTTATAACTTGTGGCATAATTTTGTATGTCTGTTCCTTTGAAGGTTGTAAGTTGCTTATCATTTTCCCTCCATCCAGATTCTCTCTCAGGAGCTGAAGGAGCCTCATGGCGTCTCTCTTGCTGATGGTTTACTGACTGCCCTCAAAGGTGTCACACGAGAGAGTTTGTCTCTTCGAACCAAGGTAACCTCTTCAACAGCTAGTTAGGTACTACTTCTTTGCATTTCATATATTATTAAAAATATAGCTCAAAATCTATCCCTTTCATAGATAGTTTATCTGAATATATCCTTCTTGTGGCAATAAAATGCATTTGAATTTTGAAGCTTAATTTCAGGCAATTTTAAGAATTTTAATGTTTGAATTGAATAAAATTATGATGCTCTCAGATTTTTAAGAAAAACAATGTATATGAGATCCTATATTTTCCTGGATTCATGAATTTTCTTTTCAGGTCTATGAGACATTGTTTGAGCTGGTGCGAGTGGAGTCCAGTGATACTGGAGCTACTATAAATGAGCATGTATTGGGAGGACTAACAGGAGTCCTACTGCGGCAGCTAGACCAGTTCCCAACGCACTGCCTACTGCCTTTTGTTGACCAGTACATTGAGCTCGCCAAGTTGGGCGAGCCACTCCATGGCCGGTAAATTGTTTTGAAGTGTTTTACTGTAGTCACTCCGTTCTTAACTTCAATCTGATGAGAAGGTTGAGAACTAATAACTAAAACTACGATAACTAAGAAATGTAGTGAATAAAGTTAGTCCACTTTTAAGCCTTAGTTTTGTTTGTATATTTATATTCAAACGAGCAAGACATGTCCGCGGACTTAGTGTGGATAAGATATTGCCTAGCACTGTAAGTGCAGGTGGCAACGCGCGAGTTAGATGTTACAGCATTTATAGTTATTTCAAAGTTTCTTACTGCCCTCTACCACAAATAATGAATTTTTGGCAACCATTTAAAAAATGCATATTGTTGGGTTGTCATGACAGGACCACAAAAATTCAGCATACCTCATAAAAATATATGAGTGAGAAACTGTGAGTGTTTCAAAAGTTGTGCTAGTAAAAGTCATGCTTCCAGCCTATACACAGTTTTTTTTAAATACCAGTGTGGTTTCAAACACCAAAGTTTTTGTACAAAGCAACAAAAAAGCCATTTGCATCTTATTACCGCATCATACCAGGTCGTCGGCAGCTTAGGAATGCATCTGAGGAAATTTTGTGTTCATTAGATCCCATTATATCTTCGTGTGAGTGGCATTGTTAGTGTAAGGGATGAGCACATTCATTGCTCCGAAGTCTTCAATTTCCTACAGGATTTCTATTATTAATTCTTTAGATACATGATTTGCAGCACCTGTAATGCTCATCTAGAGTATAGGCTTTGGTATAGTAGTCACAAAAGATATCTAGTCAGCTTGAGTGTTGCTACATCTATCGAATTCATTAACTTCAATTTGTTTGAACTTCAAATAAGACGAATCTACTTATTCAGTAAGATATCAAAGTCTTTAAGTATTCACATGTTGTGTTCATTCAGCTAACATCAGCTTGTCTGTGATTTTTTAAATTCATAGATTATAGTTATTTATGTGCAGACGTTAAGAATAATGCTACAATAACAAAGGAGAAAAGATCATGTACAGTCTCTCTGTATTTATTTAATCAAGTGAAAATGAACAAAAAAAAATTTTTATTGGGCTATATTTCTTTTTCACAACCCTATACTACCTTTTTTTATGCTACATCAGAAGTGATAATCGATTTATAACTACATATCACTTCTATTGAATATACCTCCCAGTAGGTACATTACGAGGTTCTTCATTTTTATTTTATTTCCTAGCTAATTTATTGTTTATCATTGTTCTCCCCGACCTCAATGTTTGTTTCCATGGTATAGAATCTATTGCTAATTAATAGTGAATTTTTTGCAGGAATTTCGACGTTTTGTATCATTTATTTCTTAAACACTGCAGTGGAACAAAGACTGAGAATTGCGTTAGGGATGTATTCCGACTTTGCTACTCACATTTCATTGCTTTTCAGCACTGACACTTCATTTTGTTTTGTTGCTTTGAAATAGCTAATGAAAGATAATGTACTTGGTACTTAACCCTCAGATGGCTAGATATATTGCCGAAGCTTGTGTGCACCATCAGCAAACGACAGGACATAATATTGGGCGGGACGCGGGAAATGACTGGTGAAGACTTCAAGTATCATGTCATTCAGACCTTCTGTGAGCAAACATGGCCTGCCACCACCACCTCCAGCTTACTGGTGGCATTCAAGTGAGTTCCTTCACTCAATTATAGTATGGGAAATCTTTTTCACTATTCGGAGAATTTTACTATTTTGATGTTATAATTGCATATTGACTGTTCCTGGTAACTTATCTCAATTTATGACAAAAACATGATTTTATTGTAGTTCGTCGTGAATTTAATTACTATTTTTTATACAATTTTCGAAAATAAACCAACAAAAGATTGTTTCTATATATAACGATTTTAAATTTATTGATGTGTAGTAACATTCAATGTTTTCTGTTATGATGTTTTCTAAATATCTCCATATTCTAAACATTCCTGCACTTTTTCAACACAGAGAGATGAACTTAGAGAAACAGGAGCTTACCGACATAGTTCTGAAGGTAGAGCGCGTGCTACGCTCTCTCGAGTACCAGAACGTGCCGCCCATTATCTATCAGCTCGTGCTGCTCACCCAATCAAAGATCCCAGGAGCTGCTATCAGAACTGTCGAAGCTTATTTCCGAGAGCAGGAGAAGAAAATGCTAGCAGAGCAACCGCAACCTATAGCCTCAATGGATGAAATTAACTCTGCTGAAGTGACGGACCAACAGATCAGTAAGCTTCTGCTTGATGGAATTTGATTACCTAATCTGTAAATTATTCATATTATTTTGTAACATTTATCTCCGTTTGCTGGTCAGCAAATGTAGGTTGCAATTCATGAATGCTAATTATTACATATTTTTTCACTCATTCTTGTGATGACAGATACTGATAGAGCTCAGAGGGACTTGCGCGAGGCACAAGGAACCGTCATCTTGCATGTCACGCATCTGGCTCAGTTTGATCCAAGCATTGCTAAGGACTACATCAAGCTCCTCAAAACTGCTCGCTGGCTCCCTCATGTTCTTTTTTCTCCATTCAATCTCTCTCTTGCACTCTCTCTGGCCTCCATTGAACGATACCAAGACCAGGTGATGATGCCTTAGTATTTTATTTTTCGTTTTATTAATCAAATGTGTGCAATTGCAGTCATAGCCATGTAGGATTTCTTCAGAAATGAGTAGTCAACCAAGAAGAACTCTTAATCTCAAATTTCGATAAAAAATATATTGCACTCAAGTGGTTATTTGTTTGAATTCAATACTAGAAAATTCAAAAGCATCATTCTATGTTAAAACTCTAATTTTTATGTATATCATTGACCCTATTTTATGTATTTTATTAATCAACCTTTGATATATCTTCTTTGAGGTGGTCGAGGCTGTATGCAAGAGCATTCATCACAGTTTGCTGCTGGCACAAAAGAGTCGTCACAGTGCGTGGCTACGCAGAGTGTGGCCCCTAGCAGTGGATCTGCAGAATGTCTTGCGTACCACAATAGTCAACAGTGCTCAAGGCTGGCAGCAGGTTTTTGATGATACTTAAGCAATTATAGTACATATTTTTCTTAAATTTAATCACCTTTTTTCAAACAGTCTCTTGACACACGAACTGATTTTAATGAAGTTTATTAATAAATAGGTATGAGATACTGACTGGATTGTTTCCCTCGTTTTGATAGGTCTTCCGAAACTTGAGCTCTATTGCAAGAGCTAGAATTATTTTCATGTATTTTTGTACTAGACGATTTGCATGAATTTGCTCTAAAGATTTTGTGTGTAAATATTTTCCCTTCAGGTGTGTAGCGGTGTGTGTGTGGTGCTGCTCAGCCTCCTGGAAGGGGGAGCTGGTGTACGTGATGAAGCTGCCAGTCTGGGGGTAACGTGTTTACCCTTGCTGCTGTCATCTCATCCCCAGACAGCTCCACACTGCCTCAAACAAATTGCTAACTGCTCTCTCATCGCCTCGCGCCCTCGACACTATCTTGGTAGCGCCTGCAAACTAAATTATTTTATGTAGTTTTATCGTTATGTTCGTTTCTCGTACCGTTTTTGTAGTATTTTTTATTGGGCGTTACAAAATCGGGAAATTTTGTCTCTTAATTGATATAACAAAACTGCAAGAAGTTGAAGATCTGTGCAAATCTCAAATTTTACAAATTTTTTTATTCAGCTGATTTGTTTTTAGCCCATATTCATTTGATTCTTTGCCCATATACCTCTTGCAACAAATTACCCATATACCTCTTTTGAATTGAAGATGAAATAATATTGATAACGAATGCTCTAATTAGTATTGCATCATCTTTAATGGTGTTCCCTTGAATTATTCCTTAATTTTTTTCGTTTTCAGCTGCCCTGAGCCGCATCGGTCGCTGTTCTCCGATGGTTCTTGTTGAACATCAAAGTCTTGTAAGGGAGCTGCTGCTGGAGCAGCTGCAACACCACCAACCAGCCACGGCCGTCTCCATCCTGCACGCTCTCAGCAACACGTTCCGTATGGATGTACCTCTCAGAGATGCCCTCATGTTGACTCTCAGGAAGATGCTCTTCTCAAGGTATGATGTAAACCTAAGCATTATATTTTTTATATTGCTTATACCTTTGTTCAAATGTTTGATGATTTGTTGAATTAGATTTCTGTTGTTGCTTGTCTACTTCTAACTCACAATTCTTATTTCTTATTTATAAATATCGTATTAAAGTTAGGATTGTGATAATGCAGTTTATACTTCTTGTACGTATTTGATTTTAACTTAGATATTGTAAAACTTGCGATTGATCCGGCGGTTCTCGGTTTTAATGGGCCTACTGTATTTCATCATTCAAATCAGTCTTGAGAGAGTTTCCTTAATATTGCTACTATCCTGCAATGATGATGTAATATTTAAAATTTCGTATTACTTGTATAATATTTAATCCAATATAACTTGCCATGATACGATGCTCATTAATTTTTTAAATAAGTTAGCTTCAATCTTGTGTGACTAACCTATGAAATGATTGGCATGTGCAGGACTGTCCACTGTCGGGTGGTTGCTGTGCAAGGGCTGCTTTTGCTTCTGCGACACTTGCGTGTTGAGACAACCCTCTCCTCATCTCAGGCGTCATTCTCCTTCTCTTCAGCGCTGTCACAAATAAGTGCTACTGCTGCTCAAGTACGCGTATTTAAAGTTTCATGGAAGGAAATTCATGGAAAAACTAAATAGAACTGTTGTCATACCGCATCTTATAAATTTGTCAGTAACCATAGTGGATCTATTTCTAAGCCATCGAGTTAGAAATTCTTTGGGCCTTCAACGATTTCATTGTTTGTGTGAAATGATTACTTTTCTGTTATAGCCTTCAGTTTCTTATTTGTCAGGTACATGGGAGTGACCTGGGCCAGCACGAAAGTCTGTGTTATGAACTGCTCGCCCTGTTGCGTCGTTGCTTTTCTCAACAACATGAGGTGTGTTTTTTGTTTTTGATAACATCGTTCTCAACAGTCGATGGAAGATTAGTTAAATATTCTTGTTAAACAATCCTGAATTGAAATTTCAAAGTATCCGCACCCTTTTTCTAAACTTTCAACATGTGTGTTAAAAATACTATTAAGATGTAGCACATTAATTTGCTTGTGATATCTCTAAAGTTTTCATCAACTGATTTTGGTTATCTATATATTCTCAGGTGCGCTCAGCTCTCTACAAGGGGCTCTACGACGTGTGCCGTGCAAACCGCAAGCTCACTGTGAACATTCTAGGTCTCCTCCTGCAACATCTCTCAGCGTTCATTGACACACGACCTGCTTGCTTAAATCCAATTGTGGTGAAAGACTTGGTGACGCTACAAGGAGACAGTTGGATCTTACAGGAGCCTCTCGGTGACCTGCTATCAGTTATTGCTGCTTGTAAAGTGTTTTATCGCGAGCTGGAGGAAAATCCTGCGCATTCAAAAAGTCTTCTGGATGATGACGAAGACGATGCAAATTCGCCCGAAATCCTCAACGATGTTTGCCGCACTTTCGATGTGCTCGAACAAAAGCTGTCCACGTGTGAACTGAATGATCTAGATTTCGATAACAATACCGATTTTTCACTTTCTGCATTGGGACAAAAGAATCAGTTGCTGGCCCAGATTATGTTCTCTGTTTATGATGCTGTAATCGGTCACACATTTTTGTGCGATGTCAGCCGTCCAAAAGAAAAAATGCAACTTTGCGTGGATCTTTTCAAGAAGCAGAGGAAAATTGTGGAGCTTGTAAAGGTGAGTTTTCTTGCGGTTAAGCCATGTTGATATCATTTCTGTACTTAAATCTTGAAAATATTTATTGATTGTTATTTGATGTATTGAACTTAAAAGGAATACTTGTTTTCAAGATAATTTCGTTGTTTTTAGGTGAAAAGCGCAAAATCAACTGCATCCAAGAAAGGAGAAGGAACTTCCAAAGGGAAAGGCCGAGTCAGCTCAAAGAATGAAGTTGATTTCAAATCGATCTTACGGCTCTCTGTGGTGACAGAAATGCTTGCTTTGTGCCTCTGTGAAGGAGAAGGCGAGCAAACCGACCTCCCATTCGCAGAATGCCAAGAACTTCAGGTGATTACCGATTATCTCTAGCTGCTTTGAAGTAAAACACATGAAATTAAATAATGAATTATAATAAATTTTTAAGAATATTCACGCCTTTTATTGAGTGTCGAGAACGTTTTTATGTAAAATACATTTTTTATTTTACGAGTAAATTCCTCATACAAGGTGTTATTGTATTAATTTTAAACGATTTAAAAAAAAGTTTTGACTCTGAAATCAATCTATCAATTTAACTTTTTTGTGCATCAATGAGACCTTTTATTGTTTCTGAACTTTAGTTGCTCGTATCGCATAAGCCTATAATTGTTTCATTTTTGATTTATATATGACTATTGAACTTCAAAACTGGCAAAAAGTCTATGGTTCTGACCAAGGACTACTACACACATTGTAATACTATTGTATGAAACAATTATGGGCATATCATTTGTTGATGCCACTAAAACAACAGGCTCAACAGCATTTTCATAGTGTAGGCGATCGCCTCTGCTAGCAGAGGCTGGACATAGGCTATGCATGTCCTGTGTGTAGTAGTCCTTGATATGACTACATTTGTTTTACATGGTAATGTTCGCCTTTCCTTCACCAGGCATATCTTTTGTCTTGCGTGGAGAGCCACGTTTCCGCACACTCGAACTTGTCAATTCAGGAGCGCGACCGTCACCTTCCTTATCTACGTCGTCTGGCTCGTCTCCTGTTTGTGGAATGTTTTGAGCTCTGCGGCCGCGTTGACCCTGACGACGAAAGAGAAGTTGCGAAATTACACACATGTGTTAACATTGTGCACTCGCTCATGGACAATTTTGTGAAGCACCACGGAGACAAACTCGAACAAATTTTGAAGGATATCACGAACAAATCAGCCAGTAATGATGTTAACACATTGGCATTTCTGGTAGTGAAAGGATGCCAAAAAATGCTCGTGAGGCTCTTGGGAATAGAAGATAACCAAGCCCTTATGAAGGATTCAACTACCATAGTTCAGATCATTGCCCAAGTCGTGTGTATCATTAATCATGATGCTGAAGAACTCCAGAAAGCCTATGAATGGGTTGAGAAATTTTCCAAAGAGAAAAGCATCGGTTATGTCCCTCTTTGTGAAGCAATTATGAAACTTCTGCTTTTCTTGTCTGACCAAATTAATGCACGCCACAATCTTGATCAGCACTTGGCTCGTGACATTTACCACTGTTTGGGAGACAACGATGAGAGCGTCATAGTGAGTGATACCCGCATCGAATTCAGCATAATTTCCGAGTCGACGGTTACGGGAAGCATCAGTGTGCTTATGGCGCATCTGGATAGCTCTTTGGCCATCACTGAGATGTCACTCAATAAAATGAGAGCTCATCTTTGTACGCCCACAGACTATCCATCAGACAAGGTTGAAGAAAATGTAAACATTAAGTTGGGTGTCATCATTAAAGCTATGAACGAGGTCGTGCGATCAGCCCTTCCACTTGGACCCGTTATGGATTTGGTGATTAAAAAGGCTGAGAAAATTTACGGTATAATGGCGCTTTACATTCGTTACTACCTCGACTTGTTCAGAGTTAAGAATTATCCTCAGATATCAGAGAAGTTCGAGCGTTTGGTGCACATGTCTGGGGAGCTGCTGTCCGAGCCTCTCTACCTATTCCTTAACTACGTGGAAGAAGCGCGCAGTGGCGATCGAAACATCGCCCTTCAAACAGCAATGAAGGAGTCCAAACTCATCCCTGCTCTTGTATTCGCCATCGAAAAGTATGAAAAGCTTGTCATTCAACTTTCCAAGCGTTCTAAAGTCAATTTAATGACAGGAATGAAGTTGAGCACCCTGAGAGATTTCAAAATTGAAACTAACAAACTTGAGCGCTTGAACAACAGTAACGATGATCAGGAAGAGCGGGAAGATGCAGAAGAACACGCTCCTGCCTCTTCCGATGAGAAAACCATTCCAAAGAAGAGGAAGGCTTCGGCCGACCCCAACAATGCCTCTCAAAAAAGACGAAAGCTTCAATCCAAATGAGAGAGTGTTAAGTTTGTTGAGCTTCTGTGTCAAGTTTGTTGAGCATCATTGCCGAACTTCGAGAAAAATGACAGTGACCTGTTATGACGCAAAATCCGTTGTCTGATGGTAATTATCACCGTGTAAACACAGAGGAATCGGTTTCTAAATATGTTGTTTTCTAATGTTTACAAATGATGTACAGAATATCTTTTCTCATTTAAGATAAAGGAACATATATTCTTTGTAACTGAACTAAAAATTAATTATTTGCCTTAACGGGTTCTTTCGTTTTATTATTGCATTCAGATAGTCTGAACGAATCTAAGTGATCTTACACCTTAATCTTTCAACGACTTTTTCACACGAACAACGATGAAAACTCAACGGTCTTGATGGGATTTAACTTCTTGACATTCAAAAGACACTATATTTGGTTTCGAGTTCATACTTTACACGTAAAAGGTGGGTAGCAAGAAAAATTAGGGCGCCGTACCATGCGTATCGATCTCGCTTTCTGATCAGCGTGACGTCACGAGGTCAGTTGTTCGAGGACACTCCCTATTTCCGGAACAAACTTGCCGTGTTGATATCCCGCCACTGAACTTAGTTAATTTCAATAGAATGATCCCAACTAAAAATTGGTTCACTAGGCTAGGAGCATGGTTGAACTATATAAGGTTGACCCACGAGAAGTTCCGCCTTTCAGTTCAGCTTTCTTGTTACGTCGCGTAGATCGAGAAACGTAAACAAACCCGTCATTCCCATGACGGATTGGTTGACTGGTTTGAACGCATTTTGGTGATTGGTTAATGCCCGTGACGTCACTGAGATCAGTTACGTCATAGGCGAAAAACAAGCTCCATCCGCGAAAATGAGCTTCTCATGAGTCAACCTTATACTAGTTCAACCATGGCTAGGAGTTTGTGTCGATCTGCATGTAGAAGATATTCTAGGAAATTGTTTATGATGACTGGTGACCCACGCTTGGTGTAACGCTCAAGTCTTGGTGATTTAATCGACAGCCTCGACTTGATGAGTAATCTTTTATTTCAACCATGAGTAATCTCGTCCAATATACTACCGTCAATGACATAAATTGCCATTCGGCAGAAAGTGCTCGTACTTCGCCGCTCGCCACTAAAGATAAGCAGAAATTCGATCTTTATGGTTCGATAACCACACGATGACAACGAAGCTGTTATGAGCGCGTTAGAACATGTTATTTTGTTTATAAAATAGAGCCTTTCTATTGCAGACCAGCGGCGTGTTGTGCGAGGTTTCCTGGCGTTTAGGGTAGAAAAACACAAATTCCATATTTAAAATACGAATTATTGGAGGCAATGAGAGATTCTTTGCTCCTAAGAAATGGCGAGCAGAAGTTCGAATCAATAAGCTTTATAACTTTAATTATCCATTACAGAATCAGCCCAGTGCATTATCTGTGGAGAATGGTTTTATATATAATCACAAAAAAGTATCACTTTTAAGAGAATTGACGCATGTTATCGTTGAAGCCTTCTGATGCAATTCAATAAGCATCGAGTTCCAAAATGAGCCGGAACAAATTGGAAGGCGTTATGATTAGGCTGATTTAATTACCTACCTAATCGTGGACAAGCAATTTTCTTCTATTACCATTATTCGCATAAATTCCACACTTTGAAAAAAAAGAAAAAATCAAAGGTTCCAATCCAATGCGTGGATACCCGTCGAATTTTAGATTAAATTTATTGATATCAAATTTTAGAAGAAATGCATGTGCCAGAAAACGATTATTGTAAGTAAAAATATTCAGGTGATTTGCCGAAGTCGTACTTTTCAAAAAGTCTCTTGAAATAGCGTCCATTAACGTATATTCTTATTACTATTATATTATATATTATTATCACCTGCCTTTAGTGATGGATGTGGCCGCGCCTTTAATAAGCCGGAAGTAACTCTAGGTAATATTAGCTGTACTTTGGGTAATTCTAGCCATTATGAATCAAAACATTCGAGTTGCATTAGACATTCTATTGATGTAACGCCCACAGAGCCAGATACACCATTGGGTCTATAGAAATGCATCTTGTCCAATTTCACTCATATTATTATTTCTCCTTTTCATCTATTTATTTGTTGCAAATTTATTTATCTCTTGACTTGGCCTATGATCGCTTTCACGAATCGTACTGCGCAATGTATACTCACTCGTATTACAGCTTATTGATATTCTCATGCGCAAGAAAAATTTAAAATTCATTGATGTGTTCTCTTCTTAAAGAAGTTCTATTTACTAGAATATGATACTTTTCCTTTTTTCAGTGATCTATACAGTGCAGTCATGTTCCAACTGATATATCGAACGCCTTCGTGAATGAAGCAGTAGCTTTCGTTTGGCAACTCATTGGAATCCGTACAAGTTCATTACTTATTTTAAAATTTCACGATCGCTAGAGCTTCTAGCTACGCCAGTTAGGTTTTCATTGTCTTTCAAAAATTTTATGTAGTTCAGTACACATATTACAACTATTTTCATTGCCGACTCCACCGTAATCATTTCAACAATTAGACTGGATTCTTTCGATCAACACAATAATCTTCTAGTAATCATTTCGCAGAAAGAGAATACTAAATAACTGCACCAAGTGGTAATGAAATATACTAACCATTGACACGTTTATTAACTGCATACTATGCGTAAGAAGAAATGCCACAGCCAATGGAAGTCATTAGACAGATCTAGAGAGAGATTGGTAAGAGACTCAGAAATAATATCGTAACGGACTATTAACTATTGCAATAATTAAGCAAATTCTCCTTCAGCTTCTTGTTCTTCTTCAAACTCGCCATCGTCATCGACGGTTGCTTCTTGGTACTGCTGATACTCTGACACCAAATCGTTCATGTTAGACTCGGCTTCAGTGAACTCCATTTCGTCCATGCCTTCGCCGGTGTACCAATGCAAGAAAGCCTTACGCCTGAACATGGCAGTAAACTGCTCCGATACGCGCTTGAAAAGCTCTTGGATGGCAGTGGAATTGCCAATGAAAGTGGAAGACATTTTGAGACCGCGAGGAGGAATGTCACATACAGCAGTTTTGACGTTGTTGGGGATCCATTCCACAAAGAATGAAGAGTTTTTGTTTTGAATGCTGTACATTTGGTCGTCGACTTCCCTCATGGACATGCGGCCACGGAAGATGGCGGCGACGGTGAGGTAGCGACCGTGACGAGGATCGCACGCGGCCATCATGTTCTTAGCGTCGAACATCTGCTGCGTGAGCTCGGGTACGGTGAGGGCGCGGTATTGCTGAGAACCTCGAGCCGTTAAGGGAGCAAAGCCAGGCATGAAGAAATGAAGACGAGGGAAAGGAACCATATTGACAGCGAGCTTACGCAGATCAGCATTAAGTTGGCCAGGGAACCTCAGACAGGTTGTGACACCGGACATAGTAAGAGAGACGAGATGATTGAGATCGCCATAGGTAGGATTTTGCAATTTCAGAGTTCTAAAGCAAATATCGTACAAAGCCTCATTATCAATACAGAAAGTTTCGTCGGTATTCTCAACGAGTTGATGAATTGATAGAGTAGCATTGTAAGGTTCGACGACGGTGTCGGACACTTTAGGTGAAGGCACTACTGAGAAGGTGTTCATTATTCTGTCTGGAAATTCTTCTCTGATCTTTGAAACGACCAAGGTGCCCATACCAGATCCCGTGCCACCACCCAAGGAGTGCGTGAGTTGGAAGCCCTGCAGGCAGTCGCACTTCTCGGCCTCCTTCCTTACAACATCGAGCACCGCGTCAACGAGCTCAGCGCCCTCTGTGTAGTGACCCTTGGCCCAGTTGTTGCCTGCGCCGCTCTGGCCTACGAGGAAAAACACAGTTATTAACTTTGAACTTGCATTATAAATGTATACATTCATTTCAACTGAGACATATATAGAGAGAATCTTTATATATTGAGCTCCAGTCTAACAGTGCATTCAACTCATTTGACTTTTTTTATCGAAAATATATAACTAAAATTACTGATTCGAAGAACTGATATTCAGAAAATACTGTTAATTTTTAAGACAAAATAAAAATTTGCATCGAAAAAAATTACATCTATAATTATTCAAGAGAAGAAAAATATTCAGCTTATTCCATTAATGGCTAAATCAATGATTCTCACCAAATACAAAACTGTCGGGCTTGAAGAGTTGGCCGTGAGGTCCGGCTCTGACGCTGTCCATGGTGCCAGGTTCGAGATCGACCAGCACGGCTCGAGGCACATATTTGCCCTGATTGCCTTCATTGTAATAGACATTGATGCGTTCCAGCTGCAGGTCCTTTAGGTCCTGCTCCACTCCTGACGTGTACTCGCCATTAGGCATGATGCCATGCTCATCGCTGATGATCTCCCAGAACTGTGGAACAAAATTTGTGTAAGACAAAAAAAGCGATATTGCTTATACGTGGTTATCAATTAGATTAACTAGGTCTCAGAAAGAACTCACTATCACTACTAGTATCAGAAGCTATCCCTATTACAACCAGTATAATCCATAGATAGCACAATTAGGTAAATCTATGTGAATTATGATTAAACTATAGGAGCCTTTATTAACGAAATATTATCTCAATGACAATAGTCTTTTTGATTAACTTAGATAACCAATACATAAATACATAAAAATCACATTTCACTGCCATTCGCGATTGATAGCTATCAACCTACTTGCGGTTGCGTATGACTTGCTACAACAACGATCCACCACTGACAATTTCACATATTTAGTACCAACGCAAATTTGAAATAAAGTAATGATATAATATTACTAACGAAAAATCGGTGACGTTACCAATATTTCAAACCTATGTAGAGTATGTCAATCAATACAACAATTTATTTAGGGCACTACATTTTTTCATCATTGGCTAGGAACCATCATTCTATTATCATAACACATTTCACGATATGAGCCGTTACCTTCCTATGCTAAAGAAATAAAATATCAACACTGAATTAAAAAAAGATCATTCAAGTAAAATAACTGTTCTCGACTTGTATAGGAACATTCTAGACTCTTGAGTCTAGACAGATGAGGTAAGAACAGAAGCAAAAAAAAATGGCGACTTTAGTCATGATTGGCGGTAAACTCATCATAATGAGCGCGTACTACGAAATTTGGGAAAAATTTTTGTGCTCAGTCTTTCTTCTTGTGTAAAGCTGCCAATGAGTATGATATTAAATTAAACTAGAAGAAAAGGCAAATGAAGCGAAAAACATTCACATTTTCTTGTACTGGGATCCTGCAACATCCTATACTAATAGTGCAGCGAAGAAAATGGAGGAAACGCCGGGAGGCTTCCGCCAAACTCAAAGGGAAATAACATCAACGCGTTACGTATAAACATAAATACATCAAAACTTAGGTCAAATACATAACGGTTTGAAGCATAAACCTAGCATCACACAACGTACCTTTGTTCCAATTTGGTTGCCACATTGGCCAGTCTGAAGATGAACAATTTCCCTCATGATGACAGGATGCACGACGAGTACCTAGCTGAGGCTAGCTCTGTGAACGATGTCAGGCGAAGAATGAGCTCAGTTGACCGTTGACGGCAGACGCTCGCTCCTGACTCCTCCCTCCTCCCTTCTCTCGAATGCTTGAAACGCCAGGAGGATGCAATTCAAAATTAGAGTCAAAATAGTACTAAAATAGAGAATCAATTTTTTTATGCAAAAGATTCCTCATTGTGATCATTATATTTGTTTGAGGTAATTATTTCAAATATTAAAATTTAGGCTTTCTTTTTAGCAGATTTTCATAAATCGAAGTATCTGGAAACTGCCCTTTTCAGTTAAACCAGGTACTTTTTTTCTGTTGCATTTCAAATCGAACGGCTGGTGAACTCGGGAGTTAATTGGTAGATGAAAGATTTCAAAACAGTAACTATCATTTATAGGCTATAGCTAATACAACGCAATATCGTTTTGACATTTTACATATTTATTCATGTAAAGCATACACTAATAATTCGTTGCAAAAAGAACAAATTCAGCCATAATTTATCTTGAAACCAATTTTGCAGCGTCACTCAATGAATATTAGATCCAGAACTTTATGTATTTATTAAATAATAAATATAAAAATGACTTGTCTTCTTTACCTTTTCTTACGTCTTAACATTTTATTGTCCTTGATAGGGTTGAATTCAAACTGCTAGCATGGACCTGAGTTCGTTTCTCATGGAATTTGGCTTTAGCAAGTTTTTATTCACACGGCTGCTAGCTCGCTATCTGTGCATGTACATAATTTTTTTATTTTTTCTCTACTCTCATGGCAGTTGAGAGAGTACTTGGATTGAACTTTGTCCAATTCTAATTAAAAAGGCTCATTCACATTCAATCTCTCTTTACGAGAAAATAAACGCTTTGAGGGTTCAGTCACGGTGACATCTTATCTCTAAAAGGGCACAATTATGCTTCATCTGTCAACATCCATTGTTGCTGCCAGACGCGAAGCTATCAATATCTCCGGGCTCCGGCCACGCCCCCCTAATAAACGACCATATATATGGCATATAATTTGTTTATAAAACTGAAACCATCGATTCCATTTTTAAAGATGCTTTCAGTAATAATCAACGTCGAGAACAAAATATTGATATTGTTTTCTTGCCTCTGGTGACATAAATCATCAGGGTATAACGCTCGGCAAACAATGAGGTTGTGATTGATTTCTGAGGTTGAAAATCCTGACGCCGCTAAGTGAGCGTTGCTTCTTTCATGTTGGTTTTCCCAAAATAAACTTAAATTGTATGAAAATCGTTTTATAGACGTACTGACAAGATTTATTGAAATAAATCACAAAGAATGCTATTCAGCTTATCGTTTTTTAAATATTATAATATAGTATAATACGAGTATAGAACTGAAATGAATCTTGTGATCGTATGGAAATAGAACAAATCTTGAGATCGAGGTCAAGAGGTTCCCCATAACTCTTATTTTAGGCAATTTCCTTGCGCAAATACCCTAAATTGGGTGCAGCACACCTGACTGCAAGCAGAGAGGAGCATAAAATTCTTAATAAGGCGGCGCCTGACCGCCGCAGTAGCCAAGCACATATAAACCTCGTTTACAGCAAGAACCGAAGCCATAAGGTATACTTGACCTCCATCAGCTGCGGCAAAAACTTACCGTACTCGAGCGGTGTTTAAGCTGCTCTGCATTGAGTCAGCTATGGACATGTAACATTTGCGTAACTGGAAACGTTACTCTGAAAGGCTTTGATTATTTATAAAAAATGTTAAAATCCCATTGCACTAAACAACAAAAGTTCCGAGATAAGATTGTGACACCGAATATTATGATAAACATTAATGTGAAAGTGAAAGCCGTTGTATCTAAGATCCAATTTTCAACGGAGGATATTAAACATGATGGTGAAGCTTCGTCCAATGGTAGAATCCCATTCAAGCTCGGTTCGCCTTTACTTGGTTCGTTATGTATATGCGAGCAGGAGAATGTTAGGCGACGAGGCAACCAGTGTGTTTTATCTAAAATTAATCTATGTGCTATTGTTTAAAATATACCAATTACAGCTGCACAACTATCTGTAATTTATATTTATTACCAGCTAATTGCATTCCAGAGCTAGGGTTTACCATCTGTTCACCAAAGACAATTTTCTATCATAAAAATTTACCTCATTTAAGTTACACCATTAGAGCGAAATATAACTCAAAATTACTATTTTTTTTCTTGACTTACAGTCGCTTTTGGATCATCATGCTGTTGGATTATAATAGTATTAGTAGATTGGTTTAAAGTTCAATATTCAGAAAAGACAATTTCAAATTCTTATCCATTTTAAATCCGCATGCATACACGTGTAGGGTGTAGCCCCATTGTCAGATCCTATACATAAGACTTTAAGCATAACATAGCACTAACTTAGAACTCACTGTCAAATAACATAGCATGGTTCAAATGGTATGTACCATAATTGATAGTGTTCAACCAAAAGTCAAGACTCTAACAGCTACCATATTTCTTTACCACAAGGTTCAAATATATTACAAAAATCAGGAACCTTTCATTTACTATACAGTAAAAAACGTCAGCTAATTGATCATCAAGGATAACGCAGAGGGTTTCAGAAATTTTGACACAAAAAGTCTAGTCGATATACTAAAAGGAACTAATTGAATTAACATTGTTTGAACAAGTTGTGAACATGTGTCCTCCACTAACTTAAATGAAGGAAACAAAAGACGCAGGAGCGAGTTCATGAAGAGTAAAACATTTTAAAAACTTTCAACACACCACACAAACGATTTGAAAAAAAAAAATACGAAACTCTAAACAGGGAAGAAAACACAGGGCTCAGCACGTCAAAAGTTCAAACGCAAATTACACTGTTCCTCATCATTGGATTTAAGCACCATTAAATTAAAACGTAACGCACAGAGGTGGAGTCAACTTGATGACTAGATGATGAATTATCATAATACAAATGAAACTAATTGAGGCAACCGCGTTTCGGAAAAAAAAACGATTTTCTTGCAACGTCAAACAAACTTTCCGGTGTTCCAAGGTTTATAGCGTTCATTAATCTCCAAATCCAGATAAATGAATCCTTATAGTTAATACGAAAAAAACTAAAGCCCGCAATATACTACCAGGTATTTATTACTTTATTTATTGTTTCGGATTTTCCATCGGCCTGAAATTTCTAGACAGGAGAACGGTTTTCAGTTACAGAATTTTAAAGCTAAAATTTTCAATAGAAATTTCTTTTTGCCCACATAACAGGAATATTTTCGTCCAAATGGGATCTCATAACTGGAATGTTCAAAAGAGTTCTGAAGCAACTCTTTATCACGCTATTATAACAGATTGACCATACTGTAAGACTCTACATTTAGCTTATAAAAGTTAGGATCCAAAACAGGAATATTTTGGAAGCAAAAAGAGACATTGTACCGTCACTAAAACCGCATCACAGGGAATTTCAATTCAAATTGTGCACATAACATAAAATAATGCCGAATATACCAATTCAAGATTCTTTCTTGGTCTTTTGGGAGCCATTTTTTAGAAGACGCTGAGCCATCTTCTTAGAATTTTCTTTCGAAGGTCTGTTAAAGAAAAGAGCAAGCAGAAGCACCAAGTGGCACAAGTGCAGAAGTCCCGAGCTCCAGCTGGTTGCAGGAAATGTGTTCCAAGCAAGCTCTAGGAGGCCAAGAAGAAGAAGCTTGTAAGTTGTTGGTAGTGTTGTTGACCAAGCCAGGTAAGGCAGGCTATGATAGTACCACACGTAGAATTGGTAATGCAGTGACCGGCTTACAACCATGCCTATAAAATTGCTGCAGAAAAGGGGCAGCAGAAGCAACTGACAACTCACTCCCACGTTGCTACGTCGGAACGTCTGCAACCCACGCAAACACCTGCCAACAAATTCATTTATGAGGCACAAAAACGAAATTTCAATAAGCACAGATATACAGGCTCAATAAGAATTGCGTTTAAAAAAATGTTCACAATCAACAACGCATACACCTTGCTAGCTGATGTGCATTCAACAAGACTAAAAGGCATGTTTTCTGCGGAAAGATCGGAAATTGTCTTTGAGAGAAAAAATATCGAGTTTCTATCAGTTAGTATTGAAGAGAAAAGAAGCACCTGTGCCACTGTAGAGCTGCAAAGAGCGCCAGCAGCAGTAGATGAGCTCCCACGAGACCGACGTGAAAACGCCAATCTAGGAAGACATCCTCGGGCAATAATTTCCAGTTGACCGTCCACTCGTAGAGAAAAACGCGTCCCAAGTCAAATGCTCCTTTCAAGTATGATAAGGGATTGTGTAACAAGAAAGGAGCTCCCATCAAGACCTGCACAAAACAATTCATACAAAATTACTTATCGATCTCCGTGAAGCAAGAATACTGAATTAAAAAAGACCACAGTTTAATTATTCCAACACTTTTTTATACATATTAAAACGACAATATGAATAAATACAACCTTAATGCACGAAAATTTCATTACCTGTACTGCAGCACAGACAGACAGCTGTAGGAATGTGCCCAGCAGGCCCAGTGACATCATGTAGGCATGTAGTAAAGCAGGAGCAAAAAGAAGAACGTTCATCTTCACAGAAACAGCACAACTGGAAAGATAAATATACAATCAATGAACATTGACGTTTCCAGGAGCGCAAGGCAAAGCTTTAATGATACTGTAATATGTTATCCTTGGTTTGGATAAAGTCAAGTATTGAAGACAGAAGTGGTCAATAGAAGATAATTCCCATATACCAAAAAACAGGAATGCCGTTAGAATGCATAAAATCCTAAATTTGAACACAATAATAAGGTACTTCTTTATTAGCAATATGGCATTAAAGAATAAAATTATCAAGTCTTAAAATAACCAAAATCACCTGAAAAGGAAGCTGCCAAGAGTCCACCATCCCTCACAGAAAAGGTTGAGTGCCCCATAGAGGAAGAACATAGCCACGGGATCATTGAAGAGCCTCAACACATAGATCGAGTGCACACGATACGAGCAGCAGCTTAGCAACACCAGCACATACGGTGGCACCTGTTCAAAATAAAAATGTCATACTAACATTTCCTACTTGTCAGTAATTTATGGCCCATTACCTTCAATGCAACCGTTTTTCATTGAAATTCAACTAAATTCTTTCACTTATTGCCAAATACAGGCAAAGTGTCATGATGGCAATAAAGAGCTAAGTAAGTTCTTGAGGTGTATTTCACTTGACTCACTAACTCCAAAAGTAAACATAGTTATACCGCTGGTTTGTTGCTCTATAATGTACTGGTAAAAATATGTACCATATAAATTTAAAACATTTATATAAAATAGATTTCACTGAAAAATTGAAAAATTTAGGGTCACAAATGCCAAACAAAACTCATTAAAAATTTTACATTTGTGTACGTATTTTAGAATAACACAAAATTTGGTCACCGTCTGCTAGGAAAGTTAGGCAAATGAGCAACAGTAGTCAAAGTGTTAATAAGCTGCTGTAAAATACAGCACATATTTGCAGAAAGAGTAAAAACCCAAATCATTCAAAAACACATAAGAACACAAATCATGTAAAATGTAAATCTCACCAATATAAGAGCTAAGAACACACATGAACACAAATAATTCAAAATGAAAAAAGAAGGCAGAATTTGCTATGTCTCAATTTACCAAATCAATCATCTAGACTCAGTAGGTACCATTTGCATTTTCAGTCTCAAATGATTCATATGGTAAATGACAAAAATTTACAAGGACATTTTATGAGATAAATAACTATAAATCAAAATCAAGAAACAAATTACAATTTGCAACAACATAAGCAGAATAATTATCATAACAATTATTATGATGGGACTGCACCATACCTTCCTGCTCTTGCAGTAAAGCCTGAAGATCAGAGCAAGAGTGAGAACATAGAGGCCAGCAAAGATGTACTGAGCCAGTAGCACATTGCGTCCACTGTCCGTCAGGTAGTATAACCCAGAGAAGATGTACACAAATCCTGCCCAAGTTAAGGTAATTAGCTCATACACAAACCGTGCTAGAGAAAATGCAAAACCCATAGCATAATATACATGGAACACTTGCAATATTGGGATCAACTTTATGGCCAGTATAAGCTTCCAACAAAGATGAAGCAAATTATTCAAAACAGAATATTAATGCATGAAATCACTTTCATTCCCAATTACATATATAAGAATATATATGAACAATACCATTAACACACCTGCAGGGTACACAAGCGGTCCAGTGTCTCCTTTAAGCAAATTGTAGTCAAAGGTTCCATTCAAAAACCCTTCAACTTCCTGCATGTATGCCTTCCAGTCAATCTCAGTATCTGTTGAATGGGAATTCTTAGATTCAATGTAAAAAAAAGAAATGAAATAATTATGAAACTTATATACACTAAATTTTTCATTCAATTTGCAAATAAGCTTATGCAAAATTATATAAAGTTGTACATTTTTAAATACACTCAATGAAATAAAAGAAAATTTCAAAACTAAAAAGAAACTACAGAAAACCTATTCATATGTGTATATCAAACTTCCATATTTGTCCTCTGTGGATGGCATATCATATCATCCAAGCAAAATAGATTACTGAATTATAAGGTCAATGTACTTTCTAGGCTCAGAGTCATAAGATGCTCACATTTTACATTGTGGATGATCCAGCTATTGAGAAGGATTTCAGCAAAAATTAGTAGGACAGCTGATATCCAGCAGTAAGTAGGATTAAAAACTAAGTTCATTATATTATTTTTGGAAACATGCTTTGTGATTCTTGTCCTTGCTGAATCCCAAATTGAAGCAAACAATGATGTATATTTATTTGTCAAGCCAGTAGCTTTACGAGACATTTGCCTGCCCCTCGCGTTTGCCATTTTGTGTCAGGGAAGCACAGAAGGGGCTATTAGGCTGTTGCCTGTTGGTTACAAGAACATCAAGTGATCAATAACAAAACAGTTAAGATAATATGTAATGATTCATAAAAAAACACAAATTGTTCAAAAAACTTTTGTTTTTAGGTTATTTCTAGATGGTAATTGACAAATAAAATTTATTAAAACAATCTTCATGATAAATACTTATCAAAATGCTTTAGTCTTCTTCTTCTATTGAATAGTCTACGAGTAAAAAATATCACAGTAAAAATAATTTCTAACCAGACATTATGAAACTGCAATATCTATAGATACTGTCTGTATAATATACTATTCATAATACTAATATATACTGTCAATTTTACAGATGGCTTCTGCCCAAATTTCCACTTGGCACAAACAACCATACTGTGAGTTGTGACACATGATTGAAGTTTGAACCCTCCAAAGTCCAACTAAAGTTCTAACTACTAGTATTAAAAGGTGTCAATTAACAAATAGCAAGTTAAAAAAATTATTAAATCAGTATTGAGTAACAAGTGGCAGCTTATATCAGTGTAATAGATTTGATTGTAGATATCAGTTTGCAATCCACAATAATAACTTAATAGGCTAACAGAGAGGGGTTAAGTGTTAACATGAAAATTCACAGTGCACGTCTGTACATTACACGACCGCACGTCGACATAGTGACAAACCTGGTCAAACCAGAGATCTTTTAGTTTTAGAATCAGTTCATTTTTAATTTCCTAATTTAACTAAGATTTAAACAAATTTCTTTTGTATGATTGATATTATTTGATAATGCTGGTATCCAGAATACTTTACTGGTCTACTTATACTTATAGGACTCAAAAATGAACTTGAGGCAGTAGGCACTCAGAGGCAGAGTCTAAAAAACTACCTGCTTTGCCACTTTGCGGGCATGAGTGACAACATATTCACTATAATTCAGTGATAAGTGATTCACTATTCACTAGGTGTCTAGGTCTACCTTCTTTTAAAGAACTAATGTAAAAAACAGAAAATAACGAATCCAGCCGATAATTGAATATTTTTTACAGGGAAGTGACTCCTGTCTCACAAGTCCCAGACTCCCACTTTCCTGAGTCCTGAGAACTTTAGAAGGCAGTCTCGACCACCTTCAGGTTCAGGGTCAAACTTTGTCTAGTCGCAGTTCGCACAGCTAATTGACTTGAATTTCTTAACTTTGGTCTAGCTCTAGCTCGGATCATAGGTAATTCTTTTGCTCATCTCAGTTTACGAACACTAATGGTACATATTATGAAAATTTCATAACAGAAAGAGACTGAAATAAACGTATTGCTGGCTAAAACTTACGAGCATACCGTAAACTCATATAGCAACACCAACAGCAAATAAAATGGGGGTAAGTTCAGATCATGTTTACAATCCAATTTGGGCGACGCGATACCAGTCATACCACGTATCCAACAATTTTGCGGTTCGCTCTGTTGCTGTAGTCAGTGTAGTGGAGTGGACAAGAAATTTTGAACACCAATCTGCATTGGATGCATCGCCGCCTAACGGCGGGAAATAGAACCTGCCATCGGCAACCAGTCTTAGCAAGTAAGCCCGCTTCATTATTTTATGTTCCGAATTTTTGAAGTTAACAGCTTAACACCTACATATACGAGAGAAAATGGGCGCACTGGAATGACGGCCAAACAGAAAGAGCAACATCAGATGATCAGAGCAATGAGAGCATCACCTCATACTTAGATTGTACCCAGTTCACACAACACCACGTGCTGCCACTGCTGCGCCCAGACATAGTAGAGAAAAATCTTATATATAGCGTTTTCAGCGTTTATTAGGCCGTAGGCCTGTCGCAGATTCTTAACATTGCAGAACTTCCATAGCTTGTTGCGGGCTTGAATTCGCAACTCGCTGCTTCAAATTTTCTTTGCTTAACCGCACGGCTTCCTTGCCGATTCTGACCAGAAACTGGCGCACAGAGCTGGGATCGAACCCGTACCTCTCCTGTCTCTTATACACATCTAGATGTGTATAAGAGACAGACATAGTTCTGTTCCAAAAATTTTCGTCCTTCGACAAGTGGCCGTTCGACCGAGGGCTGGTTCGACCCACGGCCTAGATACGGACGGCTTGAAGTGTTGAAGGCTACGTTCCGGAAGGCAGGAATCATGATGGTCCATTACATCCAGGGCACTTGTGGTCTTCGGCAGGCGACCCCGAGCGTGCAGCCGTTAACCATAAATTTAACTCTTAAACTATCGAGATGCATGCCAGAGGCCAGTACAGGCACCTAAAAACGCATTTTGTCGGCAGACAGTCCCGAAGTCAGTATAATCGGCCACCAAAGGATGACGTCACGGCACCGATGAGTTTAGCTTACATGTGACAGTTGTTGTCTCTCTGCATCTTACAATGCAGACTTAAAAAATCAGACGCTCTTTTTGTAGATAGTTGGGGAAGCGATGAAGCTGTTGTTTGTCGCTGTCATGCGTCCGAACCTACTAGAAAAGGACAAAAATTTAGTCGAGAGTGTTCAAAGACGTGCAACAAAGATAATTCCGGGATTAAAAGGCAAACCTTACGAAGAAAGATTAAAAATTACGAAGCTTCCAAGCCTATGTTGTCGACGTCTGCGTGGTGGCCTCATTGAAGTATACAGGTATACCCATGGTTTATACAAGATCCCAGAAGGATTACTGGAATTCGAAACAAGAACAACACCAGGGGCCACGGCTATAAACTAAAGAAACTGCGTTGTAACTAATATGTATTATTTCAACCATTACCATCTCAATAAATTCGTCAATTCGTGTAAAGATCAGGTTTATAAGGCTGGATCCCTTGTGAAATCAAGTCACGAAAAGTACAAGAATCGGCAACAGGCCATGGGCCTATTTCTTCAGTGCCGACACTTCTATTATATTCTATGAACAAGAATCGGCAACAGGCCATGGGCCTATTTCTTCAGTGCCGACACTTCTATTTTAATGGCATCGACTTTAATGACCCCTTTGAATGACCCAAGGTTTCAGCAGTTTTTCATTCATCCGCATTGAGTGCATCACCTGAAAGCATAAGTTGTGTCTGTTTCCGTAACATCTTTGATATAAGATACTATATATTTTCCTGGGGCAAAATCTGTTTCTTGCCACGTGATCCATTATCCTCACCTTGGCAGCAATGACAGTGTTGCTGCAGTTGGCTGGTTTGAGGTATGCCTTGAACTCTTGCAAGGTGTATTGGCTGACACCAAATAGTTCGGTAAATCACCGTGTGAAACGGGAGGCAGGCTTGCGAAATCTGCATACCTCTGCTTTACCGGCACTTCGTGGAGATCTACATCGTTAATGTCGAACAATTTTCTTAAATACCTGTTTCTTGTTGAAGGTAGGATGATTTAACAATAGCTTAATCTTCCTGCTTTGCTATTTCTTTCTCCATTGACACCAAAATATCCACACGTGTAGGAACGAAAGAATTTAAGCTAGGCGCGAGTGTGCAACAGACTTGGCGGCGAATCAACGCGGCTTACGTTGAAACACGGGAGCTCACGTTGAAACACGNGACTATATATGTTTCATGAGGCTGCACCCCAGCATGCTCTTACCTCCACACTTACCTGGACTCGCCCCCCGGAGGCAGCTAATGAGGCTGGGTTAGGTCCGGAAAGGTTTGTTCGGATGGCGAGTCAAGGTAAGTGTTGAGGTAGGTCCATGTGGTGCTGAAGACTATACTGGCCGGAGTAGTGGCCGCGGGCTTACGTACGGCGCCAATGGCTTTAAACATTTAACTTCATTCGCTACTCTAACTTATGGCATGCTTGCGCACGAGAAGGAATACGGAAGTGATGATGGCATGGCCGTATATGGGGCAATGCTGGCCACTAACATGCATGAAAATCGGAGGTTGCCCCGCGTGCACTCAAAACGGTAAGTCGGTGCTGCGATGTAGAGCAATAAAGCGAGTTCTCTTAAGACTCGTCATATTAGGAGTGCCAATATACCTGCGCCATCACTGCCCTCGTAAATAAGGTAAGAACTTTTTCATTTTCTGAATTCTACCTAAATTAATTTCGGGCAAGTTTACGATGGAAATTTTTTTCATGATCTCTAATACAAATGAAAAATAACAATAATGTATTACAAGAAACTATTTCATAAAAGGTACTATAAAAATTAAATCCATTTTCTTAAAAAAAAAACTTTCCGGTTCCAGCATATAATTTTCTGATGATTTCCGCGTGTTCATTTCCTGCATGCTGCCCTAGCTGCGCGATTGCTGTCCATAGTGTTTTAAAACTCTGCAATTTAAAAATATGTATTTAGATCCCTCATCACGGCAGTACATAGATAATAGATCCTAACAAATTTCAGCCCCGATGACGCAATTTGCATGAAACTAATCTAATTGTAATAGTGCACAACGGGGGATTAAAGAAGCTCTGAAACTACGGAAAGGATTACAAGGCACGGTCGAAATCCCTAACTTACCGAACAAAATAGAATATTTGACTATGCAGCACAAACTCATAAATTAAAGGAGGATATTTGAAAATTTACTTGCGTTTCCTAGCAAATAATCCTTTCACAAAGCACATCTAAGAACAATTACTCACTTTAACTAAACTAGGCCTATATAATAAATATACGTTCAGAAGAAGTGCCCTTGTATACCATCAAAAGGAAGCCAATTAAACTAGTGAACTCTGAGCAGAGAGCTGCCTAGGAAAAACAGTATAACTTTAAATCCCAAGATGTAAGAAGTAATAACGATTTTTTATTCAAACTCATAATGTCCTCAGTTGTATTGAACAGCATTTACAACGTTGTGGTGGTATGCACTTTACGTCAAAAAAATAATAAAATAAAAATATAATTATTGAATTCGGTATCTCTCAATTCGTCAAGACGCTAATCCTATAGAAGACATCCTCAACGGGAGAGATTATAAAGAGTAAATAGCCAGATAAAAAGGCTAAGTAAAATTAAGAACCTATCGATTTCTAAATCAAGGACGATAAAAACAGTAAGCGTCGATAAGACAAGGTTTGATTTAATGGATATAGCACCATTTCATTATCCTTAATTTGAAACAAAAAATATAGTGCACATCGTCTAACTATTAAGGCCACTTTCACACGGGCGCACGAAACAAATAAATAACTCTGATGATGAAGCACTAGTATGACTGAGATGGTTCCGCATGCCGGTGCATAGAAATAATTAAAAAAATTCACGGCATATTCCATCCGATTACCCAAATTTCTTTCTAACCTCTTTTGCGGTACTTCATCGGTCTAAATTTAGTTTTTCTCCGAAGGTTACCCGAACTCACTCATCCTTTGAACACGGCGATATCATTCGTATAACATTGTATGCGAATAAAAAACTTGAGCTAAAATATCGATGAACTTTAGAGCAAACATACATCAAAGAACTATTCTGCGAAAAAATGGTGGAGAACTCCAGGAAAAGCTAGGGAGTTACGCGTCATTTCTGTAATAACACATTTTCACGACCTAAACGCTGTTATTTTTATAGAGTCGTAAAATAAAAATTATTATGTTACAGTCTATCGGGATATGATAATGATCATATTTTACCACACATTTTACCACCGTAAGTCCATTGCCACCGTATAATGTTCAAGTAGGATCATAATCACATATCTAGCTTAGCCACATCTAACCGTATTTCCTTATAAGTAGTCCATGTGAACAGTTATGCGAACACAAACTCATTTATATTGTAAAGTAAATGTTATAAACACAATTTTGCACGGTTTAATTGTGCAAAAACAGTCGTATTTGAACACAATCAAAACGAATACGAGTACAATTAGAACAACAGTTTGATATATTCTTGCATTAGCACATTCACAAAACTTTAAAACTATTCTCCATACAGTCACTTGATTGTACAGTGGTGGCTTCCTCAGCAATGCAGCCACAGCCTCCTACTTCGCATGGCGATCGCATAACTCGTTATCAGAGCTGCTGATGAACTCGTCGGCTCATAGACAGCGTTACTTACAAAGTTACTTCATCATGGCAGGTTTTTCTTCTCTGGCTCACCGGCTCCAAGGTACTGAGGCTGCGAAGTGTCCTGGAAGTTATAGGACACGTAGTATGGCGTGAAGTTAGCTGGGGGTGCCGATGGAGCCATGTTGTCTTCAGGGTCGACCTTGTATGGGGCCGACTGGCCGCCACTAGACTGCACATGATCACTGGTCGCCATCGCTTGTTGGTATGTCGGCGGAGCTGCTCATACCAAAAAAACATGTCCAAAAGTCGAATAAAAGCCATCCTACTATTACTGTATTACATACGAAATATCTTTTATCTATAAACACCTACCCAGGTGAGTTTTATTGGAAATGATAATCGTGTATCTATAGCTCAATATTTTCGATGCCATGTCATACCATAATTTAAGTGTCTAATGATAAAAATCTATTTTTGAAACTGTTTTCAAACCTTATTTATGGTATAACTCGTCATTCCTACATATACGTCAACTTATTAAACACAGCTAAAGACAGAAATGTACAGTTTATTGGCTCATTAAACATCAATTTTCAGTGTTTGTTTTCAGTTACTCACGTATCTGCGGATACTGTTCCAGCCCAGGCATGGTAGCGAAACCTCCTGCAGCTGAGGTCGACGGCTGCCCACCTCCCGGAGGGTACGGGAAATTCATGGCCATCGAAGGGATTGTTGCGACGGGGAAGGCGTCTACCGTTGGGATGGTACCCACCGTTATGGGGAAGGTCATTTCCACGGCAGGATTTATTCCCTGCAGACTCACGAAGAACTGCCAATCAATTATAAATTGAAAAACTACAGAACGTTAGTCGCTCTTACTGCGGGGGAAAAATTATTTCATGCTGAAAATGATTCTACAGATAATGTTTGTTCACATACAAAACGTATATCTGAACTATACTAAACTTTCGATAAAAAATTCTCTTTACATGAAATATCAGCTCCAGTTCTTATATTCTTTACTCGGTCAAAAGCAGGATGTATTGCATTACACTCATCATTATGGAAGACTCTTGATTCAACGATCGAGACGTTAGGTGTTGAATCGATATGAAAGCGATAAAAATAAATTTCTACTATTTTTTGCACCTGATTCATAATGAAATTTAATTATTAAATGAACTGATCTTACCTTCATTTGGTATTCGATGTCAATGATGTTACAGAAGGGAAGCGGGGAAGCAGGTGTTGGTGGGATCTGAATCTTCTCGCTGTTCCATGAGAGTTCCGAAACTTCGGTCACTTGAGGCTTGGTTATCTTGCTCAGGGTTCTGCTCTCGATCTGCATCCGCAAATCAGCTTTGTAGCACACGTTCTGAAAGGAAGTTATTGCTGGATGAACTTCAGTTTGCGTGGCAGTATCGTCAACTTTAGATTTTTGATGTGGATGAACAATAAAAATTTCCATGGGAACACTTTGCGTGATGGCAAATTTCGATAATTATGGGGATAATTAAATATTTAACAATTAATTATCGGATTAAAAATTCCTGCATCTCAGTAATTGGATAAGAATTTGAGGAAAGCGATTGATTTTTATTTATGAAAACATCATATATACGGTACTTCGTCAATTTCGTACGAATTCACTTTTAGGCAAAACATCCACAAAAGGTAACTGCTATAGATAATTTTTTTCAAGTTTACAATTCTCACCATTCGAAGTTTTGCCCTGCAAGCTGTAATTTTCGATTTGGTATTGTTTTCAATTTCTGCGTCGATAAGAATAGACTCGCCAGGGACGTATCCGGTCTTGTTGAGGTGAACCATCACGCTGAGAGGTCCGCTCTTGCAGCACCAGCAGCAGAGTGCTTTCTCTTGGTGCTGCTGCTGCGTCATCTGCAGTTCATAATCAACCATGTAACTAAACGCATAAATATTAATCGCTTCTACCGTTCAGATGTTTATTCTAAATCGTGGAATGGAGCTGAAATAAGTGGCTTTTCAAAAATAAAGCCTTTAAATTGCATGTCGTTTTGAATTGATTTGTATGAATTAAATATTGTCACATTAACTCAACTTACCCTAGCAGTTGGATTGAGGTTGAGATCAACCAAAGAGTTGACGCTGTATGGCTGTGTCAGTTTAATATCTTTGAACATTTTTGTGGACTCGAGCTTGATTGTCATCTCATGCATCACTTTACCATGCGCGCCAACGAAAGAAGGTGGAATGTTGATTGGCAGTAAAAAACTGAATGGATATTTGGTGGGTCCCGGCGCCATTTCTTGAGACGGATCTGGCGAGGAATAACTTGGTTTAAAAATCGAATACCGGGTACATGGAGCACTTAGGCTGTTTCTTTCTCACAAATTAATGCACAATTCTCAAGACATTGAAATTATTCTCTTCAGCTAAAAATTCTTTCATTAGATTTATTCGTGAATTCAAGTGGTTTTGCATAAAAGTAGACGAGACAAAACCCGTAAAACTAGGCATTTATGATCACCTGCATGACGCATATTTCTGAATTCTATTAAATTGTCGCTCTCATATTTCGATGTGCATTCCAGAGGCCCGCAATGTCAAACTTCACTCTTGCATACTATTTTCCATGAGCAAAAATACTACAGGGCAAAGTAGGCTTCGATGCTAATTGTTAAAAGATATTGGAACTGTAAATTCATGGCCACTGTATAAACTTGTCGCACGTCATGGAATACGAGGCCATCATGACCCACTTCTATGAATACAAAACCATCATAATTGAGGTAATCTGACCTCAATAGTTGCGGGATCGGCGCAAATAGGGGCGCGGCGAATAGGGGGGCGTGGGGCGGGCCATTGGCTAAAGGGAGCGGGAATTTAGGGTGAGTGTGGAGGTAGGGCTAAGTGGGCTTATATTCTGAGAAGTTGGGCATGATGGCTTTATATTCGAAGTTAAGCGTGATGTAAAGCGGGGCATGAAAAAAGCCTGTGTATTGGTAGCATCATTTTCGACGATACACGGCTTTTTCGACGATGGTTTACGGCTTTGTGGTTCATGCATAATGCAACTATTGGGTGCAGAGGCTGAGTATTGACTTCAGGGCTAGTTTTAGGAGATAAACTTGTGATTCATGCCAGTGAATGCGCACCCATAATCATATATCATATTTCTGATTGAGATCAAGACATACCTGCCCAAAGCTGCATTTGACTCTCATAGTAGCGCTCCTGTGCAGAGTGAGTACGATGGTGGGTAGTATGCTTGCCATTGTGGTCACGCGTCGTCTCGCTAGTTGAGAACGAAACAGCCGCCGTGCCAATGAAGCCGATGGAGAGAGCTGTATAATTGAGGGACGCATGAACACCGTGACAGCGCTAAATGAATTTTATTCGAAAGTAAAGCATATCGTGAGCTCGGGGGTCAAAGAGGTAATACTTTAGATTAAGTGCATCCAAAAAAGGGTGTTTTTTCTTTAATTATATGTTTTTGGGGTGTAGATAAGGAATCTGAAACCCGTTTTTGGCGGTCGTCATCGGAAATTTTTAATGGAACCTGTTCCTAACTGGACCTAACCTGCGAGGTTTTCGTCGATTGGCTAGGTTTTTCCGGCCGCCGGACGGACTCCAAACATAGAAAAAAACCTAGCCGATCAACGAAAACCTCGCAAGTTAGGTCCAGTTAGGAACAGGTTCCATTAAAAATTTCCGATGCCGACCGCCAAAAACGGATTTCAGATTCTTCAAAGATTTTCGAACTTCAATGGCAATGCGCGGATATCTAACGGAAGAGGCAAGCTTACATATATAAAGTACTGCTTGTGCATCATGTAACGCTAAAGTTACCAGTGGACGCCATGGAATCTTACTTTTGCACTTGATCTTGCTTTTGTGCTGGACCTGGACGTGTCCTGTGATGGTCTGGCCAGGAAAGTACACCAACGTTGGCTGGTCCATCAGCAGGGCGATTCTAGGAGCCATTTTGGCTTGCGTTCGAATTATTCAATATTTGACTCACTGTGAAAAAAAAGTTATTTCTTATTCACTCCATCATTGGAGGACCCAGCTGCTTGAATCAAGAAACAATGCAATTTAGGCCGTTCCAACAGCGTTCAGAAACAACATTAGGACTATTTATTCTCTTCAATAAGGTATAGCCTACACAGAAGTCCAAATTTTACCAAGGATTTATTGTTAATTTATATTTTCGTTCGTCTGATTAATACCTTTCATAATATTTTTTTAACCGCTGCAATTCCTGATAAAAACAATTAATAATTGTATCTGCATTGAGGTATTTGTATTTGGTCTGTCCGGCCAAAATCCCCATTTCTTCCCAAAATACATTATGGAGATAAACAATTGTACAACTGATCATTTAGCTGTAGTTTGAGAAAAACTGCCTTCCTTGAATGATTTTTAGTTCAAGTAAGATCTCAAAATGACATATAACTAAGAAATGACATCATGTCTCCAACGGTATGGAACTATGTTGATTTAAATATAGTCTACGACACATATTGGTTTTAAGAAACAGAAATTACATGTATAGGTATAGTGGATAATCTTGACGAAGTGACCAGCGAAAACGAATCAGAAGCCAGAGCGAATAAATAAGATTTCTGCACTTTTTTCAATCCACTGTATAACAAAATCTTACCATAAATGTTCATTCATACATTAATAAACTGCGAATTAAGTAGCTGACCGTAACAATTGCTCAGTAAAGCGATAAAACAAATTCACGAATCAGTTCCAAGATCTTATCTGTGGTGAGCACACTGAACGAACTTCTGACACTTAGTCATGTCAGCTCTTGGGTTCATTCCAGTCTAACTTTACTGTGACACGTTTTCTTCAATTAACATTTCTTTTTACAGTTGCCATAGCAGTAGTTCACGATAAATACATAAATTGTAGAAAATTCAAATCCTTTTATAAGGTACATAGCTTGAATTTGAAAGATAAATAATCAACTTTCGAAAACTAGACACTGCAGAAAGCAACTACCGTGTACTGGACTAGCGCACTGGTCACTGTAAAGAATGAGCCCCTGTATCTGTACATTGTTGCGACCTTGCAGATAACTTTGAGATAAAAAGACGCCTTATCTAAATGTTTGCATCATGTGGAGACTACGTCATTGCTATTGATAGAAAGAATCTGGTATCAATACAAGTAATTTTAATTTTTTTTTATTTCATTTTATTAAGCTTAGTTTCATTGCAAGCAGGTATAGAAAGGCCCGAAAACTGAAATTTCAGCGATCTCAAAAAAGAAAAAATTCATTGGAAAAGTAAAACTTCATTAAAGAAAAAAAAATTTCCAAAAAATTCACTAAATGAAAATTGCATTAGAATAAAGAATATTGTATAACTTCCGGGTTTAAAATGCATTTGCAAGGAAAATCGAAAATTTTTTAAATTATTTCATGCCGATGATAATAATTAATTTTCGTGAATTCTTTTCTCACTCTCGTATAATATTAAGGACAAGATGATTATGAAGTCCATTGTAGAGATGGAAGTTTGCCCTCATGTTTGAGGATCCGAAAACTTCCAAAATGTATTCCGTTCTAAGTTCACCAACTTAAATTGTTGTGAAAATAGACAATAATAACAGGATAACATTTTTGTGGCGACAGTCTAACCCTTAAACAGCTGAAGAAACATTTGTTGTTGACGAAAAGTTTTTTTTATTATTACTTCAATCCGTTATTATCGCAGCATTCATCTATTAACAATCTTCTGTGAACCATTCAATATTTAATCTATAATATATAGGAGGCCATACAAGCGATCACGATCACACGAATGTGCGTATAACCAACACGGCGTAGCGTATACGAGGGTGCGTATAACCAACACGGGGNCGTGTACACAAGTGTGCGTATAACCAACACGGATTAGCGTATACGAATATACGAATGTGCGTATAACCAACACGGAGTAGCGTATACGAATATACGAATGTGCGTATAACCAACACGGGGTATAGAGAACGCCAATGCACACACTTGGATCACCATGGTAAAGGACGAGGTCAGGTTCAATATCTTGAACTGCGATGGACTTCCGTTCTTCTAGTGCACTTCCAGCCGTGATTCAGGCAACATGCATTAATAGTTCTAAAAAACAACATTTTTGAACCACATTTGTATTTCCATGGCTGATCATTTATGAAGAACTGTGTGAAGTTGTCTCGTCATTTTGTTCACACAAAACGGGTATAAGTTACGAAATTCAGACCAAATTTTTGTTACTAGAAATGATTTTGTGAATTAATCTTTCTCTGTAAGACTATGAACATACAAAAACTTTGTCTATTCTAATGATTATGTTTAATAAAGAATAAGGTTTGAGCTATTAAAATGAGAGACATAGCATTGAGACACCTCACTTGACACACCGCGTAGCACAGAAGCTCAGAATGTTCAGCACGACAGGCTTGCGTCCGCTCTTCACCATCGGTAATCTCTTTAAAATAATTAATTACAGCGGAATTTGAAGGAAGAAATAGGAAAAGAAATAGAATTATGATAATAATTGCATAATAACAGAAATATATGAATTGAGGTGAAATAAAAATAAGCAATAGCAGGAATAAAATTTATTCGATTTATCCATTTAGCCCCATTAGCAAATTATAAAAATACCATTCTCTTTATAATTTGTTCGCCCGTGTGTAATATAATTGCTGCGAACAGATTTTTTTCCGTTCAACCATAACAAAATTCCAAATATAACTAAATGTTGTAATTTTTTATTTTAGCATACAAACAGTATTAACGCAATAATCAATGTACAACTAACTACCTACTCACCTTGTTTTTTCGCATTCACCTTGTGAATGCAATTTTATTAGAATTTTCAAGAGGATATTACTTTAAGTTGGCAAACATCGCCTGAAACAAGTGACTTGTTTTCATTACACAGAATTTGCATCTAAAGTTGCTAAGACAACGAGCAGTCCGTGCGTACGAAGCTATTGCCCACACTACCCTTCCTATCGTCACTCAATGCCTGTCTATCAATTTATATCCCGCATGCAGTTTTTCGGACATCGTCTCTATCCACGTCCCTACTTACTGTGTATCAATTACCAGTCCGACGATCGTCTCGGCTGAATCACCTAAGATCGGTCTAACGATTTAGAACAGTACGACCATCGTCTCGATGCAGGCCCCTATAATAGCTAAACATCGAGTGTCATCAGTCTACCGATCGTTTCTAGTTCAATCCTTAACAGTTGTGTAATAATTATCAGTCCGAAGATCATCTCTATTTGCTTTCCTGATCATTTAATCCCTCCACAGTGGGCATCGTATGTCTGTTGGCTGCTGTTGTATTCGTACCAGCAGAAGCGAGGTCGCCACGACAAGCGCCTGACAACGCGGACTCGGGGAACTCAGGCGTCAGCGCCACGCAGAGCGGCGGCGCTGGCAAGGGCTTCTCCGTCAGCGTTTTCTGGTGGCTCGGGTTCGTAGATTTGCAGAGCGTACAAATAGCAAGGAGTTCGTGGGTTCCTCCGTTTTCTGGTGGCTTGGGTTCGTAGATTTGAAGAGCGTACCTATAGGCTGAGCTATAGCAAGGAGTTCGTAGGTTCCTCCGTTTTCTGGTGGCTCGGGTTCGTAGATTTGCAGAGCGCCTGACAACGCGGACTCTGGCAACTCGGGCGTCAGCGCCACGCAGAGCGGCGGCGCTGGCAAGGGCTTCTCCGTCAGCGTTTTCTGGTGGCTTGGGTTCGTAGATTTGCAGTGCGTGCATATAGCCAGGAGTTCGTAGGTTCCTCCGTTTTCTGGTGGCTTGGGTTCCTAGATTTGCAGTGCGTGCATATAGCAAGAAGTTCGTGGGTTCCTCCGTTATCTGGTGGCTTGGGTTCGTAGATTTGCAGTGCGTGCGTATAGCAAGGAGTTCGTAGGTTCCTCCGTTTTCTGATGGCTCGGGTTCGTAGATTTGCAATGCGTGCTTATAGCAAGGAGTTCGCAGATTTCTCTGTTTATGGAGGACCTTACCGTTTTTGGGAGTTGTACGGTCTTTTCTTAATTAGTGCATTTGAGAACAAAATATATTATCAAACTCAGTTATCCTTCTTATATGTCGTCAATGCTTACATATGCCAGAGGATTTTTGTACCGAGATACGAGTAGTCTAGAAATTTCATGGTCCTGTTACTTGAATTTCTGTACTCAATACTGATCAAGTATTTGGCATATTGCAGTTATCGCTCGAGTTATCGCACGTTTGGTAGCAACAATCGATGGTTCTACATCAAAACCAACCCTTACTTCTTCGTTGGACTCGGCCCGCTCGACAGACCAGGATTTGCAGACTACGGTAAACTTCTTCACCTGATTTTTGATTGCTCTGTTAAAATCTCCAAATATTTTTTCAAAATCGTGAATTAAAATTATAACCTAATTTTTGTCATAATACATAAATTATTCAAGAATTTCGTACAGAGCGGGTTTTCAAATTCCAGCGGAGTATGATTTTAAATAGAATAGGAAAATTCCAATAACCATACATGCAAAATTTATCAAGCAGTGACAGTTTTAATGAGTGAACTGTCCCATAAATTACATTTTGAGATTTTTCTTCCAAATAATAACCTTATGCTGGGTTAACCAAGATTCGCTGAATCTCGAGTGTCAGTTTCTCAACAATTTTCATCGTAAATATATTATATTAAGTACATAGGGGCTCTCGCAGACCCTTGATGTAATGTAATGCATACATCAATGCAGAGTCCCCGTAATATAAGCAAACTAAGCAATATACTGTGCAACGTAAAGCTATATTAAGTCAGCACCTGAATTTAGATCGCAGCTTAAGCTGAATAAAAGCATTTAGTTTGCATTGCATTACATCAAGAGTCTGCGAGTGCTCCTATGTACTTTTTTATTACATTTCCAAAAATAGTTCTTAGAATCCATCTACGAGTTTTTTGTGTATTATGGAAATAATAAATAATTCGATGCTACATTTTTATTCAAAAGTAATAAAAAGCAACTCATATACATTTACGATTTGCGTTCATGTTCAATTATTCAAGACTAAATATCATTTTTCTGATTGCTGTCTATGTATCTCGATGTGAAAAAAATTACTCATTTATCCATTGATTTCGTTGTTACATCAGGCCAAAATATATTTCTTCTCACCCATATAATAATGGTCATATTAGTCTAAATGGTGCAACTTGAATAAAAAATTACTGCCTCATTAACATTGCTTGTTGGATGTCCTTTCATGTTTATAATGCTTGCAACGCCCGCTTCTTTGCCCTGCATTTGCCCTGCATCATTGACACAATCAGTTATACCATTAGGTATAATTGATTGTGTCAATATTAATTATTGCAAATTTATTGATTGTGTCAATATTAAAATATATATTTACGTGGAAGAATGATCTATCCTTGGCTATATGCCGCGTATCGATGGGCAAAATTCCTATAGCAAGATCAAACCGCCAATTCACTTATAAGTTATAATGTCGACTTTTTCGAACCAATGTTTGGATTTTTCACACTTAAATTAAAGGTTCTTTACTCATTGATTGACCCAAAAAGCTTACTTGATGACAGTGGGTGCCAACTTGTATTAAGCACAGGAATAGTTTTGCCTTGGAACAACGTGAAAGCTTTTTAGAACACCTTTTAACTCATGAACAATTTCAGGGAGTCATTCTTTATTGCATAATAATACCTATTAATATAATAAATATTAAAAATATATATTTTTAATATTAACAATATATATCATAAATATCTATTATATTACCAAAATAATAATCACTAAGGATTACATAATAAAGCACATTTGAAACAGATGGCAGCCAGTACACTCCTACATATATACAGCATACTGGCTTATAATATGCAACTTATTAGCATATCATATACAATAATATTATACTTTCAGTAAATAATTTGATAACGTCGGTTAATATTTATTTTTAGTGGTACGTGACGACTGTTCTTGACCACAAAGAAGTACTTGCTAAAAAGATTATAAAGCATTGCCTAAAAGCATAAATTCAATATTGTTGAAGACTGTTGAGCGAGCACTGACCTCATTTTGACGAGATAAACCAACCATTAACATGAAAAGCGTTCATACCACTGCAATAATTACCGCTAAAATTAAACGCATCGCATCTGGAGTATTACCACCAATAAAACCATATATATAATATGAGTATCTGAAAATATAATTACCGCAAAAATTAAAGGCATCCCATTTAGAGTATTACCACCAATAAAACAATATATAAATAATATCAGTATCTGAAAATATTTTATTCAATTATACCGATTATTTTGAGCCGTTGCTCAGTCAATATTAGCATGAGAGAATAAATTGGAAATCCGTTCGAGCGATCAGGGGCCATACTTTCAAAACTCGTTAAGTGAACGTAAGATACTTGCACTCTATTTTCTTGTCTATGATTGGTGGAATTGGCTTGAAAGGCCGCCAATATTGGAGCGATCCGTGGCCATACTTTCAAAACTCGCTAAGTGAACGTAAGATACTTACACTCTATTTTCTTGTCTATGATTGGTGGAATTGGCTTGAAAGGCCGCCAATGATTGGCTGATGAACTTACGATCTCTTAACTTTTTTGAAAGTATAGGCCCAGATGGCATACGTGCTGATCGGCAGCTTTATCCATGAAGATATTGTTGACGCTCCGAGTATGAACGCGTTCAAGAACAGACTAGACAAGGCCATGCAGGAGCATATGCTTAGTCTTGAAATACCTCGTATCCTACGGAACAACTGAAATCTAGAAACGATTCTAAACCTACCGTCCGTTGAAAAGATTTGATCAAAAGGCCAGTTTAGTCAAGAAAAATACAAGAATCGTCGACATGCCTCGTCAATGCCGAAGATACTATACTATGGCTACATATACATGTATATGCATGCATGCATGGCGCACCTAGCGTTGGCTCATCGTTTTCGGGGGTTGTATTTTTAAGGAAAGCAGTTGGGATGCATAATTTGAATAGGATTATCTATGTTTAAATTGCAGAGTTTGAATGTGATTGCTCATGCTGCTACGGCAGGTAATAAATAGATAATGGACGCTTCGATAACGGGAGAGAGACTGCCTCGCTTTTCCAGTTTCCGCTCCTGTGTGCATGTGTGGCTGTGCGTTATAGGAGGAATTTCGAAGTGCAATTAAACTTCAATATTATAAAACTCAAGAGAGTAAGGTTATTATTTACATTCGCTCTATATTACAAATAATATAAATGTTCGTTACTATTTTGGTTTATTTTCAGATTACTTTTTAAAAACAATGTATTTACACTGAGCAATGAGCATGTAGTCAGTCACTATATTTATTTGAACACGCACTTACAAGCTCGAATCTTCATTTCGGAAACAGGTATTCACTTTGGAAGAAATCTAGTTAGGAAAATTCGGATAGATGGACATCATTCAATTAAAAATGTGAACAGACAAATAAACTCATTTCGTCATAACCATCGATGGAAATAATATTTGAAATGGCCAATCAAACTCTCAGATGTTTTTCCTTGGAGCAAGCCAAGTGATACGCTACAACTCGAAGGCTTCCTACGAGGTTTTCATTGCTATGCAGTTCAGTAGCAGAGTCGAGCCTCTTAAGGTCAATGTTGATGAGTTAGGTAATCTGTATGGGAAGATTAGCACCCTCGACATTACGAGGCATCACCTGAAGAATATCCAATTGAACGCTTGCGTGTTGTCGGCAACCCGGCGAAAAGCTTAACACCAGAGGGACTTGTCCACAGTGTAAGATGAGCGCCTCCTTTGACGTTTCATGCCCTGATTTGCAGAGGTTATTGTTTGGGAGTGTCTGTCTAAGTTTGTGGGAGTGTCTGTCTAAGTTTGTGGGAGTGTCTGTCAGTTTGTGGGAGTGTCTGTCTAAGTTTGTGGGTCTGACTTTCTAAGTTTGTGGGAGTGTCTGTCTAAGTTTGTAGTTGTGCTTGTCTAAGTTTGTGGGAGTGTCTGTCTAAGTTTGTGGGAGTTTGTGGGAGTGTCTGTCTAAGTTTTGAGGAGTGTCTGTCTAAGTTCGTGGTTGTGTTTGTCTAAATTTGTGGGAGTGTCTGTCTAAGTTTGTGGGAGTGTCTGTCTAAGTTTGTGGGTGTGTTCGCCTAAGTTTGTGGTTGTGCTTGTCTAAGTTCGTGGTTGTGTTTGTCTAAGTTCGTGGATGTGTTTGTTGGTCAGTGTCCCTGCAGCTGCCATCACAAATACAGCCCATCGCATTTAGGGGTTGACCGAGCGCGTATCCAGGATACATTTAGACTTTAGAGGCTAAATATTACCTGGGACGTGATAAGTTAGTACATTGCGTCTGGTAGGAGTGTCTTAGAGGAAAAAATGAAGTTGGTATGTATTAATATAATTTTACATATTGAAATCAACGTGTGTGAAATAAAATATTTCACTATTTTCCTAAATACTATAAAGACAGGATAAATTTGGTCATCGTCCAATTCAGTCACATTGCTAACGTCCTATGCGATTCTGAGAAGAATTGCACTTAATTAACAACGGTATTTGCAGCTTCGAATGAAATGATACAACATCCTATAAGCCTATAACAGGGGATGTAATGAATTTGAGATGTACTTTGTTGATCAATGTTGCAGTTGCACGGTAAGCAAAATGTCCAGGAACTTCAAGCAACAGCGGAGTCGAGGCCCAATGATTACAGAGGATTCTAAATTCTGAAGGAATGACGGCACGATTCAGTCTTCACTCTTCAGACTCAGTCAGTACTCGTATCGACACCATGCAGTGAGGGTGTGCAGCCACCCCTAGTGACGCTAGTGTGGGCACAAGATATTTTCTTGAAGCGTTTGTTGCCCTATATTCTTGTGAGCCATCACCATTTCGTTGCAAAAGCTGTCTGAAAGTTTTATTATTGTATCGCATCATCAAAGAGGCAAGTATTTGCGCTCTTATTATGTTAAGGTACTGGCTGCGGTCACCAACGATCATCCTTTTGCTTGCCGTACCTCTCAAGCACGATGCATTGAGAGTCGTCGTGTCTCCCTGTCCCATCTGCGAAGGGGAGGCAAACATTTTCTCGTCACTACATTCAGCTGTGTTTCATAACTACCCAGTACCTAGCAAGAATGGTTCCGTTAAAATTGCTCAAAGAACTTGATATATTATGCCTGTTTGCGTAATTTGTTCCTTACTCATGTCCGCGATGGCGCTGGTGGCAAGTGTTTCCTGGGCAACGCAGCTGAGCTTGTTGGACTTACTTGATATAATTTGACTCGTTTTGAGATTTTGTAGTGGATTTGTAGTGGATTTGATGTAGTGGATTTTCGACTCACCCCACCTGTCCCTATAGCGGGAAAATATTATTGACAACTTCTTTTCAAACTTTGCTCAACCCGGACGTTTTAAACGGTAACAACTGTATTAAACATGTTGTTGTGCCATCGTCATTTTCATCAAAAACTAAATGAATGAACGAAAAAATTTACACTTGCACTACCGTTGGAAAAAACTTGATGCAGTTATTCCCCAGCCATCAGCGAGGACAAAATGCCATAAATATTTTCCTCTGCAGTCTGCATAAGTGGCTGAAGTGCGTCTGTTATTCACAGCACAACTTCTCGAAACTTGGTTATTGCCTGGCCTAATACGTGACCACTTCTAATTCCTAAGTACATTATAACAATACAGAGCATTTATCCGAACCCTCAATGTGACATCAGATAATATCTAAAAAAATTTGCCCCATTCGGCATGGCTCTAGTCTAGAATATGATTAACTGTATCTGCAAGATTAACGCTTTGTTCTGTTGCAATTATTCTTTGACAACAATTAGAAAGTGAACGTCGTTCAATGTTGTATACTGTACCTAGGTTTACAAACATGGCTGCCTACGTGCCTGAATGAAGTTCACACTCGTGCATAATGATCTAATTAGCTCCGTTCTGAATATTCATTCGATTGTTTACTAATATTGAACTCTGAATACAAAAGCAACAATTTGGTAAGGTTATGTTAAATTGGTAAAGGATGAAATGTCTCAAGAATGAAATGCGTCAATGATGAAATGCGTCAATGATTAAATGTTCCAGTGATAAAATGCATCAATGATGAAATGCATCAATGATGATCTCTGCCCTAACTCGTACCGACTCAGAGGTTGCACTGTTACTTGTAAATCGAGATTATTTTAACGATAGCTATACCTTCGTTTCCGCGTTGGTTCTATTGACTTATTCACAATTAATTTCTTGCTTTTGATATCTTTGAAACTCTTGGTTTGCTATATTTATCCTAGAATATTTAAAAACAATCACGAAAATTTCGTTTTTTTTCGGGACGGCTTTAATATTGCAACATAACAAATTTCAACACATAGTTAATACCCTATACGCGCACGTAATACGTGCAGGTCGTCTAACTTTCCCATATTTTATGTCTCTTGATTTTTCTTGGTAGAATGCCTATAACGCTTACACATACAAAGTGTCCAAAATTATTACACTCGCCTATTCAGAACGTAACCCATCTACTAAAGAAGATACTTCGCTAAAAATTTAAAAGCAAAGAATAGTCCACAAAAATTCATATCTTTATAGAAAACGTTTAAGAGTCCAGCTCCATCGTCAGTTCGTAGAATCTAGAAGATACTTCACAGTCTGCTTTCCAATCAACGTAAAGCACGCTGAAGCTCATCCAAGATTCAATGATGATAAATTTACAGCGTGAGTTCAATACTCAGAATAAATCATTCTTACTGTACGCAATGTAAGTAATTAACGCGTACATCCTTACAATGTGTAAGTGTTGATATCAACTTTTTATAAATCTGTTTTAATAACGTCTTCACGTAATCATAGTCGACTAATATAGGCGGGCACTTGTCATGATTGATAGTTGATATCAACTTTATATAAATCTGTTTTAATAACGTCTTCACGTAATCATAGTCGACTAATAGAGACGGGCTCTTGTCATGATTGATAGTTGATATCAACTTTATATAAATCTGTTTTAATAACGTCTTCACGTAATCATAGTCGACTAATAGTGTCGGGCACTTGTCATGCTTGATAGTTGATATCAACTTTAAATAAATCTGTCTTAATAACGTCTTCACGTAATCATAGTCGACTAATAGGCGGGCTCTTGTCATGATTGATAGTTGATATCAACTTTAAATAAATCTGTCTTAATAACGTCTTCACGTAATCATAGTCGACTAATAGGCGGGCACTTGTCATGATTGATAGTTGATATCAACTTTAAATAAATCTGTTTTAATAACGTCTTCACGTAATCATAGTCGACTAATAGTGGCGGGCTCTTGTTTTGATTGATAGTTGATATCAACTTTATATAAAAAGCAGTTATTGGTTACGAGCGACCGCAGCTGGCACGTGTCACGCATTTTTGCAAGTCACTCAGTCACAAAATTGTTTTTTTTTTCAGCAACAGTGTTAATTACCTCTCATGCTTCTGTTATGAGGGACAATTGTGCGTGTTTTATTATTCCATAGACATGCTCTTATGTTAAATGTGTCGTAGAATAAGGCTATTGATAAGCAATTTAGTGATGACTCGACTTAAATTAGATACTCTGTTAATGGGCATTTCACAACGGCTTATTCTTGTATTTTTACCTTATTCTGCCTTTATTGTTTTGTGTAATAGAATAGAATAGAAGTGTCGGCACTGAAGAAATAGGCTCATGGCNTTAAGATAATTTTAATTGTATTTGTCTTCGTGGAATCAATTTAAATGCTGAAAATTTATCCAAGAGTTAAATTGTGAGAAATTCAGTAGAGAGCAACTTGAAAACTGTCTTATTGATCACGTTGATCAATAAAATTATCCACATGGTAGCATATTACTAGTGTTGTTTGCCCTCGTTAAGTACTCATTCAAGTAGGACTAAGTCATGATGCATATATGAATCTTTTAATCATCAGTTTCCTGTCATTTTTTGTTGTGGCGCCCTCCTCCCATTGTTAGATTGGTCGCAGGTTTCTGTTTCCGCTCGTATATTACATGTGTTTGTATGCGTCCCGCCATATTTACCTACATATGGTGAATGTTGCGAGTACTCCTCTATAGTTGGCTTGTGCATTTCTTTAACTGATGGTGAATCTGCTCTGCGAGTCGTTTTCAATAGAGATATACAGTATATGGTTAATTTAAGTGGATTTTTTCGTTGTTTTTAAAATTCTTGGTTACATGTTGGGCAGCAGGTATTCATGATGTAAGCGAGTGTATAAAATCAGTTTTGTTTGTTGTTATTTATTATTTGTATTTCTATTTTATATTTTCTTCTCACTCATATTGCGTTGTACTTGTAGATACGTTAATATTGGTAGCGTCTCTGGCTCGAAACAGTCAATAAGGCACGTTTTAGGTTAAGGCTCTTTATAGGAATTTGTCACGGCGAAAAGAGTACACGAGGGTTATAATGAAACACTTACTTATTTAGAATTAAATCAAGGCACATCGTATGTTAACAAAATCACTGCTGCAAAAGACATGTAAATAAATTCAGAAACTTGATTTTTAATCCCTTTGCAAACACCACTCTGAACTTTCAACAAGAATTCAATGGAGCACTTCGATCGAGTCTCTAACCGCTGTTTGAACTTCCCTACTTTACCGGAAAACGTTAGTCCGTAGTGCGTTGGTTGTAGTCCGTAGTGTGTTGTTTGGTCCGTAGTGGTATGCGGTTGCAATGTCGTCACCGTTTCGATCACAAAGTTCTCCTGTCGTAATGAAGGTCGTATAGTTTCAAGTAGCCGTACCGCTGTCATAATTCTGTAACAGTAGTCCCGAAAGATATCTCGAGTTCCGCATGACCGTGACTTGCCAAAGGCCGTAGTTCAAAATGGCTGTGATGGTTTCGATTTGAGTGCCGTTGCCGTAAGCTTATGGCCGTACTGCTGCTGCTGATGTGTCCGACAGTACTCTAGACGTTATTTGAATGCGTTGCTGGATATATAATCGCTGCGCTTCTGGTTGCTTCTCAGGTTGTCTTGCAAATGAATAACGGCCGGTGCAGCTGCTGCGTTGATATTGGCCTTACAGAAAATATAGCGAAGCCGTCGCTTGTAGAATGTAGATGCTCATGCAGTAATCGTAGCTGACTCGATGAGTCTAAGTTTCTTGCAACACTACCAGCGGCGAGAAGCGAACAACAGCATCGTGCATCAGGTGGCCCAAATGAGGGCGGATGAACGATAATCAGAGGCGGCGATCCATCGTGGCCTGGGACTGCTACGTCCCAAACAAATACTAAGGAAACTAAGGTTACCGTTAATGTTCGAGAAAGGGCTAGGCCACAGGCACGTAGACGTGGCTGTCGCGACGTCCGTAGACTGCAGACAAAGAATCCCTCTGGCGCGAACTTTATACGTTCCTTATATACGTCGCCACCACGCACACTTATGCCTTTAACCCTCGCAGTGACGCCGAATTCTTCGCCTAATTGAATTTCCCACGCTATAAGCAAGCCAACGCTCGCGTCCTACACACACCACATCGCTTTAACCCCCATTCCACCTTCTCAGCCCAGAAGTTTCAACTAAATTCATAACTTAAGTAATTTAATAACTCGCTCTCGAATTATTACGTTCTATACACGTGTGTTATCTGCACCCCTGCACATAGCAGCGTCGAGATCACTTCCTGTGGCGGCGCCATGCGTGTATGTACGTCACAGTCACTTCAGTGTCATGGTTTATTGCCATGCATCATTTAGATTAATGGGAAACATAGCTGTCGCTACTGAGCTATTTAATATGTTTGTGAGGTGTGCTTGTATCTATGTTTGGTCCATTTGCGTGGCTCTGGAAATATTTAAAAACTGAGGTACCTACGTGTACCCACGATAGACATATAATTGTATACATAGGTAGGCGTACCCACGTGTATGTATAATCGTAAATATT